CCAATCAAGCTAAAGCCTTGTCGGAACGGAACGGAATGCAGTCTGGTCCGAAGGCACATCTCACGGATTCGTCATCAGCTCTGACAGGTTCTGTTCCCAATCCACAACAAGTCTGGAAGGTCATCTTCCGCTTTTGGCACAAAACGGGAACGGGAACAGACGTTTGCAGAATCTCTCTAATGAACAACCCGACCCCAACTCGATATTTGTGATTGCATGCATTGTCTGGACTTCCACAGTTCCAAGTTGAAGAGGCAAAACATTGAAAAAGCCCAAAATCCCACAAAGCAACGTTTCTAGATCGACTTGCATGAACCAGTGCATGACGACGTTCGTCTTGGGCAGCGGCGCGATGCTTTATGACAGCAACGACGCTTTGGATTTCCATCGAGCAACAAAAATCGATGCGTGAAAACTTATTTGGAATTTCAAGAATGATTTTAGCCAATGGGAGTGTCGCGTTCTCCACCGCCTTAAACGAAATTTGCATACAAACGCCAATATATATAATTGACTTGAAATTAGTATCGAGAAGCAACACCAGGAGTGGATATCGCGCGAATCAGCGGTCGTTTGAGATTTTTGATCGCGGACGTGGACAGCCCGCGCCATTTCCAGCGGCCATCAGACGCGGTAGTGTGAAGAGAAGGAGTTGCGGATGGAACCCAATACTGCTGAACTTCGCCAATTGATGGCAGCCGCCGTTCGAATGCGGGACGAAGGGCGAACAGGCGATCCCAGGTACCAACAAATTGTCGCGGTGCTCCGTGCACACCAGCAACGTGTCGCCGACGCGCGACAGAGTCAAACGACGTCAGGAACCCCTTCCATAGCCGGAACGCCAACTTCCGCGTCCTCAGACTCGCAAGTGAACGTTGATGCGGCAAATGGTGGGAGGCAACTCGCTGCATCGTCCAAAGCCCCAACTATCACATCAAGGCAACCGACCTCCACGAGCCATACCCCCGCTACATTCAGCGCGAAGCGACCAATGACAACCACCCCAAATGCTTTATCTTCGACGGCGGCACCCACGGGAGCTCCATCTCAGAAGAAATCTGTATTCACTGAAGCCCAACTGACACATCTGCACCAACAGATCCGAAAGTTCAAGTTGCTCAGCCGAACTATGGACGAACTCCTCGCAAAAGACACAGAACTGCTCAAAACAACGAATGTTCTTGCTCCTGCTCCACCCGTTGTAGCCTCAGAGGCTAACGTTGTCACTGCAACTCCAGTAAAGAGCGAATCTCCTGCGGACCTTATTATTGAGAAGAACTCTGCGATCGCCCCAGTCAGCACCACCCCTCCATTAATACTGCTCAAGGATCCAACCAAGACGATCGTGCCTATCACCAAGAGAGAAGTCACAGCATTGTCTGTGCCGTACCAGAAAGGAGACAAAAAGCTCGTGTACATCGCCCCTCCGGAACTGGAACAGTTCGTTCTCCCGACGCTCTTCGATGAGACCGACGAAGATGGCGCCGGTTCCACCGACAAGTTGAGCCAGCTGCAAGCACATTTGCGCAGCCAAATGATGCTGGCATACCACGTCCAGTTGGCCAGGCTGGGGGATCCCGTCACGGTCGACCGCAAGTGGTTCAAACGAAAGCGACCGGTCTTGTCCGTGTACGACCCAAGCGAACGCGAGCGCCGCATGAAGTCACTCACGAACGAAAAAAAGCGCCGCGCTCAGCGGCACGTGTACTTGCGGGCGGTCGTCGCGCATTCCCGCGAGTTCCAGAGCTTCCACAAGGCTCGAGTGTCGGCGTTAGCCAAGGTCTCTCGAAACGTTAAGTCCTTTGTCGAGTCTAAGGCAAACAAAGCCGAGCGTGAAGAAGATCGACAGGAGAAGCTTCGTCTCAAGGCACTGAAGGCCAACGACATGGCTGCCTACTCGAAGCTCGTGGCCGAGGCAAAAAACGAACGATTGACGTATCTGTTATCACAGACCAACACGTACTTGGACAGCATTCGAGCGCTCGTGAAGAGCCATCGCGAAAAGTTTGGGCTAGTTGTCGGGTCGTCCAAGGCGTCGTCAGCGGGCGATGTCGCCACTGCCGAAGAAGACGTCGACGAAGAACTTGATTACTTGGGCATTGCTGTCAGCAGCGAAATGCCCCGTCAGCCTCAGATGCTCGTGGGGGGTGACCTGAAGGAATACCAACTTCGGGGGTTGCAATGGATGGTATCACTCTATGACAATCGGCTCAACGGCATCCTGGCGGATGAAATGGGTAAGTTGTGGTTTTTGTTGGTAGGTACAGTTCACCTGGGTTTATTCACCGTCATGGCTAGGCTTGGGCAAAACAATTCAGTCGATTTCACTCATCACGTACGTGATGGAAATGAAGCACAACCTGGGGCCGTTCTTGGTTGTGGTGCCGCTCTCAACATTGTCGAATTGGGTCAATGAGTTTCGGAAGTGGGCGCCGGACATTACCCTCGTCGTGTACAAAGGTATTCTGACTCTCCCTGATGTCGCCGCATCTTATGGAGCCTGAAACCAGTGTTTGCTAGGCCACCCGCAAGCTCGGAAGGACATTTTTCGACTGGAAATGGCCAGCGTCCAATTCAACGTGCTCTTGACAACTTACGAGTACATTATGAAGGACAAGCACGTCCTGCGCAAGTACGACTGGCAATACATCATCGTGGACGAAGGCCATCGCATGAAAAATGCACAAAGCAAGTTTGCCATGACGCTTGGGTCCCTGTACACATCGCGAAACCGGCTTCTACTCACGGGAACACCGCTCCAGAACTCGCTGCCGGAATTGTGGTCGCTACTCAATTTTCTCCTGCCGACGATTTTCGAATCGGTCGACAACTTTGAACAGTGGTTCAGCAAACCGTTTTCCCACTTTACGGGCACGGGCGAAACGAACGAACTCAGCGATGAAGAACGCATGCTCATTATCAATCGGCTCCATCAAGTGCTTCGTCCGTTTCTGCTCCGACGTGTCAAGAGTTCCGTGCTCGATCAACTGCCCGACAAGGTCGAGCGGGTGCTGCGATGCGAACTGTCGGGATGGCAAAAGATCATGTACCGCCGCATCCAAGAAGGGGGGTCGCTTCTCATGGAGGGCTCGTCCGGCGGTGGACATGACGATGACGCGAAGAAGTCGTCGTTCACGGCCAAGGGACTGTCAAACATTTTGATGCAACTGCGAAAAGTGTGCAACCACCCATACTTGTTTCAAACGCAAGGGTACCCGATTGACTTCGACATTGTCCGGTCTGCCGGCAAATTTGAGCTCCTCGACCGCATGCTTCCGAAGCTGCACGCAGCCGGCCATCGCGTCCTCATGTTTTCGCAAATGACGCAGCTCATGCATGTGTTGGAAGACTATTTTAATTACCGAGGGTACGTTGCCACGATGACAGACAACTTACTGACACCATGGAATGCAGATTCCGCTATTTACGGTTGGACGGGTCGACCTCCGCGGACGAGCGCGAGCAGCGCATGTTCATGTTCAACGCGCCAGACTCGCCGTTTTTCATTTTCCTCCTGAGTACTCGTGCCGGCGGCCTCGGGCTGAACTTGGCGACGGCCGACACAGTTGTCATTTTCGACAGCGATTGGAACCCTGCGATGGATGCCCAAGCTCAAGATCGCGCCCATCGCATCGGGTACGAACGCATTTTTGTGTTGTTTTCGCACCATGTGCTCACGCTGTGGACAGGCAAAAGAACGAAGTGCGCGTGTTTCGCTTGATCACAAACTCGCCAATTGAAGAAAAGATCCTGAGCCGCGCGACGGAGAAGCTCAACATGAACAACTTGGTTGTCGAAGCCGGCAAGTTTCACGCCAAGTCGAAGGAAGCGGATCGACGTGCGATGCTCGAGTCGCTCATCAAGATGGAAAACGAAGAAGCGTCTGAGGAAGCGCTTGTGATCGACAACGACGAGCTGAACTCGATCATGGCGCTCACGCCGTCGGAAGAAAAACTGTACCAACAAATTGACCAGGAACGAGCAAAACATGAGCGCCATCAGTACGGCGCAACATTTAACCGACTCATGACCACCAGCGACGTGCCGTCCTGGCTCAAGGAAGCTGACGCGGCCGAAGCATTGAAGGAGCACGTTCCATCCAACGAGTTAAGTGTCAACGACTTGGACAGTCTCAAACGAAAGCGCAAAGACGTGTCGTATCGAGATATGTCCGAAGCACAATTTACCAAGATTCTTGATGACGGTGGCGGCGACGACTCGGACGACAGTAGAAATTTGATGAAGATGAAGCCGTCCAAAAAGCACAAATCAGGCATGAGCGTCCCTAGTGCGACTTCCTCCGGCAGCTCCAGTGGCAACTCCTACATTGTCGAGGTACCACACGGCTTCGGCATCGACAGCTGAAAGCGACGGCGTTTTCTTTTGCTCTAGGTCACCCAAGAGCGCCTGCGAGTCGTGTACGACGCTGTCCTAAAGGCAAAAGATTCAAAGGGCCGTCTCCGCCACCTGCTCTTTATTGAGAAACCATCCGCGACTGACTACCCGTACGTACCCCGTGCCTTGTTTCAATTTTCCCAGACGCAACGCATTGTAGGGACTACTACTCAATTGTGAGCCATGCCATGGATCTCCAGACAATCGAAGAGCGCATCGAGATGGACGAGTACACGTCGTTTTCCATGCTTGAAGCCGACTTCAAGCTCATGTTTGACAATGCCCAGCTGTATGCACCATCTCTGCTCGTTTTTGGCCATGCTTGACTCGGCGGTGGTGCTTGCTATAGGTACAACCACCGCGACTCGCTCGTGTACCACGACGCGGCCGAAATGGCCAAAATCGTCAAGACCAAGCTGAATGCGTACAAAAAGGCAACGAAAAAGAAAAAATAAACGTTTATGTAAAGTACCCTGCGTCGACGACGTCTGTCGCGACCGGCGCGTCCAGTTTGCTAGGTGTCGTCGCGCCTGCCTGCTGAAAGATCTTGTACTCGCGCTATGATTCCGTCAGTGCGGACAGCCCGCAAACTTACGTACCTCGAGCTGGTCGTCGACGCTCATGACCGATGCCAAGTTGCCAAACCTCATCACGTCACGCTCAGGTCTCGAATGATGGATGTCCTACCGGTAGCAGTAGTTGGGTGCGCTCCAAATCGTGGAAAACGTGTCGCGAAAAAGCACTTGATACCCTTCCATGCACAACTGATGGGCGCGAGAGATGTGCTGGAGGTTGTTCAAATACAGAAACTTCTCAACGATGTCGCCACCGAACATGTACCCGGCGCCGCGCGGCGACTAGGATGCTAGCATCGGGTGGTGGACGCGAGAGGAATGTTGCCGTACCAAGTGGAACCCATTGGCCTTGGGCTCGGGGTCGGACCAGACGAGGTCGGCAAACGGTCCGTCCGACGGAATCTCCATCACGCGGTTGATCATGCGAATTTGATCAAGATAATGAATCGCAGGACTAAGACCTCCGTGAATTGCCAAGAGTTGATTGTTCACAAGAGCCCCTTATAATCCGAAGTGAGCACGGCATGCACAAAGTTGGGAGTACCAAGCGGGAGGTAGTCGAACACGTCCATGAATGCTTTGTACACGCGGGTGTCGCCGTTGTACTTTTTGTCGCATTCTGTCTGAAACCCATAAACGGACGTGGTTTGACGGCTTTCGTGATTTCCGCGGATGAGAAATGTCGACTCGGGGAATCGAATCTATCATTGTCACATCAGACACCGACGACAGAAGAGGAAGCATGTCCTACTGCATCGTACCATGCGTACCAAGAGGAAACTGATCGTTTCCACACTGTGTGACCCGCGATCGACAAAGTCTCCGAGGAACAGGATGCGCTGGCCAATATCGAGCGTCATGAGGGTCAACAGGTCCGAGAATTGTCCATGGATATCGCCGCAAATGGTGATGGGAGCGGGAAGGTCAAGGAGCGTGGGCTGGTTAGCCAAGTGCTCCTTTGCAAGGGCAATGAGTCTTAACAAGCTTGTCACATCAAGCGCCTGTGACTTAGACAAGCGCTCGAACCATGCCGCCAAGTCATTTGCCATCGTGGAATGATTCCATGTGGTGTCATGGGGCATCCGGATAAAGTTTTACCGTACGGGTATTGGTCGAATCGTCGCAATCTTGGATGCTCATGCTCAACGAAGTCGACCAGACGTCCGCCGCCAGCATCGCACTCGGCATCGGGATGGGGAGCCTTATTATTCTCGTGCTGAATTACTTTCCTGGCGAGCCCTTTGACTACTCCATCAAGCAGGAGATCCCGGTCGAAGGCGACGACGAGATTCAGCAAGAAGTTCCTGCTCCAATTGCAGCATCGGCGCAGCGGAGCAAGCGCGTTGAGCTCGAAGTGGAGAAGACTGCCAGAGCTTTGCGCATCGACAAACTCCAGGAGTTGCTAGGTCTGGAAGAATCCAAGATCCAAGAGCTAGTTGCACAAGCGAAGCGCGACACACTTAATGGGGTGTCGCCGACTCCCCCTGTCAACTACATGGCCCGCGCCGACCGCGTCGTGTACGTCACGTTTCTTGCACTCATGTGCTACTTTGCATGGCGCGACTATGGTCTCAATGTCCTCGACCTTTTCGCGTACGTGTTTCCGACGGAAGCAGCAACCCTCCGCCAGCTGCTTCCTTCCACGTAATTCTCAAACACAACATCATGGAAACAGCATCTATTCAATTTGCATGGCTTACGAAAGCAACCGCCGTTCCGCCGCGCGTGCATGTCCTTCGAGCCCTTCGACACGTGCCAATTGCACCGCGTCGGCCACCGCTTCTTGCGACAACGCGCCATCGTCGATGCGCATCCATGTTCGGACACGCAAGAACGTGTGCACAGACAAACCGCCCGTGTACCGCGCGGTGCCGCCAGTTGGGAGCACATGGTTGGGACCAACGCCGTAGTCGCCGAGCACTTCCGCCGCTCGGGATCCAATAAACAGACCCCCGTAGTGCTGAATGCGATCGGCCACGGCCTGGGAATCGGACGTCATGATCTCGACGTGTTCTGCCGCCAGGACGTTGGCCACGTCTACACAGACGTCTAGAGACGGACACAGGACGGCAAATCCCTTCTCGACGCTCACACTTGCAGTGGGGGCAGTCGGGAGCGTCGCGAGCTGGGCAATGATGGAGGCATTCACAGCGTCGAGTAGCGCAGTCGAATCCGTGACAAGAATAGGCACAGCTGCAGTATCGTGTTCGGCTTGGGCGAGGAGGTCGGCAGCAATCGTGGCAGCGTGAACAACAGAAGAAGCGTCCGCGACAACGAGACACTCCGATGGCCCTGCGAGCATGTCAATCGCGCACTTGCCATAGACGAGGGACTTGGCGGCCGTGACCCATCTTGAGCGAACATATAAGCCGTAATAGTCGACTGGGATTCACACGTACTTGTTCCCGGGGCCAACAATGATGTCGCAAGCAGAAACACCAGTACCGTCCAAACCGTACGCGAGGGCGGCTACTGCTTGAGCACCGCCGACAGCCAAAAGGATATCAGCATTTGAAATGTACGCGGCGGCCAACGTGGCGGGTGCGGGTCGTGGAGAGGCTACAATTACAGTCGAGACGCCGGCGACGCGTGCAGTCAGCGCTGTCATGAGGACGGAGGAGGGCAACGGATACTATTGCACGTGTTAGCGCGGCAACGAAGGAGCGCGAAATCACAACGTACACGTCCACCAGGGGCGTAACAGCCTGCCACTTGCATGGGTGAGACATCTTGGCCAGCTTGTCCTCCCGGAATTTCGCGCGAAAAGCTCTGAATGGATGCGCGCTGGGCGATAGCAAACGCTTCAATGCGCTGCTTCGTACGCGTTAGCAATTGTTGTTCGCTAACAGGCAACGCGTCGAATGCAGCCTTCATTTCGTCGCGGGTGTAAACCAATGAAGCCGATGTTGACGGAAGGTCGCCCAGCCGAACGGCGTGTTCGCGCACCGCGGGTTCCCCCCGAGACTTAACGTCATTGACGATTGCGCGCGCTTGTTCGAGTGCGAGCGGTTCGACTGGGTCGTACGCGAAAGCTCGGACTTCTTCGGGGCGGATGGTGCGCAGACCAGGCATTGTTGGTGTGATCGACGGATTTTCAAAAGTGGATTTCTCCTGAAGATCACTCGAGGACATTTCAAGCGATGGTCAGATTAGCTGCTGACTAGTACAAGCTTATAATTTGTATCAAATTTGGTAAGCACAATATGAATATATTGACTGAAAACTTTACCATGTTACCACACGAACACAAGAACGTTCTGATGGCGCAAACTTTGGGTGGCTCCGCCGTCATCGCGCTGGCGTCGTGCACGCTGCATGCAGCGGACATCCACACCTGTTAAAGGTCGGAAAGTCGATCATGGTCGAAGGGGTAAGAATGATCCTCACAACAGAATGTGGTCTAGTTTGACGTCTCGATCCCCTGCTCCTCATCGCGTGCCCCCTTTTGACCCCTTGCTGAGCCTGTTTGTTGTCTTTCCATGACAACATTATCGATTGCATAAACACTCAATGGCTCGCAAGAAAGGGCAGGGCCGAAGGTGAGCTCGGGAGAACAGGCATTTGCCCGTTAGGTTAGCAGCTGACAACGAGGGCGAAATAAACGCTGAAGGACGGCTTCTCCACCAGCAGGGATGTTGCACAGGAGTAGTCGTTGGGCGAGCACATGCACCTCCCTCGCTGCTCTAGTCCTGCGCTTCAGTGATGCTGTCATCGTTGTATTCTGCTGGTGTCTGGTGCCTAGCTTGACATTCACATGCCACTTCCATGGAATTTTTCTAGAAGGGGTAAACCTTCAAAAAGTATTTTCACAACACATTTTTATACTACATTTTTGTATTCAATAATATTTGGAATGCAAAAAAGTCTAACCATTGTCGCCTCTCCACACCACCACCACATCTTTCATTGCTCGAGTCCGTCGTCATGCTGGCGCGATTGTCTCTGCTCTCTCTAAAATCGTCCCCGGTGGTGCACCAAGCGCGCCGCTTCTCATCCGCTCTCCCGTCGCTCTTGGGACGTGAACTTGCGGAAGAGAAGGCCAACTGCTTTGTCGGCGAAGAGTTGGAATCGCTCCGTGAGAAGGTGCTTGCCAACTTTAAGATCCAAGACACGCCTGGCAACTTGGACATTGTGCTGCTGAGAAAGCACAAGAACGAGCAAATTGACATCAAGTTCAACTGCCAAGACGTGGCCAACGTTGCCGAAGACGGTGGCGAGTACGACGAAGGCGACGACGAAGACTCGGAAGAAGGCGAGTACGACGACGATGTCCTGCCGTGCATTCGGTTCACGGCGCGCATCGTCAAGGACAATAGCGCGTTGATCTTTGACTGTGTGGCTAGCTCTGTCCTGACTGTGGAAGGTGTGATGCACACGGAAACCGCGGACGACCTCAAGGACTCGGACTACGAAGGCCCGCGCTTCGCCGACTTGGAAGAGGACGTCCAAGAAGCGTTTGCCAACTACCTTGACGAACGACACATCAACGACGATCTGGCTAACTTCATCACGCAATTCGCAGACCTCAAGGAGCAAAAGGAGTACGTGACGTTCTTGGAGAACACCCAAAAGTTCATCGAAGCGTAAGGTTGAGTAATTACATCATGTTACCCAACAATCCTTGCAACTTGGCCGCCACGGCAGGATTCGACATGTGGCTACGCAGCACCATCCATCACACACAACACAAAGACTGTAATCAGGAATAAAAAAGCTCACCGCATCGCCGCTTGAGGCCCGCCGGCGTCCATGTCGCGGAAAAAGTCGGTCATGACAGGGTCGCTTCGAAGAGCATTCACCTGTTCGACCAATTGTTCACTCAATGTGAATGAAGTATAGTTTGGAGCGTACCTGGGGGCTGTTGCGGAAGGATTCCAACGCTTCAGGTGTCAACAAACTGCTCAAATCGGGCGCTCCGCCGGAGCCACCGCCGCCACCCATGGCACCCATCATGCGACTCATGGCTGCCGGGTCCTTCATCATGTTTTGTGCCCTACACCGTCTTTTAAGCGCATTTCGTCGATGTATCGCCATCGCACATAGCCATCATTTGAGGGTTTTGCATCATCTGAGCCGCCATTTGCTGCATCGCAGGGTTGCTCATGAGTCCAGCGAGTCCGCCAGCACCCCCGGCACCTCCCATCATGCCTGCCAACGCACTCAAGTCCGGCATACCACCACCGCCAGACGGGGCTGCAGGTGCACTTCGTGCCTACAGACAAACAATTTTGTGGGCCATTTCCCTTGCATGCACGAACTGCTTCGTCAATCTTACCTGAAGTCGATCCTGGCGGTTGCGAGCATCGTTCAGTCCAGTCTTGCACATTTCGTTGGAGGGGTCTGCTTCCAAGCCGCGGTTAAAGGCGTCGATAGCAAGATCGTAGTCTTCCAATTGCACATAGGCAGCCCCAAGGCGAGAATACGCCTTCACGTACTTGGGCTACTCAAACGACGTGTGAAACAGAGAGCTTCAATAATGAACAAGAGTTGTGGCGTACGTTGAGTGCGATGGATTTTTCACAGATGTCGATCACATCGTCGTACTTCTCAAGGTACATTTGCGCAGCAGCCAAGTTGGACAAATAAATGTGGGAATTGGGCCCCGCCGGTGACAGTTCGATGGCTTCCAAGTACAATTGCTCGGCCTTGACGTAATCCTTGGCGCTCAAGGCGGCGTTTCCTGCACGAAAGGGTTGTCGGGCTCATCAGAGGAGATTTGAAAAGAATGAGCGAATTAGAGTGAGCACGTACCGCTGGCCTTAAGCGTTTCGGCCTTCGCTTCCTTTTCTTCCTTGGACAAGGACGGCGGCGCGGCTTTTTCGCTGCCAAATTTCTCCTTGAACTTGCTCAACGCCTTCTTGTACAGCTCATCGTACTCTAGAAGACTCAAGAATATCAATTGTAGCGAAACACGACGATGATTTACCTGGGGTGCCCGACGTAACGCCGTTGAAAAATCCCTTGGCGTCCAACTTTGCGAGCCATTTTTGCCACAACCCAGGGTCTATTTGATATGCGTGGGGAAAAACGTCCATAGAAAGATGAAAAGGAGAATTGTCGTACTAGCGGTAATCACGGGGTCTTCCGCAGCAGCGGGTGTCGTCGAAGTCTGCCACAACAAAGCGAGACGTCATGTCTTCTTGCTAGCTGCATGGATATTGTTACGCACCACAAGTTGCAAGGATTTAGCCCCCGCAAGGAAGACGTCAGAAAGCGAATAATTTTTCAGTCCCAGGCGCTGCTTCAATGCGGCATCCGATGGGTTTACATGGAACGCTTCCCTGGATTGCATTGAGATCTCATCACATTCATCGATATGCACGTACTGAAGACTCTGCACAGCAGCGCGCACCTTGATCGCGTCAACACCATCTTTGGTTGCCAGTGGCGCGAGGAACTCAAGCACGCTGAACAGGAGTACTTTCTCCGACTCAGTGATGCCGCTCATCTTCGTTGTTCGGTCCAAGAAGGTTCGAGAGATTTTATGTTGTCATGAGGTTGACAGTGAACCCGGATAAATATTAACCGGATATCGCAAGTAGGATTTTTTCCCAGTGTGAGGACATTTTCCTCTCTAATTTGTTCAACATAAACGGAATGCGTGTAAGTACCTACACTCGGAAGATCGGTGCAGTTTCAGGCGAATGCGGCTGCCGGCAGCATGGACTTGCTACTGTATGTGCACGTGGATGCAGACCATTTTGTAATAACCACAACAGCGCAAGAAACTATCATGGACGTGATACAGCGGTCTGAAGCCGCGTATGCGTCGCTGTTCCGCACGAAGCCACCATTGACGATCGATGCCATCAAGAACGATGCCGGATGCTTTTTACCTGCGTCGCTTGCTGTGGGGCAAATCCTACGTGGGTCGCCTTGCACCACCATCACCAAACAACGAAGTGACGCACGTGTAACATAGATAACGGGGCGCATGTATCGGTCGTCGTCAATGCGTCCAGCCCTCAAACGGGCGCGACTGTACCCCTCGACTGCACAATCCCACGATTGTTTGCCACGTGGAAGCAATGGCAGGTACAGTGCTGTCTGCTCACCCGCGCGTTCCTTTCTAATTTTTACCCCATGCAGCTTTACTTTGCGCAGGCACTTTGCGCCATCGCCCAACGGAACGATGAATTGAGCAAGGAAACGATCACACGCTTCGAGGTGGTGTCGCACTTGTCGTCGTTGTGCTCATCAACAAATGGCCAGAGTACTCCCGCAGCGTTTGCGTCTATATGTATCACCCAACGTTTTGTAGTTCTCCATCTGACCCTGGACTGCGTCGAACGATGGTTGTTGGTCATTGCCGTCGACGAATCGACCATCCTTTTTGCTCAACTCTTGGTGACCAAACACGTCCTGGCCAGTGCACCACTGCTCGCTCGTGTTCTCCAACTTGTCGACGTATTTGCAAGATCCAGTCGAGAGGCACAGCTAAGCTTGATCGCGCATGATATGAATACCCGCCTCATCGACATCTCAGCCACTTGTCCCCACGTCACGTCCATCGTCGAGCCGATCGTTGCAACCCTTCATGCGCTATCGATGCGCCAGCGACGTGCACCTGCTTCTTCATCAAGCATGACCACGACTTTCCCACCGCCCATGGCGATTCAAGAGCTGCTGTATTGCATGCATGGGAAGCAGCGACACAGCCAAGATGTTGCCACACAGCAGCTCGTCCACCTGTCCGAATCCCAGGAAAAATGGCAGGGTGCAGTAAAAGGCGCCGATGCTGCTTTCTTTGCCGAGCTGTTGCACGTCACAACGATGGCCTACGCCCCTGGTGACACGCTCTCTGAGGCACTGGTCACTCGTGTTCTCCAGGCCATGACCAACGTCATTTCGTTCCAGCCACAGACTCTTGTCGTTCAAGACCCGAATGCCATTGACGCCCTCGTCACGATCGGCCATCAATCGACCTTCGCTGCGCCATTAAGACAGCAAGCAGCCATTATCCTACAGCATGTCGTCGAAAGACAGGGTCATCTGGGGTATTCGAATGTTGCTGGTTTGGTAGGGCTCCTCCAAAGCACCGACCCCCTCGCTCAGGCCGTGGGCGCCGCCGCTCTCTTGGCTGCACTTGACGGCAAGGCCAAGGTGAATCCGTCGAACACACATGAAGCGGTACTCTACGAAATGTGCTCATGTCACGTCCCGGCGCTTGTCGACGCTCTTTACGCATCAGCTGTGCCGACTCGAGTAGCTGTTCTACAAGTGCTAAACGTATTGCTGCAAGAAGAAGATGTGCGACAGCTCGTCGTCGTCGATCTCGGGTGCATTCCCGCATTTGTGTCGATATTCCTCGACATGAAGGACGTCGAAGGCCAACGACAGGCTGTCAAGGCTCTTTCCAAGATCGCACTCTCCAGGTACTGCCTCGTTTGTCGTCAGCGAACTCTCATGCATGGCCATCACGGTGCTCAGCCGTGACCGCCACCACGAAGTGGCCAGCGCCATGGAGTACGTCGTGTCACGTAGCGCGTTCACAGACAGCGTCGTGGCCTTCTACCTCGATTTGATCGTACCGCCCACAGCAATCCACGCGTCTTGATCATCGTCATCGCTGTCGATGTTTTGTCGTCGTCGGTTTCGTTTTCAGCCGTTTCACGTTGTGTGTATAATTTAAGAATTTGGTTTATGTATAGAAAACCAATTTTTTTGTTATTGAGATCCACAAATAGATATATTGACGTGGACGTTTCGCTCACTTGTGCTTTTCACCATGGGAAGCAAGACGAGCAAACCGATCGTCGAATGCGTACGTGCAAATATGCATGCCGCATTCCCGCGTCTTCGTGGGTGTGCTCAATGATCGTTGTTGTAGCAAGCGCAGGGAAACACGGACTCGAAGGCCGCTGTGGCGTTGCCCACACCGGACAACGGCGGCGGAACATCGTTCCAAACGTCCAATCGGAAATGCACCGACATACTGTGCACGCTTCTCTTCGTCGTGTTTTGGATCGGCATGATCGTGATCTCCGTCATCGCGTTCACTCGCGGCAAACCCGAACGGTACAGGACCTCTCCCTTGGACAATCTCATGGCATGGCCTTCAGCCTGGCGTACGGGATGGATTTCAAGGGGCGCATCTGCGGGACGTCTGGCTCGACTCCTGGCATCTCGTCCGTGCCGTACGATTTGACAGCGTACAAGTACCTCGCGTACCCGCGTCTCGCACAAGATTTGAACGCCATGGCGATCGACCCCGACTTTAGCCCGACAGACCCGAGCAATTTGAAAAAACTCTACGGCGTGTGCGTCGCGACCTGCCCGACCAGCCGCTCCAGCACTGGCAGTCCGCAGTATGTTCACGCGCTGGAGTCGTATGGTGTGGTGGGGCGCGACCCCGTGTCCGCCACCAACGTCTCGTACGGAGCGGCGGCAGAAGACGCGACCGTCGGGTCTCCATTCCGCGTGTTTGTCAACACGTCCAACGGTACATGTCCATGCCGTCGCGATTGCTCATTTGTGCTCTAGTTTTGTTTCGATGCTTGGAAATCCCGTCCGAAACCAAAGTCAGCTTTGTCCGGTGCGTCGACGACTGCACGACGGGGTCCGATCCAGCCATGTGCGGCCCGAACGCCACGTTTTTTCCATGCGGTGCCAAGGGATGCACCAAGTACGCGTCGACCAACATGCCAACGTGCATGAACATTCAAACGGTACGTTCGTCCATGCGATGCCTCGCCCGACGTGCTCACGTGCACAAAACTAGAAATCCGAAACGTACACGACATCGAGCGCCAACAACTCGCCCATCTTTGACTCGCTAACGTCGGGCTGGTTCATGGTTGCGCAATGGATTGGCGACATTCAAAAGGCCGCCGGTCCGATCCTCATCTGCGGCATCGCTGTCGCACTTGTCCTCGGCTTCGTGTGGCTTGTATGCCTGCGATACTGCGCGGGGTTGTTTGTCTGGCTCACGATCCTGCTCGTCGTCGCCATTCTCGTCATCACCACCTTCTTTCTTGCGTACAAGGGCGAGCTTCTGAGTGAGTTTGGCTTGCTTGACGCTCCTAGCCGACCTCATCTCCGCTGTAGACAATTCCATGATCGCGTCGAATTTAGCCAAGACCGGGCTGTCCTCGGACGCTATCTCCGACTTGACGACGAGCATGTCGTCGGCGTCGGCCGCGGTCAACTTTGCTGCGGCGCAAGTGAAGTATTGGAAATACGCGGCATATATCTTTATTGCGGTCGACGTGTTGGTGCTGCTCGTGCTCATTTTCATGTGCAGCCGCATTCAAATTGCTGTCGGCATCATTCGCGAAGCATCGAAAGCGATCGGGCGCATGCCGTTCCTTGTGCTGTTTCCACTCGTCCCGGTTGTGTCGATCACGGCGTTTGTCATTTACTGGATCATCGCAGCCGCGTTCTTGGCGACGGCTGGAAGTGTATCGGCGCGCATTGTTGAGGATGTCGTGGGGTCTGCCAACGTCGGCAACCTGACCAACCCGCTGCACCAGCAATTCTCGTTCCACGACGACAATGTGCTCAACTACCTCCTCGTGTACCACGTGTTTGGGTTCCTATGGACCGCCCAGTTCCTTCAAGCGGTGGGGTACACCACAATGGCCGGCGCCGTGTGCGAGTACTACTGGACGCTCAATAAATCCGTACGTTGGCAGGATGCGATGGCCGTCGTCATGCTGCTCTTTTGGCGTCCTCACGACGTCATGTGTGTAGACCATGAGTCGCATGCCCATCCTGCGATCGTTTTACCGCACGATACGATACCATGTGGGCTCCATGGCGTTTGGGTCGTTGATTATTGCGAGCATTCAGTTCGCCCGACTCGTCCTCGAGTACGTTGACCAGAAGCTCAAGACAGCACAAAAGCAAAACGCGATGGTCAAGGTCGTCATGTGCGCGTTCAAGTGCTGCCTGTGGTGTTTTGAAAAGTGCATGAAGTTCCTCAACAAGTACGTCCATGTCGTTGCTTCGAGTCGAATTGTGTCGACGATGACCCCCGTGGTGTTGTAGAAACGCGTACATTATGGTCGCGATGAAAGGCACGTCGTTCTGCTCGGCCATGAAGGAATCGTTCGGGCTGATCTTGGCAAACGCCGCCCGCGTCGCAACCGTCAGCATTGTGTCCATGTTCCTCATCCTCCTTGGCAAGATCTTCATCACGAGTTTCTCGTGCATGATGCTGTTCCTGTTCCTAAGCCACCCACCGTCCGGCCTCCCGTCCTTCTTCACGGACAACCTGGACAACTTGAGTAGCCCCGTCTTTCCCCTGCTGGTGTGCGGTCTCCTCTCGTACACGATCGCGTCCTTCTTCCTCGACGTGTACGAAACTGCAATCGACACGATCCTCCTCTGCTTCTGCGAAGATTGCAAGGTGAATCAAGGGTCTGGCACGTACTTTATGTCGGACGAGCTCCTCGCGTATGTGGACGGCGCGGCCAAGAAGCACGCGTTCGCCCACTACAAACAGACCGAGCCGTGAGAACCGAGTCGAGCGAGACGAGGGCGCCATGCATCTGAAATAATTCCAATGTTGCGTGAAAATTGGGTTTGGGTCTAGAACGGTGCGCGACTGGCTGGTACGTCATCGACTTCGAAAGCACGGGTCAGTAGCCGCGACGTCCTCGGATCGGACGGAGTCAGTTGCGCCTGCCCCCACTGCAACAACTTGATGAGCGGCACACATCCCAACATGAGAGCGGTCAGCGCTTCCAAGTTGAGTTGGAGCCGTACTTCAAGTGCTTCCCTAAGCGTTGTTGAAGTCTCCACGCGAGCATGTCCTCCGTCAAAACAAACGAGCAGAGTCGTCGTCGTGTTGCTGGGCGGGTGGTTGTGTGGATGTAGTGACGACGTCGATGGAAGGGCCGCGTCTGGCACGACGAGTTGGAGAACGATACCGGAGGCAAAGTTGAAATTGCGCGCACGCATGTGAGTGGCAACGAATGGATTGACGTGGACAATGCGAGCGAAGACGGACGAGTGGACGATGTCGGTGGCCGTGGGGGGATGCCGCAAGAGTCGGAGGAAGTGCGGGTCTGGTGTCGATAGCTCTATCGTATCCGCGTGATCTTGCGTCGACAGAAATCCCAGAAGACCCGCCAAGATTCGAACATCTTCGTACACGAGGTCTTCGATGACCAATTGTCGCAACTAGAACAACATGACGGCGCGAACCACCACCCCAAGTCAAGCTACGCACCTCTGAGTTCAGCTTCGAGATAAAGAATCCCCGTAGAGTGCCGCGCAAGTCTCGGCAGCCCACAAGGCGGTGGCTGGAGCTCGCCCATAGCTGTGGGACCACCACATCAGACGACTGGAAGAGTCGGCCATGGCGAGTGTTGCCGATCCGACCGAGGCACTCGAGCACATCCTGCGAGTCTTCCGACGCGTCCAAGACACTCAAGAGATGACGAGGGTACGGAGCATCTTGAGAAAGCAGCGCGGTTTTTGCAAACGTGTGTTTAAACCAAGACGGCATCGCCGTGAAGCCCATGGCGCCTGCCGAGACAGATCAGGAATCCTGTCGTGTGTACAAGCAAACGTACGTGCAGCGGCGGCGGTGTTGGCATCGCGAACGATCTCGGCAGGGATGACAGCCAAGGCATGGTTCTGTTTCTGGCAAACACGGACAAAATGCACGAGACATGACGTGGTCGCGCCAGGATGGAGCCAGTCCGACGTGAGCGAACGAAGAAGGCCCACGGGCACACAGACGCCGCCTACATTCATGTGCATGGGCTCAAGAGAGAACCGACCGATCAATTGGGAAGATGCCGCTGCAGCAGGATGGCCGGAACGCAGGCGTTTGGCAGGTCTAGACAAGTCAAAGAGCCCCCAATGATCGCACCGTTGGTCAGTCGACTAGGCAGTTCCAAGCGGCATTACAAATTGCCAACATTAGACGGGAATCTACCTGATCTGATGGCCTCATGGACGCGTCAAGATGAAACGGGGTTTGCTGGTCGGGGTGCAATGGCCGGCAGTCGAGACGAATGGATGTCGTAACTGAGCGCACTGACGCCGCCGATGGCAACACGTCGTCTAGACTGGTGGACTGCGCGTTATCGTTTGTAGTCAACGAATGTCCACTTTGGTAAACGGCACAGTCGCGGAGGTGCGTGAGGAGGCGGTTCGACTTCGTGTTGAGATGAGCGCCGCAGTGCTTGCACTCAAGACGGCTGCTTGCTTGACCATCCGACGGTAAGAAGCGAAACTCGGCGCTGCCTGGCCGACTCGCCCATCCACCTTCATCGCTGTTGTAGGCGTCGTCGACACCATGCTCGAGGCCGAGGTGGGCTCGGTATGGTAGGCAGTCCTTGAGGTGGCTCAGCCGTGATGGTTTCTTCAACACGATGACTCGGCAGTGGCGGCACTGAAAGCGCTCAATGCCGTCGGGAAGGGGATCGATGGTCGTGAACTCGTTGTCGAATGGAATGTCCTTGCCGCGAGCGTGCACAGTGTGCTTCACGCCGTGGTTGTGTAAGCCGTGGAACGAACTGTTGCGAATCGAGTACCGCATCTTCCCAAAGTCATACGAAAATCGCAGCGTGTATGGGCAATGGAGCTGGGAGCAGTAGAACACACCTCGTTGAATCGCCTTGTGTCCAAAGATGACAAACGCGCGATCGTCCATGAGATGCGTTTGCTTCTGGTTGATCTTGACACCAAACCGCGCGCCATCTTCTCGAATCGCCGCTTGCAATTCTTCGAACGTCGTGAATTCGACGCCAGGCACGATCTTAGACGGAAGAGTCGATGCTGCTTCCGTCCCCAATGACATACACGTCGCACTGCAAAAGTACGTGCCAATTACACAATGCAGAATGTCGACGGCGCATCCATGATGCACCACTTGTGGACAGTTCTCGCGCTGACACTTCCACACGGCCACACCAGACATGCCTTTGCACCCTTCGACATCGCACACCTCGCGGATTGAAGTGCCGCCGCTCTCGTTGGAACTCGCATCCTCCATCAGGTGCGGAGCACTCCAAGTGCTCAAGGCAGAAGAATTTCTTTTGTCGGGTTTTAGCACCTAAATACCCGATGTTGAAGTCAAATACTAGTATGTCATGTTCCGGATAAGTTCATCTGAAATATCCTGTCAATTAAATACGAAATCGTTACTTGTACGAAGTACTCAGGAGTAGCAATTATGGAGGATCATTAGTCCCCATGAAATGCGAATTCCGTCATTTTGTCAAAATATGAAAGTCAAAATAGTTTGTGCGTCGGCGCGCTCCGTGACCCGATGCTTTCACCAAGGCCGTGCGGAGACGAAAAGTGTGTTCATGATCACTCAGTCAGTTAACAACGTAATGCCACGACGAGATCTACTCCGTTGACTTGAACAGGAGCATATAAAGTTGGTCCATGCGGAAGAAGAGCAAAAACTGGGTGTCGTATGCCACAGAGCACCCAAACGCTTTGCCCACGATGCAGTGCCACGTTGGGCCGTATTTTTGGTCGAAGAACTTCTTCATGTCCGTTGCAATATCTTTTTCAATGACGTTGGTGGCCAGAGCTTCACCCAAATGATTGATCGCATCGTCCTTCATAGCTGTCGTCATTTCCACACGCATCTAAAGTTGCATTCGTCAATCGCTGTAGTTGTACCTGAAGCCTGTACCAGAGTAATCTTTGGCGCGCGCCGCTCCACAACAGCACCGCCTTCTGCACTTCCTTCTGCAGGTGCACCATTTGCAACCACTGGATCTCCCATCGGCGGCATCGGCCCGCGAGTGACTCTTCAAAACGTCGAATCCTCCTCCAACTGGTTCCGGACTACCGGATAATATCCGTAAGATCGTGTCGCTTCAGTATGCGTGCAAAAAGATTACCACACTGACACTTCGCTACGTTTACACGAGGCCGTCTCGTAGGTCACGTTTGAAGTCGGTAAGCTTTGCGAAGACATCATGATAACAATTACCTCGGCGGTCGTCGACACATGCAGGCTAAACACAGTCATTGTCGGCATGACCTCGAGTTATAAATAGCCCAGTTTTCTTCGATGGTGGGGAATGATGCGCCGATGGGAGCAACTGGACGCGAGCAACGGACGTGATGTGCAAAGGCGGCGACAAAATGAATACCATGCAGCCCTCGCTGAACAAGTGCGGCTGCAGGAGGCGAAGAAACTGGCAGAACGTCAGGACCGCATGGCATCCCAACAAGTGAACCAACATCGAGGAGGTGCAGGCCATGGGCCACAAGTGCAGGGAGGGTTATTTGCTGGCCTTGGTCAAAACCATACCGTGGGCAAGAACTCGTATGCGAGAGGCCATCACGTTGAGAAAATAGCAGCAGAACGCAAGAAGCAAGGCCAGCCCCAAGAACCGCCTGGTGACCTTGCCTCTGCCAACTCACAACCATCTCCGCCTCCCGGACAGTACTTCGAGCCACAACAGATGCATCCGCCACATGGTCAGCAGCAGTACCATCATCCCCCACAGCATCCCCCGCCCCAGTATGGAGGCGGGTACACTGATCAACAGCACCACTACATGCCCACTCCAGAAATGACGTCGCCCTTCCGCCACCAACCTCCAACCCAAAGCTTTCCGCAGCAGGGGTATCATCAAGGCGGATACGAGTCCCTGCATCAGGACCAACCTCCCTGGACCCAGCCGCTCCTCCCTACGCCCCCGCCGGCTCAAGGTGCGACAACATATCCAAGTCCACCACCACCGTCCCAATTGCCGTACCAACAACAGCCTTCGACGTCACATGGTCGGCGGCATCAGCTAAGTGCCACGGGCGCAGTAGACTCAACCCGTCGAAATGCTCAAATGGAGGTGCAGTCGCTTTTGAAGCTGCAAATGGAAGACAACCAGCGACGAAAGGCCGAAGCAAAGCGAAAGAAAGACGAAGAAGAGCGCGCTGAAATGCAACGTATCGAAAAAGAACTCAAGTTGCAGGCCGACGCGTTCGAAGCGGAAAAGAAAGCCAAGGTGAAGGATGCTGCTGCCAAGCAACAACAACTCGAATTCGACCTTCGGGTCAAGCAGGAAGAAGAACTGAAGAAAACAAACCCAAAATTGCGCCACAAAACCATGCACGACGATGCCGTCCCTTTAGCTCCAGTCCTTATTCAGCCTCCCCCATCCGTGCTCCCGCCGGAAGGCCAAGTTCCTCCGATTATGCCTCCGGGTGGCGCCTCCCGGGAATCTCCTGGGCTTGACCCCCACCCACACCTATTTTCCCCTCGCGACAATCAGCCATGGCAAAACCAGCAGCCATTACACCCGATGTCACAGCCCACGCCACCTCCTTACAGCCCAATGGACCATGGGTACTCGACGGGACCGCCACTGTATCCCCCGACTCGTGTCGGGTTCCCTGGGGATGCATTTGCTCCACCCATGTTTCCTCCCATGATCCCACCAATGCAAATGCAACCTTCGTCTTCGATGAGTCACTTCATGGATGCTCGGTTGCAAATGCTGGCCAACGAATTAGCGAGTCAACGAATGCTGGTCGAGCAATTGGTTCACCAAGCACCGCCGCCGGTCCGCGGCCATGTCCTCACCGCGGACGACTTCGACAAGCTCCGACGTGAGATGCAAGACGAACTCGATCGACGAGATGCCATGCACAGACAGGAGCTAGAAGCGTTAAAGGCCCAGGCAACGGCGGCCGTCGACATGACTTTATCCAGCCGCCGCCATGCATTGACTGACAACAATTATGAGGAGGCACATCGCAACAAGAAAAGTCCGGGGGTTCAACCAGACCAGGAAACCTCACCACAGAAACCATTTCCCGGAGACAAGACGCTTCCTGCAAGCGGGAAGCATTCGTCGCATCTCCCTCCAATGCGACGGTCGTCGGATGGCAGTCCAGTTGGGGACGGCAATTCATTCGTGTCAAATTCCCCGCACAAGCCATTTCCAGGAGCGAATGGTCAGTATAACATCCACGGCCGCTTCACCAAGTCCACATCGCATGGCGCCGCCAACTCGCCAGAAAAGCCCTTCCCGACAACAAGTGGGCACAACAAAGTACAAGGCCAACCGATACTCGATCACGCCGCTATAGCATCCTCCGACAACGTTCATGGCGATGATGGTCGGACTTTTGTGTCGCATTCGCCGCACAAGCCATTTCCCGGCGCGAATGGTCAGTACAATATTTACGGCAGCACGACGACAGCGACATCCATGCAAAAGCCATTCCTGGGAGCGACTCGTCCGACGAGCTCTAACGACACACAACCTCCACCACGACCGAGGCGAGCCAACGACCTCATTGAGAACAACCAGGACGAAGGCGCGTCCGTCGTGTCAAGTTCCCCACGCAGACCGTTCCCCGGAGCACATGGTCCGTACAACTTTCAAGGCAACGCACCAGTTGTGGCACCGTCGTCGAAATCGCCAGATGCGAAACCAATTCCAGGTGGCAATGGACTGCACACACTGACACATCTGCGGTCACCCCGGCGACGGCAGACGCACGACGTTGAATCCCAGTCCCCACCGAAACCTGCGCGCGCCAAGCCATCGAGCCGAATTCACCCTCACGCATCCCCTCCAAAGGCAGCGCAGCGATCTCGCCACGCTTCTTCCCCTGACAAACCAACAACGGAACCCCCACACGTCAAACCCATTCCGCGTCACAAAACCCCCTTGACCAAGCCCAACAAGCCTCCGTTTGAAGTGGTCAACTTGTTAGAGGGGTCGTTGGACGGCCCGTCGTCCTTTATCGCCTCCAAGAACGACCACGCGACGACGTTCAAGTGCGAAAGCACGATGATTTACTTTGACGGTCAAGTTGATACACAACAATGTCCAGCCATGCAGCCCAACCAACTCGAAGCCAGTCCCATCCACATGTCGACTCTGTCGCCCTGCTTTTCGTCCCTATTTGCCGGCACAAACGAGGCGTCGTTCATTCACACACCGGGCGACCCGCTCAACAAGTCGCTGCCCACCGCACCGTCTGCAGTGGTGGAGCCGTCCACTTTGGTTGCATCCACACATCCAAAACCGTCGTTTCACGTCCATGTCGTGGCGCCGCCGTCATCGTGGCACACATTGCGTTACGGTTGCGACGAGTCCTTCAGTCGGACCACCGGTTGGGACGGAAGTTTTGACGTCGACACGTTGTTCGAGAAAAACACAACGCGGCGGACGTTGCTGGAGGTGCGTTGGGTGGACGATTTGCTCGTTGTGTCTGAGGAGACCGTATGCAGCAACTAGAACAGCAACCTGTTCGTGCGCCGCAGCATGTCGAGGATCTGGTGGCGACGTTTCGGGCCATGTCCAGCCAAAAGTCGACCCGCCCGGGACCTCAGGTATCGATGTCCATCGATCGTTTGGATTGAGTGGGGCGTTGTTGCAGGATGAAGTCCACGCGACGTCGAAATGGGTCGGCGCCACCATGCCCAAGTGGCTGGTCAAGTCGTCACCAGATGCAACACCATCAAATTGTGCCGTGGTTAGACGTAAACGAGACTATGTGGGGTAGCACACTGCGCCGCGGTGTCGACGCAGGGCTTCCGTCTTCCATCGTGAATACCTCCCGGCCTTCAAAATAGTCTTTCGTGTACACGATCTCGTCCGTGGGGTGGTCGACCACGGGCTCGTCGTCCGGCTGGTGGATTGACGAGTTGCTGTGGCGGGACGAGTCCAAATAGTATATCGATGTAGACGCAGCACCGTCGCTGCTCTCGGGGGAGTACGGCAGCGCCATCACCACCGGCACGACAATGCTGTCCATCAAAGCGTCCATCGTGGGTTCTGGGCCACCTGTTCGATCCGACAGTTTGCGGCGAAATCCGCCTTCAAATGGTTCCCGCCACCCGTACAGGCACGCGCCAAGAGCCATGGCACCACTGGTTCCCACAAGCACCGGCGTAATTGCCGCGTCAAAGAGATATGCGATGGACAGCGCTGTGTACAAATTGACAAGCGTCAAGCTCGCGTGGAACGAAGTGGACTCGGTCGCGTGGTGCGATGAGCTCGTGACGGCGTAAAACAATAGCACCGCCAACGTGTACCCAATAAAGTAGGTGCTCGTAGCCCCGCTCCACACAGCGGTAGTAGTCATCGTGGAGAATTCGCCCAATATCGCCATTTGAATTGCTGATAGCACTGTGCCGACCACGCCGATTTTGGCAAAGATTTCAACAGGCGGGACAAGTTCGGACGTCATGTTGGCCGTGAACTTGTGCAGAACAAGCGCAGTTGCGGCAAAGGCGGCCGCGCCGATGGTCCACACGTGGGCCGCTATGGAGCCGTCGTCGGTTCGGCCGATCATTGCGACGATGGTTCCTGCCAGAATGGCAAGCGCGCCAAGGTAATTGGCAAGGGAGTACCTCGTTCGCAAGATCGAGTACGCCAAGAGCATGTGAAACGGGATCGTGAAGTGCATGAGCAGCCCCATGAATGCGTAATTCGCGTTCGACGCAAACGCTTTAATGACACAAAAGTGGCCTTCGACATGAGCTAACCCAAGGACCAGCCACAGCCACCATGGTCGGCGGATCTGTGTTCGTCCCAGCACAAACGGCAGGCACGTCAACGCCAAGAGGACAAAGGCAATGGCGGTTTGGAGAGTGGCCACGGCGTTGCCGTTCGTGTTAAGGTACTTTGTCCCGATGTATTGAAGCAGGACGGTCACAGCAATCGCCTGGCCGCACAGGATGCTCGTGGCGATGCTGCTCACCAACGCCATTTGGTACGGTTGAGAAGCGTTGAAAAGTGTGCTTGGAGCACGTGCACCACTTTATCACGAATGCAAACATCGAGATGGTTTCAGCGCTGCGGAGCGAGTTGGGGTCACGAGGCACAAGCGTGTGCGAGGCCATACTGAGTTACCACAGTGGCAAGTGGGTTACGTTGGAGCCAGGTGAACCTATATCCCACACATCTCAGTGGTTCTTTCCATCGGCCTCGCAAAAACATCCGCAACGATGTGTCTTTCCCACGATTCTCCCACTTCGTATCGACCCGCTCGACGTGCAGTAGGACAAGTCGACCATGTCGCCATTCCTTGTGCTTGGGTTGCCTCGGCGCATTCCAGGCGGACGAGGATCTCCAGTAAAACCACGACAATTCTAAATTGTAGTAGTACTACTATATATCGGAGTACTAAATGCATCGTTTTTGGAATTTTGAATGGTGTCGATAGATTTGGTAGTATAAACATCACAGAAGTCTAAAAAGGTTCCAATATATTGCGAAATTTTGGTTTTGTTGGCATCGGTTAATATCCCGATGGCATTGATGAATCGATCTGATTGGCTGATGAATCATGTCTGACAAAGCAGACGCAACCAGAAACGAATGGCGCCATCGACATGGCCGTATCCTCGCAACATGCGTAGTGGCTGTCTGTCTTCGACTCTTCTTGAGATTATCACGCTTGGAGCTCTGCGGCGGCGACCTTGTTTTTCATGCTCCTGGGTTGTCCATGCTGCGTGCGGATCGAGAGTGTATGCGTTGCGCGCAACATTCCTCAACAGTGTCAGTCGCATGTATGTCCCCAGAACTAGCCAATCAACTGCCGTCTTAAAAGAATGGACCAATCAGATCGATTCAAGTTTTATCGCAAAATACAAGTGGTGTTTTTTTATCAACATTACCTTGCGCCGTGGCGGCGGGCGCGCACGCACAAGTGGCAGGCATTCATCTGGACTTCAAAAGCTGCCACTGAACACCACTTGTGCCTTGCAACGCGACAGCCGTGACATTTCGTTTCGCCGAGCAAGATGTTTGTACTCCAGGAATGTACAGGGCGTTCGGTCTAAACAATGCGGTTCGCCAGTGCAGCTCGGATCCCGAGCTGACCAAACACCAACCCGACTGCCAGCGCTGCTGGCTGTACCCAAAAAGGCAAGTCTTGTCGACCGACAATGATGCCCACGATGCGCAGCCAAAGCGGAATAAGGCAGCTGTAATAGAACGTTGCCAGCATCACGGTTTTGTGCGCACCCACGTTCCCTTGTCGAATTTTGTACCAGCCATATCCCTGGCACCCCATTTGTAGCACACCACCCACGGTAATGCCGATGGAAAACCCCAAGTCTTCCGTGTAGCGCTCCCACCACACCGCGACTGCACCGGTGATGAAAGAGATCACGCCAGAGATCATTGCCATGCATCCGAGCAGTCGATGAACTTTGCGGTAGACGCGGCCATGCGATGGCGTGTGGAATACGTTGAAGATGCAAATGCACATGAACAGGATTGAAGTGACCAAGTGCATGGCAAACACTGGGCCGACGGGGATGCCATTCGATGGTGGCAACAAACCAACGACAATCCCCAATCCCTTGTACAAGGTGAACCAGAGGCCCAGTAAGGCGCCGATCAACCACCAAATCGTGAAGTTGCCATCGTACCAGGCACGGCAGGGGGTCGATTCTGGGTCAGGGCGTACGCTACTTGCTTCGCAATGGGGCATCGTGGATGGGGTCATGTTGGAAAGTGAAGTGCTGCTGTCGACTAAGTATGTGCACGCTTTCGATGACAACATCTACCACATCGAGATTGCTACTAGAGTCATCATGTACATGAAGGGAAAGGAGAAGTTGAATATGTTAGCTTACTTTAACTCATCCCAAGTATACTCTACTCTATCGAAAAATTTGCATCTATTTAATAAATGTCCAAATATCTCTTGGTTTTTCACTACAGTTATATAATTTTGTCCATGGTGTGGTAGTCAACTTCGTCGTCTTCGTCGTGTCATCAGCAATTGTGGACAGCCGATGCACAAGAATTGTTGAAAATATTTCACACGTGTGAATTGTCACGTCATTGCAACGGCATTGCAACCTGACCAGCAACACGGCCTCCTTCACGCATGGGCATTGGCACATCGTGCTGATGTAAACTGTGATGTCACACAGAGTCGACAGCACAACACGAGGAAGCGAGAACGCTGGCGTGAAATCTGAGGCACGTAGAGGAGTTCTCCCCCGCGTATTCAACACGGCAGGGTGTGCGCGACTCGAGATCATCCATGGCCCAAGCAGGAGTTGTGTTTGGTCGCAGCAAGCTGGTCAGCTCATTTACGCGATGCCAAGTTGTATGGCGCTCCCGCACGAGGCGCTGACCTGCTCGACGTATTCGATCGATGCGGCGTCGATAGAGGGGGTTCACGACGTAAAGTATCGCGGCTGAGGGGTCATGGGGGTCATACCCGATGTAGTGCGTTCCATCGGCAAAGCCCAAGCGTGCCATCAAGTCGGCCACGTCGTGATTGATAAGCAGCAACGATCCTGTCGCAGGAATCTCAAAGATTTTGGCGACAACAAAATCCAGTCGCGATGTGCACGTGAATGTGGCCACATACGAATGCACGAGCCGAGCATACGACGTGGTTTGCGCCAAGGCTTCTGTGTCGGATGCGTAGCCTTCGTAACCAGGATGCGGATGGACGTCCAGTGGAAGCTTTCCAACTTGCTTTTGCGCCCATGCGCGTAGGGGGTAAAATTCTGCATTTGCGGCGCCCACAAGAAGGACGCGGGTGACAGGGGCCGGATGTATGTTGTCATATTGAAACGCAGAGTTGGCCGCGTGGGGAAGCCAGGCAATCGTGCGCAGGTGTTGCCAGTAGGAAGGCTCAAAGAAGGCCTTCATCGCGTACGCATATGTCCCAATGAACCCATCCAACGAGTGAAAAAACGGACGCACAAATACGTCCGCGTCGCGGCGATGCAAGCGGCAATTGTGCAAGTCGTCGCAGAAAAGGAATTGTCGCGGACGTTGGTGACGGTGGGATGCGAGGCTTCGTTGTAGAGCTATCCAGTCGGACGGCGTGGGGGCTTCAAAGTGTACAATGACGTCGAGAACCGTGTCCTGGCGCGCGATCGCGGCAACAAGCTGCGCGATCGACACACGAGTATACGACAGCGGACTGTCAACTGCATGCGAGAGGAACTCACCCCACTCGGTCGAGATGTACCGATTCCAGTCGATCTTTCCATTCCACGAGTCCACAATCGCGACGGAGAGAAGCTCCTGCTCGGGAACATGCGCATATACGAGCGGACACGACAGGGTCGATGGTGACGCGTACGCCACCGCGACGGAAGGTGACAGCACCAAGGTGTGAGTCGACGGAGCCACTGCCACGATGTCAAAGCGGTGTAAAAGGCGTGGCCACGATTGCGGCACGATTGCTGGGTCGGTGGTGTGGACTTCAATCAAGTCATGACAAATCGATAGCGGGGGGGTGCTGCTCGACTGCACCGAGAGGAACAAACGTGCTGTTTTTGCTGTTGGAACGCGCACGCGAAAAGTGCCGGCACTGATGCACGAGTGGAATTCGCCGTCGACTTGAAGGCAGACTTTCGTGTCGACTGGAAAATCCACTGGATGCGCTTTCGACAAGATAATCTTTGGCACCACGGTGAAGTACCGGTCAACCGCTTGCCCGTTCCTGGGCGAACGAATCTCGGCTTTGGCCAGGCATGAAGTGTGTACAACGACTCGGCGCAGATCGTACTGCACAATCACGTCGTCCACGTGGCGAGGCGGGATGCGAACACGACCAAGGAGGATGTATTCGCCAGGCGCGAGTGGTGGCAACACCATGGCAATTCGTGCGGTGGTGGCGGCGTTGGACAACGAGAAATTTTCGCTACAAGTCGTGTGAACAACTTGATGAAGTCGAATGGCATCGACACAGGCGATGGCTTGGATTAGTTCAACTGGGCGGCGCGATGGTATCGCCCCACTGATCAGCGTGCCATGAGATGCATGCACAGAATCTGGCGTGGATGATTCATTTCGCCAGTCACTCCAACTTGTCCAGCCTCGTCGTCGTTCGGGTGGTGTTGTGAGGACAAGCGTGATGGCCACCTCCACGAGGAGAGGCGGCGGTGGCCATCCCACATGCTGCAGATTCAACGGCGACAAAATACTGACGTCAACATGGGCAAGTCCATGCGCAGGCGCGGCTCTTGTCCATGCGATTGCGGCGCCACCAATGGCCGACAACCGCCACCCCATTGCGATCTTGAAAGGATTTTGCAACGAAATGGCCAGCCAATCAAACGCAATGAACCCGCAACGTCGAGCCAAGCGCCGTAGACGTCGCTGGTTCTGGAGGGATGTCCCCTCCATGCTGCAGGTTACGATTGCGCCCGTCCGCATGGAATTGTCAAGAGGGTCTTGATTCGGGTCCCCGGTGACTGCCATGACACGAAGGCGCGGCTTGAGCGAGATGGGTCGGTAGTTGCCGGACTGGAATCGTAAAATGTGGTTTACAAGGGCCCATGATCTCGGCAGTGTTGCTGTTTGCCTGTCGCCGCACCTGAATCCCATTTTGGTCGGTTCTGACTTGGATGCGTCTTGCCATTCGCGGAGTCACTGTGGCTCTGAGAGCATTGGCAACATGCCGTCCCATACACACCATCCCACGAAGCCGCAACTCCAAATATCCCCTCGTGTCAAACGGTGCTGCTGTGGCCTTGACGAAGCGCTGCATCCTATCAACTACGACAGTGTCTGCATAATCTTCCTTCTCGTCGCAAGTGAATACGTGGCCGCCCCATGGCGTCGTCCCTTCTCGCTACGTCCATGATGTTGTGTCAAGGCGCTAGCATGCCATGGAACCAAGCGGTGGCATTCCCACCCTGCAGCCAACACCGCAAGAAATCACACGAGCAGGCATCGCAGACGGCTGGCACAAACAGCGACTAGCCCAACTCGAAAGTGACCCTAGCGGAAACAACAAAGAACCCGGCATCACGAGTCGATGTTCGCATCGATAACAACAAGATCACGAGACAGTTCACTCACATTCGAACAAGAACGACCCCCATTGGATTCCCCCCCAACGCTGTGGTCGGCAACTTGTCCAGGCGATCGGCACTTGTCACCTTGTCCGTGGCTCCGTACAAAGGATTGACAGAGTTGGCAGGACACTTGCCCCCGCCTCCCGGGCGGCCCGTCGACCCGGCCATTCATTTGACCGCGGCATGCATGTTCACAATGGACTTGAATCTTCAACACGTTGAACGAAAGGCGAGAGCGACGTCTTGGCCTGATATACTTTGGCAACAGCGAAGACCGCTTGGTCAGGTGGAGAACGACCGAGTGCTTTAGGACTGGTCATGTTTTCATTCACCCGCGAAACGAGTGTTGCGAGGCACCGACGGCAACCACTGTCTGTCTGACCAAGGCCGGCGAAAGCTTGGAAAAAGGTTTTCGACCGAGGAGTGATTTGTGTGTGCATGCATCGTGTAGGGAAGTCGCCTTCTTGGTGCCACTTGGTCGGCAACGAGAAGGTCGTTCGTGTGGGGAGTTGCCCCCATGCTGGCCAACCGCTACACCAGCCAACGACACAACAAACACGCTGGACTGTGTCATTATCTACTCGGTTGGTTCACTCTCGTCGTCGTCGTCATCTGGAACGATCATGACCTTCTCCATCACCCGCGTGAGCTGCAGCATGATTGTCTAGAACATGACGTGATTCACTTGGAAGAGGATGTCGAACTTTGTTACTGTCAAATGCGTGGCTGCTGTCTGGATGAGCTCGCGGCGTCGACGGAACTCGTTGATTTGGCTATCGACTTGGCCCGTGAGAGAGGCACGATGGAAATTGTTGACGGGGGTGACACGAGTGACCGACCCTCGGCCAAGAAAGCCGCCAGACAAGTTGCCACCGCCACTGGTACGTCTCCCAAAGTCACTGCTCCGATGGAATAAATTTTCCACATGCATGTGGCCATGGAGAGATGCCGTGCGGAAGTGGTTCATGCTTTCGGAATGATGGATGCCCTCCACGTCGCCATGCGGTTTCGGTTGCTCGGACGCGAGGTCGTCGGTGGTCGAACTGGTCGCGTGCATGAGTTTGTACACGTTTTGCATCATTTCGTCCAGGAGCAGGACGACGACGCCGCATTTTTTCAAAATGTCAATGTCTTCAACGGACAAGACGGACGTTGATTTCTTAGCGGGGGCTTCCAGTGGGTTGCGCGGCGCATCCGGCACGTTGCCGCGCTGCACTTGTCGCATCAAGGGCCGCCCCGTGTGAATGAAAGGAACGGAGAACGCACCTGTTGCTGTTTGAAATACTGCTCGTAGCAATAGTAGAACTGGCCCCCGATCAACGACAGGGGCATGGCCGTATAGCACGACCCAAACACCATGACCAAGATGTCAATGAAGCGGCCGACGGGGGTGCGAGGCTTTAGATCACCATACCCGACCGTCGTTAGCCTAGGCGCGCCGTCAGGTTGGTATTCCCGACTGCATCTTACGTACGTGACGATCGAGAGCCACGTTGACCGCCACATGTCGGTGACAATTGTGAGCTTGTCGATTTGAATTTGAATCCGCTTCCCGATTGAAAATGGTTCGGCAATCGCTTGTGTCATGATGTCGAGTCGCCACCACAGACATGGCAAGTGAGCGCGGCACGCAATGCCGCGCTCGACTTCGTAGAAGATCGCACCCGCCGACACGCACCCCAGAAACAAAAAGAACAGCTACCCAACACAAGACCCATCCACACTCGATCAAAAATGTTTCACAGTCGTCGGCCCATCCATGGCGTACCGGGATCAAAAGCCGTCGGTACGTCAAGACGGCAGTACGGGCCAACACGGAGCTCGCTTTAAAATGCTAAGGGCACACAGCGAAAGCTCCAACATGGCTGCGAGTGATACGACGACGCACCTTGCCCATTTTCAACACGCGCAGCGTCTTCAAGATTGGCAGCACCGACATCACGGTCGGAAAAGTCGGAACAATCGCAAACAGCGTGGGCCGCGCTTCCATCCAACTCGCAGCGACCTACACAACAACGCGTCCTTGGTGCACTCGCATCATCCACACGGCATCCAACCTCGGCGTAGAAAGGAATGACCGCGCCAATATCCAACCAGGACCCCATCGACTGCACCAACTTGCAGCGGCGTTTCGTGGCGTACAACCGCAGTGAAAATTCCATCGTGAAGACGAACGCAAAGTACGCTTCGGGGTAAAACCATAGCGCAGTCATATCGACGAGGGGGGCGTGGTCGGGTTTGCATTCCCGGAGGTGGCACATGCGTTGAGGAAACGCAAAGCTGTCCTCGCACGCCATGGACGCTGTCGGCGACCCAACGTTCCATCCGGACCCGTAGCACTCGGTGCCGTTTTGGCAGTCAAACGAGAGCTTCGTGGACGTCACTGTCGTGTTGGAAGTCCAGACAAAGCAGCCAGGGTCCGTCGCGCTGGATCGAGTTGGTGGTTTGCAATACGTACCCATCGCTCGCCGACACAAGAACGAGTCCGGGCCGTACGCTTGCAATTCCGGCGTGGTTTCCGCGTAAAACATAAAGACACTGAAAAGAACGTGGGCGTAGAAGAACCAGTTGAGCCAGATCGCGTGCGTGGTTGAGGACGGCTGCTCGAGCGCCCTCCGCAGCCGCTTTCGAAATGGCAATGGCTTCCCGTCCAGCGTCGATGCTTGTCGGTTGAGTGTGGTGTGGTTCAATTTTTGGTGGATAGCTCGTTTCGCTCTACGTTTGCATTTGGGTGAGATCCACCGATCCATGAGTTGATTGAGAGCATCGCACGGACCGATGGATGACGTCGCTGGCCATGGACGACAACGACGACGCGCGGCTGCGAGCGCGACGGTTTGGGGATTCCCCTGGCGCGAGCCCTGTTGACTGCACTGGTTGGAACACGCGCATGTCGACCATGAACTTTTGATACATCACAATCACTTGCTTGCACGTTTGATTGAGCGTCTCGAGCAACTCGACATGGAGTCGGCTTGCGTGGCCATCGAGAACGTCGTGCGGCGGCTACCATGCAGCATCGTCAGTCGATTGCCACGACGGACGACGTACAATGGCCATGATCGTGTGCACCATGTCTTCCAGCGTTGTCACGTCTTTGACAAGGTCCAGGTACTGCGTGTACGCCGCATGCACGTGGGGATGGATGTCTTCGCTGGGCACGGAGAACGGATGTGCAGACGTAACCTTGACCGTTGCTGGGTGGCGGGCTGTCGATTTGGTGCTCAAACTCGTCGTCGTTCGCATGGTCTTGATCTCGTATCGAAGCCACGTGAGCTCGTACTTGATTCCGATGATGGCGAGTGGCATGGCCAAGTACAAGGCCCCGAAGATGAGGATCGCTGATGTAACCAAGACGGAGATGGGGTTGTCTAGATCGGGCACTTGGTCGCCGTAGCCCACCGTCGCGACACTGCATCACGTGCAAGTCCATCAGCTCCTGAAGAGGAGCTGGCATCGCAGTCTTTACCTGACCATGACAAAGTAACCAGCGTTGAAGATGTCGGTGAATGGGCACTTGGTGTAGTTGTAGCACGGTTCCGCGTAGTAAAGCATCGTTCCAAACATCATGACGATCGTGATGAGGAAGAAGAGCTGTCGAGGGTTGGGGTCAGCCACACGTCCTGGAATGCCGGGATGGCGGCGTACCGTGATCTGCAGAGGCGGGATACACTCGAGGAAAGTCGTTCGCAGCACCCGAATCCCGTCCACGTCCTGGACAAAGGGTGAAACTAGCACTGGAGATTCCATGCTGGACAACTACCCGAAGCATGTACACGACCCGAATGATGCGGAAGAGACGGAGGAGCTTCATGTACCGCTCGATGGGCTGGCGGCGGTCGGCGGCCCATTGCAATTCGTACTGCATCAAGAGAGATCCGAACAGCGGCAGGATGCCAAGCACATCGACCCAATTGTTGGCGCGGGTCCAAAACTACGATGACCACGCGACGTCAGTTCCGACACATCGCCATGTTCGTGCGTGGCATGACTACCTTGCGCTGCCGCTTGGCCACGACCACCTTGACGATCAAGTCGAGACCGAACACTGCCGTAAAGAAGACCTCCCATGCAAAGTACGTTGCTTCGAACGGCAAGAATGGGTACATAGGGTCACTGCCGCCGTTTGCTGGTCCATCCAATGTTTGGAGCATCATGGGAATAAAGTTGGTCACAATCGCACCGAGCATAGTGTAGTGGTACACTCGACCCCATCGACTCGAGCGTGAGTTCTTGACAAGCTTTCGCACGCGTCGTCGCCAGCCACCCAGCCGCGCTTTCTCTGCTTCGTTCATCTGCCGTTGCTGCGCAGTCTGTCGAGGCGAGTCAGGTGCCTCCAGGGTCGCCAGCACCTCGGGGGGCAAGTTGTCCATTACGTCCGCGAGGGCCACGGAGTCGCGCCGAGAGCTACCGTGGCTCTCTTCGTCTTTGCGGGTCGTGAGAGACATGGTCCACCCAGTGCGCAGTATATTCTCCACAGCGTGCGTGCTTGGTTTCGTCCGCCTGCGGCGTTTTAAAACGGAAACCACGCAGTCGTTTCGCCGATATCGTAATCGGTGGGTGTGTTGTACGCATTCATGCGAATTTCAACAATTTGAAGGAAAAGGACGATTTGTTATTTGGTGGTGTGACTAGAGCCGAGGCTGCGTTGGCCACGTGCTTCGGACCACCACGTTCCGATCGGATGGTCTACAGTGGTCGTGGGTGGCGTGATCTTTGGCGGGCAGCAGTGCGCGACAATGTTTTGGATCGTGGCCTCGTCGGCGCCGAAATGGGTTGCCAGGCGCGACACGGGCCATTGCGCTGGGCTTTCGCGGGACAGTCGGAGGAGTTCGCGGAATTGGCGATCTGTAAATCGCCCAGGGACATCGTCAACCAACGTAGTGGCGTTGGATGCGTGGGTTTTGTCCGTTGGCATACGAATGGGACCATCGTTCGTTGCTCGCCGGCCTGCGGCCGTGGCGTGGAACGCGGTCATGTCAGTCTATGCAGAGTGAAGTCAGGTCAAGTCATTGGACTCATTCTCCACGCCGTCGTACCTCGAGAAATTCGACTTTATCTACAGTCTCCTCAAAGCGCTCGGCTTCATGGAGCACGTGCTTGTCCATTTCAATGACTCCTGTGGGTTCAACGACACGGCGCCGGCGCCTTTGCACTACGACACAACCAGGTGACGTGACTACGTTGCTATCTTGTCGGTTGCATACATACTCAAGTCTTCCCGTTTAATGCTAGTTTGAATCACTTTTTTTCGAGTGCTTGCCACGACAGCCGCCGCCGCCGCACGCGGCGCAGGTTGGCTTGCTGCGGCACCCATTCCACGAGTTGTTCGATCGACGGTGAATACACCACCGACACTTCATCACACTATTTCTTGCTTGTAGTACAGTATATGGGACATTTCTCTATAGAGCACCAGTCGAACTCCTATATTTAGTGTGCCAACCATACTTTAAATAGTGTGGATCGTGGACCGATGATGACAGACGCGTTGGATGAAGAGTGTCTGTACATTAAAATAGGGCCATGGAGACGACGACGCCCCCGCTTAACGTTGGATGTGCTGGTTCTCCGCGCGCTCAAACATGGGGTCGAACAGCTCGGACTGGTTGATCGGGTTGCGCTTGCCATTGGCAAACGAGAAGCGGTGGGCGCGCCACTGCTCGCCTTCCGTCGGTTGGTACGTAAAGTAGTCCTGGCGACGGTCCTTGTCGAAATGGACGTCAGGGTGCTTGGTCGAGTACCGCATCATGGTGTACGACGCGCCAGTGAGAGCCACCGTCATGATCCCAAGAATCGGGTACGTGGACGGGTCAGTGAGCCACGTCTTGGTGAAGTTGTACGTTGCGCGAGCAGCCATCGTGTTGGGTTGTGGAAGGGATGAAGCGAAAGCAAGAATGCGGTTGTATGTGTCATTCTCTCGGCGACTACCTTGTCCATCGCATGTCTCTTTCGACCCTGCGTGTCTAGGTGGATCGTTTGGAAGACATTCCGACATGACAATCTTATCCGGACTTCGTATTCATCCAGCTGAATTAAATTATATACAATTGGCAAGTTAAAATGGTTCAGCGCACAATTTAACGAATTTGCCGCCCAACTTCAACGTGTCTAGACACGCATCGACGAAAAGACAAGCGAACCGAGATGGTCATGGGACTTGCCAGCCCTGGCGCTCACGGCCGGCCAACTTCATTCTTGCTTTCGCTTCATCCCTTCCACAACCCAACACGATGGCTGCTCGCGCAACGTACAACTTCACCAAGACGTGGCTCACTGACCCGTCCACGTACCCGATTCTTGGGATCATGACGGTGGCTCTCACTGGCGCGTCGTACACCATGATGCGGTACTCGACCAAGCACCCTGACGTCCATTTCGACAAGGACCGTCGCCAGGACTACTTTACGTACCAACCGACGGAAGGCGAGCAGTGGCGCGCCCACCGCTTCTCGTTTGCCAATGGCAAGCGCAACCCGATCAACCAGTCCGAGCTGTTCGACCCCATGTTTGAGCGCGCGGAGAACCAGCACATCCAACGTTAAGCGGGGGCGTCGTCGTCTCCATGGCCCTATTTTAATGTATAGACACTCTTCGCTTTTGCACGTGGGCAAACGAGCCGTCATGTCATGTCGAACGTCACTAGCATGCACTGTGTCGACGCATGCTAACTATTCAGCGACGCCGTTGAGTCACCGGACTGTCCACGATAACGTGTTCTCGGAGCTTCTGTACCAGCACCTCTTTGCGTCCGTGTGCTCGTCGCTGCGCTGGTTGACGTCGAATCCCACACGAATTCGGTCGACCGTGGTCATCCCGATCTTTCATTGTACGGGAGTCATTGTTTTCTGCGATTGCGTGCTGCGGTGGCAATAAGTTACGAATTTACACGGCATCTAGTTCTATCCCGACGTCGGTCGCACCAGCCTGAGGACGTCTCCAGTGTCGGCACTGTCGGATGCCAACGCAAACGTCGGGCTCACGCTGGGCACGCTGCTGCTACTTGACGGCCGTTGCTTCAAGTGCATGTACACGTTGGTTGGTAGATCGATGCTCAAGTCGAGCGAAAAGCGTCGTCGGCCGACGAGCTGACCTGCGAGTGGCGTGGAGTCGGGAACTGGGTAGAGCTGGGCTGTCAGAATGTAAAGATGAAGCTTTTCCGACACGTACCGACGATGGCACCGGTGCTGGTCTTGGACAACTTGAGCACGACTTCGGCCGCTTGGCACGTCTCGTCCTTGATCGAGCCTCGTTTTTTCTTCAGCTTTTTCTTTTTCGCGGCATTCTTGCCCTTCTTTGCCTTTTTGCCCTTCTTCGGCTTCTTTACAACCGATGGCGTGTACACTTCAGGGAGGGCGTGGTTGGGGGCAATGGCATCGTCGGCAGCCTCGGACACGTCCGAGTCGCAGTCGTTGCAGCACATGCCGTTTTCGAAGAGCTCTTCCTTGAATACCATGTCGGTCAGTCCAGACAACTGCCCAGCACACACGTAAGTTCACGTGCCATTCGATGTGGAATACTACCTCGGACTCGCATGCGTTGAGGACGTTAGAGTGCCACAACCGACCTTCGGGGCCATCGTGTTCTTTTGTCGGAACAGTGCAGTCGTGCGCACTCGGAGTAAGTGTGGTCGCTGATGGAATGGAAATGATGTGTTTCTCTCGAAGGTTGTTGGTGCTGCTCTCATGCGGTTGTTGCGGGGGTCCTTGGCGCTGGATAAGATCTTCTTCAGCCGCGACTTCACCGGTCAGGTCAAAATACACGAGCAGCGTGCGACACCAGTGTACGCCCATAGCTTCAAGGTCTGCGATCGAGAACTGCGTGTCTTTTCTGACGCCAAAGTCCGGGCCGCAAAAGGATGCTTCCAGCGTGTACGAGTTGACCACGCCGAGCTCTTGGTGGACCACGACCCGCGCGGTGTTGCGCTTCGACGGCTGGACTTTGAAATTGCAGTGGGCAAATGAAAACATGTCCGAGTGTTTTGCCTGCACGACGAGTCAATTGTGTTGGGATGGCGACAGAGGTCACGGGCAAAGAAGTACCACAAGCATGGGGAAGACGCGGGGGTCGTCGCTCGCGACGAGCTTGGACTCGGACGGGGGTTTGGCTTTTCTCGTTGGTTTGAAGCACCCGTAAGTGAAGATGTTGCGTTGGATGCTATGGCCATGGAGGTCGCAGTAGATGGCGACGCGGGGCATGCCGAGGGGGGGTTGCGGGCGTTGGTAGTTGGTGATGAGTCGTTTCAGATGGAAAATGGTCGGAAACAGCTTTTCGACCGGGTACGCCCATTTTCGATTCAGGTCCCATCCTACGCCCCTTCTTGTTCACACAGCCCAACACGAATGCAAGAGCACACAAGTACCTGCCAAGTTGACTCGGGTATTGCCGTTGATCACGCCGTCCGGGTTGAGCATCGGCGCAATCTTAAACACAAAGTTGTTGCGTAACACGACGGCCCCGCATGCTTTCGACGTCAGGTAGTCAATCATGCCCTGTGCGCGACGCAGGTCAGTCCAAGCCACGTCAGGAAAGCGTACCTTCATCATGAAGCTGCTGTTTGCCTCGCCTGGATGCACTCGCGCCGATATGAAAATGACTGCACGATCTGGTCAGGCATGGTGTGGCATAAACAACAGCGACTTCGAACCTCGCCTTCCGTCGACAGACTTCCCCTCCTTTCCAGGAGCAGTGATCGTGAGCAAGTCGCACGAGTTTCCAGCAAGCGTGAGGCATAATTCCGTGCGCCGACACACGACGGATCGGTCAGGGTCGTTGCCGAGAGCGTCCAAGTACTCCTGTAAGTCTGGTTGACAAAGCCATCGCATCAAACATCATGTACAGGGAAGTGCTCCATCAAAGGGCCTACCAGTGTATGTATATGGCTGGATGCATGCAAAGTACACTCGATCACCGGGTCTTGAAAAGGTGTACGTAAACGAAAGCGTATTGGATCCTTCTTGTCTCGAGGACGGCTCGTACGAAATGTTGTGGCCGCGGTGCCTCCACCCTACGACATCCAAGTCGATGCGTGAGCTGTTGGCTGCATCCATGCTTCATGAGAGATGCTCGTACCAACGCCGTTCTCGGCTGCATCCAATTCGGAGTACACGACGGGTTGAAGGCCGATCTTGAACAAGGCACCCGACTTGGCCAAATTGACGATGGCGAAGCGATAGGACGTGCCTGGGACACCATTCGTCACGGAAAAGTAAAACCATTGGCGATACGCGCTGTTGTTGATGTCTGGGTGAATGTAGAGCTCGTACTCGTGGACTACATGTCAATCTTAGGCCACTTGTGCATGGGGAGCATGGTTGGGTGTACATGCGTCGTCGTCTTGGGTAGGATGGTCCAGATACCGCACGCGGTCTGCGCGAAGGAGGTTGCCACTTTCAAATATCGAATCGAACTGGAGGGTGGTCGCAGATTCCATGTGAGTCAACCCAGGATCGTAGTAGCTGTAAACCGTCATTCGTCGCGTGGTGTCGTCGTCGTCTTCATCGTCGTCGCTGTCTTCGACAGGTAAGGGCATCACGGGGGCAGCGGAAGATGTGAGAGATGATGTTGTGGGCACCAAGATTGCCTCAGGAGAGTGTGGGCTGTTCAATAGGTGTCGGATCACGGGTAGCTCAGGTAGTCGTTCTGGGCATCCTGTCTTGGCGACCTTAACTTCCGTGGGAAGTTTGTACAAAGGCAATGGCGACGACAACACGTCCGGCACTGACTGTGTGCTATGAGTTCGAGGCTTCAGCTTGGACATCTCGGTCGCATGAGAGGCCTGTGTCCGCGTCGGTCGCAGTGTCGTTTCACGCCCAACCGTAACTGTCACTTGTGTTTTCTTTGGTAAGAATAAATGATCCATTGATATTTCCAAACGTAACTATATAGACAATTATCAATATATATGAAAATATTGGCCACCTCGGCCACGACGACAGTGGTTGTACACAAGTGATGTGCAAGGAAGTTTATGTCCGCCCCAACCGCAGCTTGAGCTCGGCATTTTCTTCTTCCAAATGCACGAGCTTCGGCGCGATCTTCGAGTCGAACTCTTCAATCGATTGCTTCAGGGACGCATTCTCTTGGCGCAGGCGCTGCATTTCAATGTGCATCAGGTTGTTGTTCTCGAGCTGTTTCTCCAGCGACTGCTTAGCGTCCAGCAGTGCATCCTCGAGCTCTAGCTGCTTGCAGTGAGCCACGTCGGCATGCTCCTGCATCACACGGCGGCAGTCGTCCATCAATCTACGTGTTCACTCCATCGTCATGTCGTCTGGATTCCGAGCATCGGCGTACCGCTCGACTTCTACCTCGCGCCGTGCAATTTCCGCCTGCTTGGTAGCCAACGACTCTTCGTATTCCTGAATCTGCGATTGTTTGGTCGAGATTTGTTCTTGGTGTTTCTACGGGCATGTGAGACACCGAACAAGGCCAACGGTGGACCTTGAGTTTGTTTTCATTCTGCTCCAGCATCGACTTGAGTCGTTCAATTTCGTGCTGCTCACCGGGTGCTTGCTGGGTTTGTAAATCCCGAAGCTTCTCCTGCTCGGCCAGGAGGTCCGTAATCACTTGCTCGTCCATTCTTCGCATCTTCGCCAGCGCTTCCATCGATTGCGCTTGAACCTTAATCTCCGACTTGAGCTTTGAGATTGTGGCTTCTACGTCCATACGGCTCTCCATGAGATTCTCTTGCGGCGTTGGCTGGCGTTTCTTGGCGCCAGGGTCTGTAAGCATTCGCTGCAGCTTTTCAATCTGGTTCTGCATTTCCTGACGGTGCTCCTTTTCCATCTTTAGCGCCTATTGCAAAACTTAACTTAGCTGTATACTCACAATGACCGAGGTGGATGCGGCTTCAATATGTGTACATGTTCGTAGTACGTGCTGCTGCGCTTGGTTTCCTCTTCCTCCGAGAAAGTGCGCATGTACTGGCTGAGGGGGCCGTAGTCCGACCATGTACTCGTCTCGTCGTTCCAATGGCGAGCTTTGACGATGTAACACGTATTTGGCTGCAATCCTTTGATCGTGGACGGAGACGCAACAATGTCCACCTCAGTCCACGAGTAGTACACGTATCCATACTCACTGTACGCCTGCTTTTGGTGTCAGACTTCCACGCACAACAAGCGAGATCATGTACCAGCTGCATCTTGTTCGACGCAGGCGTCACAGACACTGTGAGGGTGACGTTTGTCTTGCTGAGGACTTCGACACGCGGCGCGGGCTTGGACATGCTGTAAGGATCCAAAATGCAGTCGCCGAATACCTTCTTTCAAATTTTGTCCAATCAATAATCGTTCTCTAAAAATACGGCTATTGAAGCCAATCAGAATTGTGTTTTGAATGGATCAGCCAATCAAATTGTCATAGACTCGAAGAAGTGCAACCCCCATTCAATTCATCCAGCACCCAAACCACAACCGAGATGGTGGACGACTCGATCAGCCGCCGCTTGTTCGTTGGGCATGTTCCGGCGTGGCTCTTGGCTGAAAAGAAGGCACAGGAGTACTTTGCCAAATATGGAGCCGTAGTCAGCTTGGATGTTAACAGAGACCTTCGGGACTTGCAAGCGACGGGGTTTTGCTACGTAACCTTTGCTACTCCTGATGAGGCGACGTTCGCAGCAACGCAGATGCAACAAGACTACGAGGCGAAGGAATCGCAGATGGTGGCACGCGTCGCATTTGCTCGTGGCCCGCCCCACGTCGAAGTTCCAAAGAACCTCACGGATAAGCTCGTTCATGCGTCACAGAAGCACCCATCGCAAAGCCAACAGATCGCCGACGAAGACGACGAAGACCTTCTCTTCTTCAGTCAACTCTCGCAGAGGTCAAGTCAGCATAGCAGACGTCCGTCAAGCCATCATTGACCTTGGACTTCTTATTTAAGTCGTTGAACAGATACACGTTGACCTCGTACCACAATCAAATCAGGCGTGCAATGTTAACCCAAGTTTACCAACGCTCAATGCGGGATTGAGCAGGCATGTCCCAAGGGTACGGACGGCCGGGCACCGGAGGGGTGCCGTTGCGTTCGTACTCGGCCACAATTTCGTCCTCATGACCTTCCCACTCAAACTTGACGCATTGAGAGGATTCCAGATCAGCAGTGGCTTCGATCAAGGCATCGCGAGCCGCATGAGTGGTGGTCATCGCAGAGCGGGTCCCGGTGGGGTCATACGCCAACACGGCTGGGTTCTTGTTACCGGGGCTTCCCAAAGGGGTGTCCGCAGGCAACTTGGCGAGCGGCTTGATGCCGAGAGAAGGATGGAAGCCGACATTCACTTCGTTGAACTTAGCGTGGCGGCGAGCATCGCGCGTGTAGTACTGGGTGCTGTAAATGCTCTTCTTGGTCGTGTTGGGGATATGTGCCTGGACGGGCTGGCTGGCCGGCGAAGGGTAGCGAAAGTTCTGCTCAGCCGATGGAGACTGATTGTCCTGGTCCAAGCCCGTCTGGACGTTGAAGACCAACAGCTTGCGAAGCTTGTCACGGAGCTCCGGCGACAAGTACGCGTCGAGCTTGAACGGCTTGTACGGCACCCACTTGCTGCTCATGACGACTGGGAATCAAAAACGTCAGCCAGCCACAAGTCACCTCGGCGGATTTGAATACAAACGTTGATTTAATATATACACCACAAATTTGTATTAGAAACCAAAGTTTTTGAATATTAATACTCCGCTGGCAAAATCTGGCCTTGCCACGTTCGATTGGACAAAAATCCGCCAAAATTGACAAATTTACCTCGTTTTTTCGTTGTCAAAAGATTCAAATTTGCCGTCAATATGCACCGAATGCATGCGACAACTCCTGGAACAGAGTCGACCGAACTTGAGCATGAGCCGCAGCTGCAACGCCAGCCCTTGAGAGCATTCTCGCCATCCGAGAAGAAAGGTACATAAGCTGAGCAAACCTCAGTTTGAGTTGCTTGCTGCACACGGTGCGCTGTTGCAAGAACATGCACGTATACGCTTGTCAGGAGGTCCATTGGCGCCGCCACTCCATTGTCTCGAAAAAGGCCACACTTGAATGCAATGAACACATCACCCTGAATACATGCTCCATGTCACAATGAAGGGGATATGGTCGCTATGGAGCAAGCGTCACTGGATCCCGAATGCTGCGTTGGTGGACCTGTTCGACTCGACCAAGGCAACAACTGAACAAACGCCAGACAATATCAATGATCTTACGATCCAAACAAACCCCGACTGCAACGAGGCCGATCACGTCATGTGGTATTTACTCCCTCGACGACCGCGAGATGAACACGTCGAGGCCCTCGCAATCGCTTTGCGAGGTGCTTCCGCCGCACGGGACAATGGTGGTGGCGCGAACTCAGTTTCTTCTTCCTATGCAAAGTTTGCGATCGGAACTCTCTCATCATGTGAGCGATCGGGGTCCTCGTGAGCCGCTGGTGAACGTCGGTTTGATGTCATTGATACGTCCGCATGGGCATTCCCGCCCCGTACCACCTTGCTACGGCTGCATGCAAGGCTTGATCACGTCCATGCGGTTTGCCGACCTGAGCACCCAACCATCGTCGACTGCGATGGTTGTGTATGTGGCAAGCATTGTCATTGCAAATGTCAGAGTGTGCGAGATCAGGCTACCTGAACCAGGAAGTGTTGAATCGAGGCGATGCCAGCGCGCTTACCGCATCCAAGCTATACCACCGACCGGCGGCATGCCCCGCACCCCGGTCAACATGCAAAGTGCGCCAACGCAAATCGCGTCTTTCATCGCAGTAGCGCTGGTTGTTATCGTGCTCTTGGTTGGCACCATTGCATTGTTCTTCCAACACAAAAATGCAGCCAGCATATTCGCGGCTTGCTTCTGGCTCGTCGAAACTGAGGAAGCGACATTTATTCTACTCACGATGGTCGTCAACATCTTGCCGGGTCACATGGCGTCGGCTGTGTGTTCGTTGGTGGCCATTATGATCGAGACTACCAACCACAAGTGTGTGTGCTTGTCTGGGTCGACCCGGCCAACCCTGGCGCGAGCCGCCGCACGTTTTGTTCCAACACCCCTTCGATCATGTCGGAAAATCCTCCCGACATGTTGCCCCTCCGTATGATGGCCACGTCGCTGTGTGTCGGCAACGACAAGAGCGCACATGGACTTCCTGGTCGCGGAAACCAAGGCCACGACCTCGTGCCCGACGTTGTCCTCAACGTGCGCCACATCCATGACATGGATTCAACAAGCGTTCCATTGATCGAATGGTATTCCGGGTGAATTTTGTCTCGACTCTGTTCTCCTCGGCCAGGAAAGTCTTGCCAAGTGTCTGAGTGCGAGTGGCATCTGCAGCGATGTAGCCTTGCCTTGGGTACGATTGAGGCGGCCTTCCTCGCCACGCGCACGAATGACTGCGACGCAGCGGCGTGCTGATACTGTCGAGTGGAGAATCGATCAGCGCTGTCTTGTGAGTTGCTCACGAGGGCGCCCCTTCGCGACCTTTGGCGCTTGTAAAAATAGCTTCGAAATTCGAAACACCAAACCTCGAATTGGCGCCAATCAAATCGAGCATGGCCATGCCATCACCAGGCAAAAGTTCCAGCGCGAGGGCGTTGACGGCGCGCGGCGGACGTCCCCACGCCCCAGCTGCACCCGCTCACTTTGAATTTGGCTGTCCATCATGACCATCTTACCCATACCATCGCGGTCGTGGGTCGCCCACTTGGACTGGATTCGTCAATACAACATACGTCGCGACCTCAAGTTTGACGTGATCGCTGGTATTACCGTCGCCATGATGCTCATTCCGCAGGAAGTCTCGTTCTCCAACATTATGCGTGTTCCGACGGAGCACGGTCTGTACACGGCTGCTCTCACGCCTGTGTTGTACGCGTTCTTTGGCTCATCGCGCGTCCTGTCCGTGGCCAACGGCGCCGAGGTCAGTCTCATGGTCGGCACGGCCATGCAAACCATCAAATCGGAGAAGGAACGCATCGCGGTCGGCATCTTCTTGTCCTTTTATATCGGGCTCATCAATGTCACGCTGGGCTGTTTGAAGCTCGGGGTCGTGGCCGACTTCTTCTCGCGCCCCGTCATGGGCGGCTTCCTGTCCGCCGGTGGCGTGCTCATCATGATCACTCAATTGTCGGCGTGGTTCGAGCTCACACTGCCGTCGTCGTCGTACCCGCTGCAAACGGTAATGAATGTCGTCCTTCACATAAACGAAGCGAACCCAAACTCGGTCGTTGTCGGGGCCGTCTCGATCGTTGTGCTGGCCATGATGAAGTACGCCAAGCGGCACTGGATTCCGAACCCGAGCTTGAAGCAAATCTTTAACGAGTCCCCCGCCGTCCGCGACTCGGTCAACCCGAACGATGTCGACGTCCAGACCCCGACCGAAGGCGAGAACCCCACTTGGGGCTTCTCTCTCGACGACGACCAGTACGCATCCCTGGACCCGGCTCCTCTTGCAACTAAGACGCCCAGCGCGACGATGACAGCCAAATCTCGCCATGTTGTCTTCTTTGCCCTCCGCACCATGTGCGACCTGGGGCCATTGGTCATTTGCTTGTTTGGGATGCTCGTGGGCCAGTCCCTGGGGGAAAAACGCATCAAAGTTACGGGTCATGTCCCGGGGGGGCTTCCGTCCCCCAAATTCCCGTGGTATGGCTACACGGACGACATTATCAAGACGCAGTCGTTCTCGGACGTGACTGTCAACGCTCTTTCGATTGCGCTGATCGTGTACATGACAAGCATTGCAATGGCTAAGCGGCTGGCACTGCGCGATGGGTACGAAGTGCACCCGACCAACGAATTCATCGGTCTCGGGATGGCGAGTGCCCTCGGGTCGTTCTTCCAGATCATGCCCCCCACGGGGGGGATGTCGCGCACGGCCGTCAACATGCAGAGCGCGCGCACGCAAGTTGCGTCGGCCATCACGGTCACCGTCATCATCGTGGTGCTCATGGTGGGCACAGACTCGCTGTACTATTTGCCCAAGTCGAGCTTGGCGGCGATCATTATCGTGGCAGGGTTCTGGTTGATTGAGATCGACGAAGCAAAGTGGCTGTTCCGATCCAAACGCGACGAGTTTTACGTGTGGTTGGTCTCGTTTCTGGCCACGATCGGCCTCGGCATCCTCGCCGGCCTCGGAGCCTCCATCGTGTGCTCGCTCATCGCGCTCATGATCAAGACAAAGCGCCCCCTCGTGTACTCGGTGGGCCGCATGGAAGACTCGGGGGTGTACGTAAGCGCGCAAGACAATCCGGACGCTGAGATCGCGCCGGACACGATCGTGATGCGGGTTGAAGGGTCGCTGTACTTTGGCAACAGCGAGTACGCGATGCAAGTCGTGTTGGCCCACGTCGTGCTCCATGACAAGGTCCAGGCAATCGTGATCGACGCCACATACATCCACGACATGGACGCGACGACGCTCCAAATGATGGACACGATTCTGTTGAAACTACACCCCATCAAACTCGCGTTTGCCAACGCGCAGCCGCATTTGGCGCAAGTCATCAAGGGCAGTGGCCTCACCGACAAGTTGTCGGTGCCAGACGTCACGGAGTCCATCGACCACACCATCGCTCGCCTGCGTGCGCTCGACGTTGCTGGCGTTGCATTCTAGTCGGGCATTTGCTAGCACGTAATGTGAAATTTTCTACGTCATTTGAAATTATCGCATGTGGAATCGCCGTGCCATGCACACAGTGTTCGTGACGACAAGTGTTCGTGACAACAACATCCCATCGAAGCCAGGTATGGAACAGTTGTCGCGGCGGTCCATTGTTTTGGCAGTGTGCCCATGATGTGCTTGCAAATTCCAATGAACGACAGGAAGAAGCAGTCGGTTGCCCGTGTCGACACAGCTTAGTGCAGATCGCCGCGATGCTCGATTCGCCGATCGAAGCGACGTCATCGCTGCTGAAGGAGCTTGTGGCTCGTAGACGAGAAGGTTTGGATGGCGCCTCCAACACTCGAATCGCGGGCTACGAGCACGATCATGACCCGTTGTCGTCCATTGCATTTAGGCAAAGTACGTTTTTTAGGTTATACTCGCAGTTAAAACGCAATCTTGAAACGGCGCAAGCCATGGCCGACGTGTTGGCGGCAAAGGCGGACGCCTCCAGCCCTCCTCCCGTCAACAAGAACGATGAGGTACTGCATGAGGTACTGCAATCCCATCTCATGGGCTTGACGCATGGACGTATGCATGTGGCTGGGCAGCAGGAGGTTGAGACTGCCCACCGGAAGAGGAAAGACGAGCGCAAGGCAGCCACGCGAAGGCGAAAGCACGAGAAGAAAAACGACGCAGCCGTGAAGATCCAAGCGCAAGTTCGGGGATATCAAACTCGAACAAAGCTCCATGGCCATAATGACGGTCCCCGACTCGATCAGCTTCCATCCCCCTCTGACGAAGCAGTTGTCGTGCCAGTGCACCAACTCAACAGCATCGACAAGTCGACCAGCCAACTGACACCTCAATTGGAAGGCGCCTCGAGCCAACAGGAAGCTGCTCCTGTTGTCCAAAGTACCGCTCATATCGGGCCAGCCATTCAAGTCACAACGACAGTTCTCCGATCGTCCTCCTCTCCAACTCGCCTAGAACCAGCCAAGAAGTTGGCTCCGTTGAAGCATGGCCCAACCGAAAGCGCCGCAAACGCCAAATGCGATGCAAAGCCATTGCCTCAGTACGACCTTCAATTCCTTCCGAACCGCTTGAATGGACTGTCGAATAGGGCACCAACGTACGAAGAACAAGTTCGCCGGGCCACCCAGTTCGAATTGACCGCCCCAGGTGCTGATTCTCATCGGATGAAGTAGGATTCAAGCAACATACCGCGGACACGAGGGTCGTTTGGAAGCGTCAAAGCAGCGCGAGGAAATCGACGCCTCGCTCCGCGAAGAGGCCGCGATCGAGCTCGCTCGTGAAGGTACGGTCGACACAATGCAACAACAGTGGGCTTACAGCATACATGGCACGGTGCAGAAGACGCCGCGACCGATATTCAAGCCCTCTACCGCGGCCATCGAATCCGTGAATGCTTGGCAGACTCGAAGTCGCGGCACCCGCCAACTCCACTGCCGGTTCAGGCCAAGGGGATACCCTCATTGAGCTCGAAAACCCCAAGTGGGCAACCCACCCGTTCGACTGTCCGCGACACCAAGGAGAGCAAAGCCCATCGTGTCGACGATGACGACGAAAACAAGCCTCGTACATGGCCAAAGTCCTTGACTTTGGACACGTCCCTCGGTAAAATATCTTTGAGTATAGCTGACGGGTGCTACCATGCATGATTCGTTGTGGCCGTGCTAGACATCACCACCCACTCGACGCACGATGTGACGAGTCGCGGCCGCGTTCGGGTTTTTGTCATGACGTGGAATCTCCAGGCGCAGAAGCCGCCAACCGACTTGCGTGCGCTCCTGCGACCTGGATCGTGCCATATCTACGCGATCGGAACGGAGGAATGCGTTCAAAGGTACGCGATCGATGAATAGGCAAGTGGCTGACACACATGCATGCAGCATTGCCAAGTCGGTGCTCTTCCAGTCGAAAAAGGAGTGGGAAGATCAGCTCATCAGCACGCTCGGCGCAACGTATGTGAAACTACGCAGTCACGCCTTGACAGCGATGCACAACGTGGTGTTTGTCCATACGAGCATTCTCCCGCTGGTGTCGGAGCTGCATTCGGACGCGATTGCGACCGGGCTCGGCAATCAGTTGGGCAACAAAGGTGATGTCGCCCATTTTCCTCGAGGCAACAAGTGTTTCCGATCGTGACGACGGCGGGTGTGTGTGGGTGGCTGGGGTAGGGGGAGTGGGGATCGGGTTTGTCGTGGGCCGAACATCGTTTGCATTCATCGGGTGCCATTTTGAAGCACACCAGTCACAGCAAGCGCTCGCGCGGCGCAACGCGAACTTTCACAAAATCAACTCGGAGCTGCAGCTCGTGGCCCCAAACGAGTACGTTGTTTGCCCCTTTCGTTCCCTTGCGTGCACGACGAGTTCCAACGATTTGTCGTCGTAGCGACCACCGCAAAGGCCCGATCTCGTCCACGTTTGACCGGGTGTTTTGGTCCGGCGACTTGAACTACCGCATTGACGGGACGCGGAAAATGATCGATGACTTGCTCGCCCGCAACTTTCACGATGTACGGTGGACGGCGTCTCCTTCTTTCTCCAGTTCCCTCATCGCGACCACTCTGTTCGCAGGTGCTGCTCGTGAACGATCAATTGCGCAAGGAGATGGCGGCGAGTCGTGTGTTTGAGGTGTGGCATCCCCTTGGATGGAATGCCTCAGTCGTCGTCTGTCGGTAGCGCTTTCGGGAAGGCCCCCTCAATTTTCTGCCAACGTACAAGTTCGACAAAGGTCGCCTTGTGCGCTCGCCCGCAAGAGGTCGTGACACGCTTTGGTAGGATGCGATGTATACGACTCGTCGGCAAAACAGAGGATTCCGTCATGGACCGATCGCATCTTGTACTTTTCGACTGTGCCGGTACGTGGCTTGCCAAGGCTTGGTCTAAGGCACCAAACAGACTGCCACGTCCTTGCTTGCGTACGAGAGCCACATGCACGTCAAGACGTCCGACCACCGGCCCGTGACCGCGATCTTCGACGTTGATTTTGTCAGCGATCTGAAGAGTCTCGACCGAGCAGCCCCCGCCAACCAAACGAAAAGCGAAGTGTGCATACTGCAATAGCATTGCAACGTGAACGCATGTAACTTAAACATCGCCTGTACTGGTGGTGGTGGACGAGTCGAACGAGTCCGTGATCGGGTTTGGTTTGCCGTGAGCAATGGCAAGACGATGTGCTCGCCATTGCGTTCCTTCCACTGGCGCGTACGTGAACATGTCTTGCCGCCGGTCTTTGTCGAAATGGACGTCGGGGTGGCGAGTCGAGTATCGCACGATCGTGAATGTTGCACCAGACAGAGCGCACGCCATGATGCCCAAGATGGGGTAGGTAGATGGGTCCATGAGCCATGTGCGAGCAAACGTCGCAGCACGCGATGCTGCCATCTTGCACAGGGGGCAGGTGTTGACGAATGATGCGCCCGTCCCCTTCCATATGGGCACGGTCGAACTTGTCGACATCGTTGGTGTCGCAGTGTCGGTTTTTTGTCCAAGTCCGATTATCCGGTTGCGCCAGGTCTTTTCGCACATTCGTTGCCATGGCTATACCCCACGTGTACAGACACGCGCTGCCGCGGCGAGAAAGGTGCGTGGTGGCGATCGGTCCATTTTCACTTCGTCGATGAAAACTGCACGCGTAACCAAGCTGTCCAGGAAGTGGCTGCGCCACTCGACCTCCGTCTCCAGCATCGCCATATTCACTGTCGCCGTCGCCGGCGCTGGAGCCACGTTGAAACGATACACGGCCTTCGACATAAGCGCAGACGGCGTCCACCCCAACGCGACAGCTACCGCTCAACCAAAGATCGACCCAGCTACCCATCACGACCTCGAGCAGTTCGATGCCTTCATGATGATGATGATGCGATGAGGGAGACGTCGTAGTTGCCTTACTATATTTATCGATAATTTCATGGTTTAGGTCCATGGGCCTGCCCATCACACGCAGCATCTCACGATGGTCATGCGGAGTGGTAATGTGTGGGCTTCACTGCCAGCACAACACCCAACATTGGCTCTGTTCCATGCTATGGTGTACTTCCGCCTGCCACGTATGCAATGTACAACCACTATTGTAACCTCATATCGACAATGCTGGCAGCCGCGAGCGGATGGGTTCGATCGGTCATGTCGTGGTATTGGACCAGCACGACGAACTGAGCGAGTTGTCTTGCGACACACACCGGTGTCGTCGATTATCGCGCGCCCCAACGTCTAGCTAGTGTCGATGGCAGATTTCCCGTGGGCCATTCCCGCTCCCATGTGAAACAAGCCTTCGTCTGCTTGAATTCGCACCTGGCAACGGGCAGCAGACTGTTTAACGTCACTCCTCGAGATGTTCTTGTCCAGGTTGACCTGGATCCATCGCGACTACAATTTCGGGGGACATCGATGGTCCCCGCCAAGGTCGGGTCGTTGAGTGGTGGAATGTCCACGGTCGGCGCCAGAAGGGAGAGAATCGGTTACATTATTGAAACGGCCACTCAATCCGCCATGGCGCAGGTACATGCGCAGTCGGCGAGGACAGCATCGTCGTCGACACTCAAGGAATTGCGCCGCAAATCCACCGAGACACGGATGACCCAGAGTCCGACGGCAGTCGAGTTGCGCCGATGCTCGACGTCCATCGCGGACCTCGTCAACACGACCGACGTGGCGGAAGGATCGATGACGAGTTTGTCCAAACACCAACGGTTGAAGGCCACATATGGGCAGAAAGCCCCCCCTCCAAACACGTGGAGGAGGCGCATACGACAGCTGATGAAGTATCCGCACGCGACGCGCGTCGGGCGCATTCGGCACTACGGCCTCCTGGTCGCCATCGTGTGCGACTACATTCTCTTGATGTTCGAAACCCTCGATGGGCCGGCGAACGGCGGCAGCGACCCGAAATACCCCCACCTTCCGACCGCAACGACATATTTCTACCTGGACGTGGCATTCACAGGGCTGTTTGCGTTCAGTTTTGCCCTTTGTTGGATTGTGGCAAAGCGGCAGCGAAAGGTAGGTCGACCCACGGAACACGAGATTGACGATGCCGCGTTGGTGGTAGTTTTGGACCCAGTTGGTGACGTGGAGTGACTTGCTGGGCCTGCTCCCGCTCACCAGCCTCTTGGTCATGAAGTACGCGTTCGGGTGGAGCCGTGAGCGATACGCGCCGATCGAGGAGTACCTGCGGCACCTGCGGCTCTTCCGCATCGTTCGAGTCACATACATGCTCCGCGTACGGCGAGGACTGCCCAACGCCCGACTGAATCCTTTGTTGTCCCATAGAACATGAGCGGCATCCGCGTCCTCCACGCGACCTTTCTAGAGTGCATTCACCCGCTTCAAATCACGGTAAAACGGCGAAATTCAACCAGTGCCGCACCAACGTTGCTCTTGTAGCTCTTCTTCCTCACTACAATCGTCATGACGCTAGCCACGCTCTTGTACTACGCTCAGCCGTGCTACGACGGCACGAAATGCACTTTCACCGACATCATCAACACGGGCTACTACGTCATGACCACGTAGGTTGCTGCCTGCCTTGTCCTTTGGGCAGGCCAAGTCATGGGTTCGTTGGTTGTTCCAGGGTGGCCACCGTTGGATACGGCGACCAAGTGCCCGACCTAACAAATCCCCTCGCCGTCGTCGTCGCCATTGCTGCCATGATCTTTGGCGCCCTGTACCTGGCCATGCCATTAGCCATTGTCGGCATCAAGTACGAGCTCACGTGGCGGCGGTTCGAAAACGTTTCCCGCACGACGCGGAGCACGCTGGAACTCCGCGCGGCACTCAAGTCGATATCTATCCAGCCGTTGCATGCAAAGTCGAACCACGTCAACGTGCTCGTACACCGCACAATCGACGCCATCGCGCACCTCACAAGTTTGGTTCAAGGGTACATCAGCATTGTGAGTGTAATCCGTGTGGCATTGCGTTGACACCTCACGCTTGCGACAGCCGGACGACGCCTTTTACATCAACGACGATGCTCTCAACCAAGCGTTTCTTGTGATCCATGCTGCGGGCGATGACGCGATTGCGCGCTTTCAAACGCTGATGCGGCATCTCTCTCCATTCCTCCCTCCAGACTTTTGCAACTCGGTTGTGTCCAAGCCCACGGCTGGGCCACTCCCGTTGCAGCGCCGTGGCTCGATGCTCGTCTTGCTGGCTGAAAGTGTTTTGGACAAGTAGGTCCCATCAACATGCACATGGCAAACAATCCGTTGCCACACGTAGAGCGAAGCGAGCGACTCTGCATCGGAGGGACACCCCCATCAACGTCCTCGACCCCAACTTGACCTTTCGACAGCGCTTACGAGCCCACTTGCGCGCGACCAACCATGGGTCGAGGGCCCATCGGTTCTACCTGACGTCCGTGCTCCTCAGCGTCGCCGTGTTTTACGCCGAGTCGGTGCCGGAACTCCAAGCGTTTGGCCCGACGTCGCATCTCTGCCACATGCTCATGGAGTCGTACTGCACGTCGAATCCGTCTCCAGCCACCGACCCTGGCTGCTATGTGTGGCACAACACAACGGCCCTCGCCGTCCCATTGACCAAAGCGCAGTTCTATTGCGACAACGACGCAAAGACAGAGCGATGCTTTGGCGTTGGCTTCAATCATGGCGGCAATGCGTCCGCAGGCTCCTGCGCGGCAAAGTTTGCCTACCCCGCACACGTGTGTAGTTTGCGCGAATGCCAACGTGGCCACGAGCCGCTTGTTGATCTGACGCACCACTGGATCTACATCGAAGTGTATCTGGGCATCACGTTCACCGTGGAGCTCATGTTGAGGTGTTATGTGTCGAGTCGCCGCCGCCACTTTTTTCGATCGGTGAGCACGTGGATCGACATCATGGCGATCCTTCCTTTCTACGCCCAAGTACGCTTCCTCCATCGTGTTTGTGATGTGGCACTCATGTGTTTGGTGCCGTCGTAGACGCTTGCCGGCCTTGCAGCTGGCCGCACCCCCATCTACGTGAGCTCGCCGACATTCCCTACACTCCTCTCGATATTGCCCATCATGAAGACGCTGCGCATCGTAAAACTCGGCTGGGTACGAATGGCTTCCCCATGGTGGACGCATGTACTGACATGACACAATGCGGCAGTATCTTCAAGGAAGCTCGGTGTTGGCCCGCACAGCTGCGCTGACCTACGAACGCCTGGCGATTCCGGTGAGCCGTCCTTTTGTGGAATTTCTTGTGACTGCCAAGGTAGCTCTTCTTTCTCTTTCTTGCATGCGCCTCGGCTGGTGCGCTCTTCTTTGAAGTCGAGCGCGGGACTTCGTGCCGAGCGGGCATGCCATGCATGTACTTTGGCATCGACGTCATGACGACGGCAATATCAAACTCGTTTCCATTTGGGAAGCGCATACAAATCTATCTGGACCACCTTGTCCTCCTCAAGGACATGTGGCGAACGACGTGGATGTCAGCTGTCACGTACGTGCGTTCGTGGGGCTCAAATGTTACCTGCGGCGTGCTGCGTGGTAGGCTGACTGGCGTGGGGTACGGCGACCTGACCCCCCGCAGCCCTGCCGGTCGCATCCTCGACATCCTGACGATGGTTTTTGGATCGTGCTACACCGCGATGCCGTTGTCGTTGATCGGGGGGCAATTTTACCAGTGCTACGAACTCTACTCGAAGGAAAAGCAGGTTCGAAGTGCTTGGTGCCGGCGTGGCAGGTCCTGTTGACCCCAACTCTTGGCAGGCGAGGGCGGGTGACGTGGCCCAAGTCCAAGTCGATTCGACTCGGTCAGCGCACAAGGCAACGCCGACACTACGAGCCGTCGACTGCGACCTCCTCGAGTCAGCGCAAGTCGTCATACACGTCGTGGATGAAATGATGGCCAACTTGTACAAGCTCCACCGCATGCGGCCTGGCTCGACTGTGCTGAACACTCCAGTCGAAACGTCGATTGCCGCCAATACCTCGGCATCGGTGAAAGTCACTGCAGCAGGTCCTCGACGGCTTTCGTTGCTGGCACGTATTGCGCCAACTTCGTTGGGGCCACTGCTCACGTTTGGAGACAAACGGAGGCAAGGCGTCGAATTACGCCGCTTGGTTGTCGAAGCGTCCGCCATCGCAACGGTACCACGCATCCTTGTCAACCAGGATTCTCATGGACGGTACAGACGGTGGCCTTGCAACTGCCCCGCGTCGTTGAAGCGATTGTGGCCTTGACGGCTGCGGCTAACGACGACGAGTGACGCTAGAACAAGCGACAGGTCCGACCGTCTGCTTTTGGGTGCATCCCGCTCTCTGTGCAAAGTGAAATACGCAAGACATCACACAGAGCACGATGGAACTGCAGACGCTCAGATGTCCCGACCAACCTGACGGTACACCTCGTACAGCTGCCCGGCGAATTCAAAAAAAAGCTCCCGTTCCACGGGGAAAGGTTGTCGACAATGGAGGTCGCAAGGGCGGCGTACATGTGCCGTCCATTCGAACAACGTGCTTACACTTGACGTTTTGCAATCAGAATGCACGATTCGATTGGAGGTGTGGGAATTGCAAAGGGGGAAAAGCTCCAGGATATGCCAGTGAGGTCGACATGCCTGTGTCTTCTCGAAGGAAAGGCGTCGGGCGTTTGATGGTCGAAGGGGGCTCCTGTGTCATGTCACGGTAGCGACAAATTTACACGACATCCCGTGCTTGTCCATGCTTCGTCGGGAGGTTCACGGGCACCCCAGTTCCCCCCCTTGGCTCGTACAAACGGACTGGGGGTTGTTTCCGAGCACTGCCCTTGCCCTCGCATACAAAGGTAGCACTCGCCTACGCTCCCTCCACAACAGCCCCTCTGCCTCCCCCACGACGACCAGACATGTTTTCATGTCTGAAGTAGAACAAACTGCTGAGAGACCGGGAGGATTGTCTGGATCGAGATATTGGACTTTCACAGGCACGTCGGAGGAGGCCTCGACACTTTCACTCGATGCAGGCGGGTGGGCTTCTAGCACGGCCGGTCGTTCCTAATGCTCAACATGCGCCTCAGGAGCTTGTCGGTTACTCGGGTGTAACTGGCAACGTTGGCTCGTCGCAGCAGCGCCATGACAAGGGTCGAAGCGATCACTGCAGAGGCGCCGACCATGCTCAAAGACGTCCGACGCAAGTCGACTGAAACACACGTCGACCGCCACCGTGGCCCATCGCTGGCGGAAATGCGCCGATGTTCGACGTCGATCACCGACCTCATCACCAGTTCGTCCGCGAGGGATGGTTCCATCGCACGCAGGGCACGACGACGAAGATTTGATGCATCCAAAGTGGAGAAACCACCACCGCCGAACACGTGGAGGCGGCGAGTTCGCAAGCTCATGAAGTACCCCCACGCAACCTTTGTCGGGCGCGTCCGGCACTATGGGATCTTGGCCGCCATCGTGCTCAACTTTGTCCCGATGATGATGGAAACCATGGACGGTCCTGCCAACGGCGGAAGCGACCCCAAATACCCCCAACTGCCTTCCGCCGCCACACTCTTCTACATGGACGTGTTCTTCACGGGGGTATCCGCTCTCGAATTTATGCTGCGGTGGATCGTGGCCAAGCGGCAGCGTAAGGTAAGCACGCTTCAAAAATCGCGTTGGCGCGTATGACGTGGATGGGGTAGTTTTGGACTCAAATGGTAACGTGGATCGACGTGCTGGGCTTGCTCCCGCTTGTGGGCGTCCTGGTCATGAAGCACGCGTTGCGCTGGAGTCCAGCGAAGACCGCGTCCGTGGAGCAGTACCTCAAGCTATTGCGGCACTTTCGCATCGTTCGCGTGACGTACATGCTCCGAGTACGAATCTCCATTTCGAGAGTGTACCATGACACGAATTCCGCAGAACATCAGCGGCATCCGCGTCCTCCATTCGACCTTTCGCGAGTGCATGCACCCGCTTCAAATCACGGTAACGCGCCCCTCATGTTGTCAACTCCATGACCCAACGTTGCTCTTGTAGCTCTTCTTCCTCGTTACGATTGTCATGACGCTCGCCACGCTCTTGTACTACGCCCAGCCGTGCTACGACGGCGCGAATTGCACCTTCACCGACATTATCAACACGGGTTACTTCGTCATGGTCACGTACGTATCGGTTGGACGTTGTGCTCGTCGACGCAAGGGTGGCGTTAGGGTGGCCACCGTTGGATACGGCGACCAAGTGCCCGACCTGGCCAATCCATTCGGTGCCTTCGTCGTTGTTGTTGCCATGATATTTGGCGCGCTGTACCTCGCCATGCCATTAGCCATCGTCGGCATCAAGTACGAGGTCACCTGGCGGCGGTTCGAAAACGTGTCCCGCACGACGCGGAGCACACTGGAACTTCAAGCAGAGCTCAAGGCCGTCACGATCCAAGCGCTGCATGCCAACGCAAACCACGTCAACGTGCTCCTGTACGATGCCCTCGATGCCGTCGCACGTTTGTGGGAGCTAGTCGACAAGTACATTCACACCGTACGGCACTCTGTTTGCTAGAGCGCTCGACCACCTGTGACGACACACACAATGTAGCCTGACAACGATTTTTTCATTCGCAACGACGAGCTCAACCAAGCCTTTCTCGACCTCCATGCGACGGGCGACGAAGTTATCGAGAGATTTCGAACGCTCCTGCGCCATTTCGCCCCGTTCCTTCTGTCCGATTTGGACTCTCCTGCGACCGCCCATCGCCTCCCCGCCTCCACGTCTAGCCTTCTCAAACGAGGCTTGACGTTGTCGTCGATTGCAGGAGGCCTTTTGAACAAGTACTATCGACGTTGCTCATGCCACCGTCCTCAACCATACCCGTGTAGAGCGAAGCGAGCGACTCTGCATCGGAGGGACACCCCCATCAACGTCCTCGACCCCAACTTGACCTTTCGACAGCGCTTACGAGCCCACTTGCACGCGACCAACCATGGGTCGTGGGCCCATCGGTTCTACCTGACGTCCGTGCTCCTCAGCGTCGCCGTGTTTTACGCCGAGTCGGTGCCGGAACTCCAAGCGTTTGGCCCGACGTCGCATCTCTGCCACATGCTCATGGAGTCGTACTGCACGTCGAATCCGTCTCCAGCCACCGACCCTGGCTGCTATGTGTGGCACAACACAACGGCCCTCGCCGTCCCATTGACCAAAGCGCAGTTCTATTGCGACAACGACGCAAAGACAGAGCGATGCTTTGGCGTCGGCTTCAATCATGGCGGCAATGCGTCCACAGGCTCCTGCGCGGCAAAGTTTGCCTACCCCGCACACGTGTGTAGTTTGCGCGAATGCGAACGTGGCCACGAGCCGCTTGTTGATCTGACGCACCACTGGATCTACATCGAAGTGTATCTGGGCATCACGTTCACCGTGGAGCTCATGTTGAGGTGTTACGTGTCGAGTCGTCGCCGCCACTTTTTTCGATCGGTGAGCACGTGGATCGACATCATGGCGATCCTTCCTTTCTACGCCCAAGTACGCTTCCTCCATCGTGTTTACGATGTGGCACTCATGTGTTTGGTGCCGTCGTAGACGCTTGCCGGCCTTGCAGCTGGCCGCACCCCCATCTACGTGAGCTCGCCGGCGTTCCCGACCTTTGTAACTGTCTTGCCTGTGATGAAAACGATTCGCATTGTGAAGCTGGGATGGGTACAGTGTCCGAGGGCCTTTCACCACCGCAGCGCGCGCCTCATGACGGTCTGTAGTACTTTCAAGGAAGCTCGGTCTTGGCTCAAACAGCGTTGCTTGCGTACCAGCGGCTGACAACCCCAGTACGAATCGATCTCCCACTTGGACATGGCAACTGATCGTGTTGCAGCTTTTCTTCTTGTTCTTTGCGTGCGGGACAGCCGGGGCAGTCTTTTTTGAGATTGAGCCCGGGACGGCGTGTTATGCGGGCGTGCCGTGCATGTATTTAAACAAGGACCTCATGACGGCCAAAATTGCCGCGCTGTTTCCGTACGGGAAGCGCATTCAAATCCAGCTCGACAACCTCGTCACGCTCAAGGACATGTGGCGCACGACGTGGATGACGGTCGCGACGTTCGTACTGTTTCCAACTTGCGTTGGGCTCGACCGGCTCGAGTAGGATCACGGGCGTGGGATTTGGCGACTTTTCGCCCCGAACGCCCACAGGGCGCGTCTTGGATATCCTCACGATGGTTTTCGGGTCGTGCTATACGGCCATGCCGCTGTCGTTAATCGGAGGGCTCTTTTACACGTGCTACGAGCATTATCTCAAACAACAAGACGTACGAAGTTTCGGTGGTCATGCCTTGATCACGTCTCCAAATCTCGTAGACTTCTCTCGACGGCGCAGCAAAGCCATGCGTTGGTCCGACCCGCCCTGGCGATCCTCGACCGACGATGACCCCGAGGTTACCACCCGCGGCGTGCAAGCTCGTGACTTCCATCCGTACCGTCGAGCGGGTCGTCGATGGCATGATGTCGAATCTATACAAGTTGAACTGCATGCGGCCGAAGCCAGTTGTGTTGGACATTCCACTGGAAGCGTCGATGTCGCCATCCATGGACACGTCGTCGGCCATGGGAATGCCTTCGTTGGGCCCCTCGCGAACAACCCTCATGATGCGCATCGCTCCAGCGGAGTTTGGATCCCCGGCGCCCGTTGTCGACAAGATTCACGAAAGCGAAGCTTTACGCCGCTTGATTCAAGACGCAGCAGCCATGATGACGGTACGCATGTGGGTCGGCGCCTCTCGGCACTCACGCTCCTATGCAGACCTTTGGGCTGCAACTCCCTCAACTCGTCGAAATCGTTGTCGCGATGACCGGGACAGTCGACGAAAATCGCCGCAGCTAAATCGTCGTGGCTCGGTGAAATTCCGTTGAACCGTAGCCATCGAACGAAGTCAACGCCCATCGTTATTTCAAGACGGCTTCCAGATCCTCAACACGACCTTGCGCTTCGGATAACATGGGGTTCCCGCGTCGCCGATTTCGAGCTCTTTCAATGCTTGCTACTGCCGTGGATTTGCTTGCTCGTAGAGTGATCCATGTTGTGTTCCAAGTATCGTACGCTCGTATTCCGATCGTGGCATTTTTGACTTCGTCGATTCCGCGCGGCCTCAGACGTAGATGAGGTTGAGTGGGCTCGATCGATGATGGCAACGCTCGGTTTGGTTGAACGACGTCCTTGCATCTCGAGCTGCATGCATGGTTGCAATGGATCGCTTGATGTGCGATTTCTGTTTTGTGCAGCATGAATGGACAAGCAGGGTCACAAGGGTTGACAGAGCAAACTTCGTGCGAATCACGCCACATATTTCCTCCTGTGAGGTGGGAGCTGCTGCGACAGGTACTAACGCCGCGCGCCAGACCTGGCGAAATGATCCAGATCCACGTGTATCTGTCTTGCTGGCCTGCCCGCATCCCGCTGTGATTGATGCAGACAGCAGGGTCACCTAAGCTGATGCCAGCACTTCGCAACCTGCCCATCTAGATTCCCTTGCGTTGTTAGTCCTTCGCCACCGTCCCTCTGCCGCGTATCAACCAGCACACTACTAGCACGTTTCGCATCCCAACGACTCCTGAGAGCATGAGGGCATGTGTCCTCGTCCTTCAGCATGACCATGCTCGTGCTCGAGTCCGCACCCGTCGTGCCGTTGTAGGTCTATCAGCCACGTGCATGTAAAGAATATTTATTTCAATGGCTTTGTTTGACTAAAAGAATGCACACATCAAGTGGCTTCGCCGGGGTCTTCCTCCAACGCAACTTCGTCGGGACTGGCACACTTGGGAGCAAGCATGGTAGTCATCGCGGCACCGTACCTGACTTCACTTCGTCGGCCATCTCGCCGAGGCGACGACGTTGGGGCGTCCAGTTCCACGTCGTCGTCGACCAACACAATCTTCTCAACAATGATCGAGAATTTCAAAACAATCGTTTGAGTAAGAGAGCAGGCTTCGGTGATGCTGTTGATGAGGGCATTGACTGTCTGCACCTTCTTCTCGTAGACGCGGGTGGCCGCTATCGCGTCGATGAGGACAGCGTCGGGATTCGAGTTGCGGCGAGATGAGGAAAACCGGCGCATGGACTGCACTGTTTTTTCAGTATTGTGGACCACCGAGTCGAGCAGTGGTGGCAACGGCAACCCATTGTTCCCGATTTTCGCAGGTTGAGCCGCCATGGTGTTTAGCCGACACGCATTCAGGATAACTGCGTTCAGCAGTCGACTGAGTGCGACAAACTGACTCAACGTTGGTACGTCCTCCGCGCCAATGACGGTCCGTCGCCGTTGCTTTTTGGCAGTCACACCGCCGACCGAAGTGTAAGCGACTGACCCGCCGTTGCGACGAGATGAGTCCCTATCTTTCAGGTACTGTTCGTAGCACGCATAGAATTGGCCACCGATCAACGACAGAGGCATGGCGGTGTAAATGGAGCCGAGAACCATCGCCAAAATATCTGCAATCTTGCCCACGGGCGTACGGGGTCGCATGTCCCCGTATCCCACCGTTGTGAACCTACCACAGCTTTGTCAGCGAAGCGCTGGCTGTATGAAATGACGGCATACGTGACAATGGACATCCATGTCGACCGCAACATATCGGTAACAATGGTGAGTTTGTCGACTTGAATCTGAATGCGCTTTCCAGGAGGAAATGGCTTGGCGATCTCGTTGGTCATGATGTTGAGGTTCCACCACTTGCATGGTTTCTTTGCAATGCATTGAGTGCCGCGCTCGATTTCGTAGAAGATCGCCCCAGCAGATACACATCCCAAGAAAAGGAAAAACAGCTGCAAGAGAGCCGCAATCAAACAAAGTCATGGTCGCAGATATTGGACTGTACCGGGATCATGAGTCGTCGGAAGGTCAGTTCGGCTGTCCGCACCAGTACCATCGTCGACTTGAAGTGCTACACAACAACTCTTACTCTGTGCACAAGATTAAAACTGTAGCGCAGCGCACTTTGGCCAATTTGAAGATACGAAGCGTTTTTGTCATGGGCACGACCGAAATGAAGGTTGGGAACGTTGGTACGATCGCATACATTGGCGTCACACCGCTCACGACACCCGTGATGAGCTGCAGCAAATTTTATAAGGACAATGAGTTCCAAACCATGGATGGAGTACCTCGGCGTAGAAGGGCGTGATGGCAAACGTATCGATGCACGTGCCGAAACTCCGGACAAACGCGAGTCGGTGTCGCGCAGCGTAGAAGCGCAGGAACCATTCCGCCGTAAAGACAAAGCCAAAGTAGCACTCAAAATACAACCACTTGGTCGACATATCAAACATCGGAACGTGGTTTGGTCGGCACTGTCGTAGGTTGCAAATCTTTTCCGTGTCGGAAAAGCTCTTGGAGCACACAATGGCCGAGGTATTGGATCCGTAGTTCCATCCAAGGCTAATACAAGGCGACACGTTCAACGCGTCCGCCACCTCATCAGGGTGGCAGTGGAAGTTGAGCTTCGTCGACGTTGACACGGTCGGACTCGAGTACACAAAGCACCCGGGGTCGGTCGATGGCGTGATGGACGACTGCTTGCAGTACGATTCCAGCGCACGATGGCACAGTTCCGTCGACATGCCATAAGCTTGAAGCTCGGGCGTCGTTTCGGCGTAAAAGAGCAGCATGCTCAAGATCACCGTGATAAGAAAGAACTTATTGACGTAGTTGGCTTGCCGAGACGAATGCGGGCGCTCGAGGAGAAGGAATAAACGGCGACGAAACGGCAGCTTGGCATTTGGGTCGTGTTGGGCTGTATCGTCGGGGTGTGCCGCCCCACTCAGGGCGCGCTTGGCTCTACGAAAGGCATAGGGCAGGTGAAATTGCAGGCCCTGATTGATGACTTGAGTACCTCGATATCATGGTTTGTTTGAACGTCGAATGCCGCGATGGCGATGTTTCAGACACGTTGGGCTGCTTGGCAAGTGCGTTTGGCTTGAGCAATTCGCGTGGTACAAGAGACTCAACTGTCCTTGACAAGGCTTTGTGTGCTTTGATAGCTCGAAGCAGGGTGTCGATGAGTTTCGTGGTAGCTTCATCGCGGTTGCGGTCTCCAGGGCCGTTGAGGAGAGACTCGGGATTCTATTCATATCGAACAAAGTGAACATCAGGCTTGACGAGTGCCGCTAGCTCGGGAACTCACCGCGAGCGACACAAATTTGGCGCAGTCGCGGGATAGGACTGACGCGAGCTCACAGAACTCGACAAACTGAACATTTATCGCATTGGACATGGGGACCAGACGCATCGAGTCGATATGGATGATTTGGTTGAGTTCTGACGGCGGAGGTTTTCCAGTAGTGCGGTAGCTGTCGGCGCGGATTTTGAGCTTTCGTTCGGATTCGTGTTGAGTCCACAGCATTTCGTACTTGATCCCAACAATTGCAAGCGGCATGGCCAAGTAGAGTGCGCCAAAGATCATCATGACACACACCACAATGACAGCAGTGATGTTATTCAAGTCGACGATTTGATCGCCGTACCCAACCGTGGCAACGCTGTCCCGATGGTGAGCTGCATCGAACGATTTCACAGCGCAAAGTGTACTTACGTGACCATCGTAAAGTACCCTGCGTTGAAGATATCGGTAAAGACGCATGTACCGACGTTGTAGCACGGCTGCGCGTAAAACAAGACCGTCGCAAACACCATGATAAACGTGATCAAGAAAAATAGCTGCCCCGCACCGACAATTAGCTTACAATAAGGCAATTCTAGATCAACTGTACCGTGATCGTCAGGGGTGCGAGACTTTCTTTGGCCGTGTAGTACAAGATGCGCATTCCCGACGTGTTCTGCAGCGAAAACAGTGAACGAGAGTCTCCATGAGGTAGAATGTACCTTAAGCATTGTGACGACTCGAATGATTCGGAAGAGGCGCAAGAGTTTGATGTACTGCTCACTGGGAAGCTGAATTTCTGTGTTTGACATCCTGAGTGTGCCTGCTTTCACCGCAATAATGTAGAGTGGAAGGACGGCCAAGACGTCCATGATGGTTACGATCGACGTCCAAAACTACAAACGCCAGATAACGCGGAATGAAAGGTGAAGGGTTGATTGGTACCTGCTTCTGCGACTTGGCGATTGCGCATTTCACAATCAAATCGAGGGTGAAAATTCCGGTGAAAAACATGTCCGACTGCACGTACGACTTGGAGAAGGGGAGCATAGGATACATGGGGTCGGAGCTCCCATGGTTTGGACCGTCCAAAGTCTCGAGCATGAGACCGATCAGGTTGCACACAATGATAGCGAGAAACCCATTGTGGTAGAATCGTCCGATACGGGAGCCCTCTGGGTTGTCAACGAGTTTTACTCTCATGCGGGATCGAAACGTCTTGGCGCGGTCGTCACTGTTGAGTCTGGATGACACGGAGAGGATCCGCGAGCTCGTGCGACTCGGACTCGGCGGTATCTCTGGCGGAGGTGCAAATGGCGCGGGTATCACAGCACTATCCTCTGGAATCGACGTCGACTTCGATTCCTGTATCGGGGCCATGGATTCGCACATCTCAGGGAGTGGTAATCGCGTCGCGTTCGCGTTATCGTCCTCGACAGAGTCTGGCAGAGGCATGACCGTCCCGCCCTTGTCTTGGACGTCCGACATCGCTCCGGTGTTGGCTGGTGCTGCTTCCCTCTGTGTCCTTTCCACTGCCTTTTCCACTGGTGGGTGGTTTCTGTCCAAGAGCCACCGCCCGCGCGAAACCGAATTTAAATTTAGCGCCGGTTACACGATATCCGGATTCGAACGGGCAATTTCTGTTCATCGCGATGCTTCCTGAAGGGAGGTCGGAGGCCAGGCAAGCTACTACCCGAGGGAACGGGAATACATTTGGCGGCGCCCCGCATGTCATGGCGAAGTGACTACTGACGTGGTGCTGAGGCAGCTCCAATCCCAACGCGAAACGCCTGCGACAGTCTTCAATGAAACGCTGCCAAGTCATCGAAACGCCACACGACCGTAATCCTCCAATGCGCGACGAAGCTGGAGGAGTATGGGGTGCTGGCGCCCCCTACGCGCGAATATGACAAGCCATAGGCTCTCCGTCAACTTGGATTTCGTTGCCACCCACATTGAACCTCAACACGGTTGAGGTGAAAGAGAGCTGTTTCCTTGGCACATTAGCATACGAATTGACGTAGAGAACGATCGACCATAATCCCATTACTCTCGTTTGGACTTGGCTTGCATACGCCCCGCGATCGCGCCCAGGCGCTCCACAAGTGGAGGGTGGCTGTAGTGATACGCACTGTAGAGCGCATCGGGGTTCATGTTGGTCAAGTTTTCGAGCGAGATCTTGGTCAGTGCCGACTGAAGTGGGTCGCCATAACCCAAATCGACGGCGAACGCGTCAGCTTCGAACTCCTTGGCGCGGGTGTTGGCCGTCAGGAGATATTGAAGGACCTTGTCCACGGGCGCCCATAGCGTTGTCGTGAATAGTGTGAGGCCAATCATGACAGGTAGATCGTGCTGGTGCGAGTTAAAGCCGAAGCTGGCAAACAGGTCGCGGTCGTGCATACATCTGAAGCGCACACAACCACCGTTAGAGTCATTCCTTCGCTACCGACGTATCGATCGACCCACCTTCCAAACACGGAAAACATCGCGAGAATGTACAATTGCTGGACGATGAGATTTTGAACTGTGTGCCATTTCTTCCAGTGGCCGAGTTCGTGGCCCAAGATGGCGACGACTTCGTCTTGAGTTGCCTGCTCGAGGAGTGTATCGTAGAGCACGATGCGCTTGTTGTTGAAAAATCCAAATAAGTACGCGTTCGAGTGGCCAGATCGCTTGGACCCGTCGCATACAAACAACTTGGTCAACGGGAACGACACCGACGCGGCGAGGGCTTCAATAGCATCGCGAAGAGGTCCACATTCGAGTGGAGTGAACTTGTTGAAGAGAGGCATGATCCACACCGGCACAATCGTCATCATTATCAGCGTAAACGTGAAGGTAAAGATCCATACGTACACGACAAAGTTGTCGCCGCCCCAACGGATGATCCAAATGAGCGCAGAGACCACAGGGAACCCAATGATTACGCTGAGCAACGTGCCTTTGATCTTGTCGGCCACGAACAGTCCGAGCGTTTGCTTGTTGAACCCATGGCGCTCCTCGACCACAAACGTCGAGTAAAGATCGAATGGAATGCTGAGCACGACGTCTCGTGCCCCCGTGAGTATCACAAACGTGAGGGACACCATAATCTCGTTCGTAGGCGTGTACCCAAACGACGCAAGGAGGGCGCGGCAGTACTGCCACATGAACGGCATGTACCCCAGTACGAGCATAGCTAGTCCATCGGCAACTTGAAATGTATCGTGAACGAATTTGAACCGACTTTTGTCGAGGCTGTACAGGCGGCACTTATCAAACTTTGCCGTTGTTTGCTCCAACAGCGACGCGACCTCGTGACCCTTCCCTTGAACTCCTCCATGCTTCTTGTCGATGTTTTGCTCGTCGACATGGCGAATTGCACGGCTCAACTTGTCTGGGAGTGTGGTCTCGTAAAGCTTCCGGTGCTGGCTGCAGCATCACGTGATTATCGCCAAAGCGAGGGCGTCAACCATACCGGATGTCCAAGTACGTTTCGAACACATGCATGACGCATATGAAGAGGATTGTTCCTTCCAGGTACGGCACCGCCGACGCGCGCCATCCTTCTTCCTGAAACCACGTCTTGAGCATTGTCACCGTCACAAATCGTCTTCGCTCAATTTATCATACTAAGTGCTTTGTCAAAATAGCGATCAACTCTCTAACGATTGAACTAAGGTTTCACATTATTCAAATGTCCATCCATTGTCCACGAAACAAGGACGGGTGTGCATCCACCTTCCCCTCCACCTCAGCTTAAATGAACCGGTGGGCCAAAGCATCTCTGGCTTCAGCCGTAAATATTTGCATCATGTCAGGGGCCTAGCCAGCCACACCCGGCGTTCGCCTACGCGGTGTAGAGCCAGCACCTCAATCACACCATCATTGCCAAGGTCTTTCCCTGCCATGACGTACAAATACGCACTCACGTCAGAGATGCCGCTGAACTTTCACAAGAAGCACGCTCCCCTTCACGTGCAAAGTTCGAGAAACGCCGAGGCCATAAATTAGGGCTGGGTATTCGCAATTTTGCTGCCAATGGAAGCGCAAGTTCAGCACGAACACAGGATCTTGGCTGGCTCCAAACTTGAACACGCGACTGGAGATGCCATCGGCAACGTGGATGGCTCTTGTGCTTGGTGAGAATCCCGGTCTGTGGAAATGCTTAACACGTCCGTAGCGATTGCTATTGTGATGCCTAGCACGGTGGGAGACACGACGCTTTCGCCTGCAACGGAAGACGTCACGACCGCCCCGACATCACTCGCTCCATGTGCTTACACCGCAGCAAAGTCCAATGCAGCGTTCAAGGAAGGAGGCACTTCCGCGACGACGATGGCTCTCGTGATAGTAGCAATCGCTTTGATCGTCGTGGCCATTGCTACAGTCATGCACATTCGCCGCAAATATGCGACCACCCAAGAAATAGCAACGATAGCGACCCCGAAGGCCCTGGAAACCCGCCAATTCTCCCGCGAGACCGAGATCCATACGCCACCCAAACCAGAGCGACGGCTATCGCAAGAGTTTCAAATCCACGCTGTGCCCTCGCCGCCCTCGACGGGTCACAGCCTGGACCTGTGGGGGGACTTGGAGAGCCTGCATACAAGAAGCCTCCACCACAGCCAAATCTCAACCAGCTCGTGACGTTAAACCCGGAAACCTTGCGTTTTTTATCACCTTGTGTGTGAAGGCTGTGCCACTCGAGTGAACAAGGCATGGCACCAGAAGTGGAACTTTCCAGCGTGCAATACATATTTGGCTGGACACTACCGCCTCGGAGCTGTGTCGGGAGTCAGTGGGTCACGTCAATACGAGTGTACTTCGAAGTACATTGCTGCGTTGCTTTGGTAGTCTCAGGAATCACGTTTAATCCATTAAACCTATTCTGCCGTATGCTGCAAAAACGATGGTGATCGAACAAAGGATTTTTCGTTGGTGATTGGTCAATTTCCAAAACTGTTATCCGGATTGGATAGCACGGCGGCAATTCGAAGCATTTCGCGGCAGCGTTGCATCATGGCCGTGGGTGTGTTCCTCCGCCGAGACGCCGAGGACGGAAAAGTCGGTCTACGGCGAGCCTCCAACACATGCATCCGTCTTGAGCCCAGTGCGATGTCTCCTGGTGTTGCAAGCATCAACTTTGATGCAGTCGTGGAGACGAATGATCCCACTGCGGAATTGTTCGACCAAATTGTGCAACCGAGTCTACCGCTTGTATGCGAAGGCCGTAGCGTGTCCGTGATTGCAGCTGGATGTAACGCATCTGGAAAGTCGCGCTTGATGCATGGAGAAAACTCGAATGCCTCGAGCGTCGGGATGGTTGAGCGTTGCCTAAGGGCCGTGTTTGACCTCGTAGACGCCACTGTTGCAGAGGACCCATCGCGACTAGAGTACATCGAAGTAAAGATCATGTGGGTTCACGAAGGTATGGACTCCAAGGCGGTATCATCTACCTCGATGTCGGCGTTCCAAGCCGTGCGGAGTGTGGATGATGCTATGCGGCTGTATGAAGTGCATCACGGTGCAACAAACTGCCCAGCCTCGTCGCACAGCGTGGTTCTCTGCCGTGTCCACTCATCCATTCGCGACAGTGTTGTGGTTGGCACGTTAGCTCTTGTTGATATCAGCGGTGCGACCTTCCTTGCACTCGACGACGACGAGTCCCACAAGGACGATTACTTCCTCCACAGCCAAGCATTAACATCTTTACACCGCACTCACATGGGCACATCATTTGCCCCCTGCCTCCTGCTTGGTCTTCGCACGCATGCTTCGTGCCAACAACAAGTGCGTGTGTTTCAAGCCATCTCGTCCAGCGTCGAATGCGACTTTGGCTTTTGTAGGTTATTCAAGCACTACTGTACGGCTGCCGTGTCAAGGACATGGCTGCAGGGCCCGCTGTATCCAACGCAGATACCTTGCGAACGTCGCCTCTTTCAAAAGTGCGTCCTGTAGCTTTCTTGAACGGGAGTAATATGCTTGTAGGTCTTGACGTACTTGGCCCCTGCCGCCCCACCAGCATCGCAGTGCTCGCCAACATCCAAACGGTTCCTGCACAATCACTTGCCCAACGTGAGTCCTCTATCGGCATCATCCTGCAATTTATGGAACCTCGACCACGAGTAGGTAATATGCAGCAGCGGCCGAGCCGTCGCCGAGAATCCCCACGGCACAATTAAAACGCAGCATGACATCCCTCCGATGTCTCCTGCCCCAACGACATCGTCCGAAGATGATTGCGATTCAGACGACGGGGGAATGCCGGCCGTCCCATTCACGACGCGCGTCGCTCGGTCAACACAACGGTCGCAGGGCGATGCGATCAAGGCGCTGGCGGCCGAGAAGGCGTTGACGGAACGGTGCGCCGTGCGGATTTCTCAGCTGAACGACATGATCAAATTTCAACGAACTGCGCATGAAAAGTTGGAGCGGGAAAAGCTAGCGGTGGACCGACGGTTGGCAGAGACGGAAGACAAGCTCCTCGTCGTCCAAGGCATAGCCGACCAGTTGCAGTCCGACGTGGCAGCGCTCAAGCGCCACGATGGATCCAACGACAGCAACATGAACCTGCTCCAGTTTTCGACGCGACTAAGCAAAGTGATTGAAGAAACGAAACAAGTCGTGGCCATGAAGGACCAGTACATCGCCCAACTCGAGCAGAAAGTTCGTTACGCTGCCATTCTCGCATCTCAAAAGACCTCGGAGGTTGAGTCGACTATACAACGAAAGATGGCCACTCAACTGGAGGCTGCGACAATGCAGGTGCTGGAATTGCAAGCAGAGTGTGATGCGACCCGTGCCAAGTTGGCTGATCGCGTTGGTGAGGTCGCGATGCTCACATCGAGAGTGGAAGCCACAGCCAAGAGTACAGCGACATGGATGGAAGAGACAGAAGCGCAGCACCGGCGAATCGTTCTTGCACTAGAAGAAAAGGTAGCGGCACAAAGCCAGCTGCTGCATCAGTTCAAGGAGCAGTGCGAATATCACGACGTCATCGTCGATGCCGACACGAAGCGGTGGCAAGCCGCCATCGACGCCATAACGGTCCAACTTCACGACGAACGCGCTGTCAAACAACAGCAAGTGGAGTCGGCGAACCAGAGAGCGATGGAAAGCGAACTGTTGTGGAAGGAACAGTTGGAGGCCCTGGAAACCCAGCATAAAGCTGCCTTTGAACGTGTAGCAAAAGATGCGGCGACTTGGCAGCAAGAGAGCCGCGATGCGATCCAGGCCAAGGATATTGCTCAAGGCCATCTGAACGCTTCAAGACTGGAGGCAGCGCAATTGCGGCAGGAAGTCGACAATCTGCGAGCCCAAGTGCATACAACTCAAGCTCGTCTGGATGAAATGCAATGGCAGTTGGACCACCAAACGACAGCAGTTGACAAAACGACCCAGCAGTCTGATCCGCCACCATCCACCTCCACGAACAATGACAAGGACGCCACGGACACCATGATCCAGTCTTTGATCGCTGAGGTGGAACAAGCGCGAAGGCGGGAAGCGCACCTGACACACGTCCTGTCTCTCGCGAATCGTCACGAACACGAGGCAAATGTTCGCCTCGGCCAAATTCAGAACGAGCTCCAATCTCGTCGAAAGGAGAACATCGAGTTGGCATGGGCGATTGGCAAACGCGACCACGCGTTACGCATGTTGGAACAGCGCCACGCGTTCGTGGCCCAATGCACGTCCGCTGACACGAGTCGGCCCACATTATCCTTGTAGCTGCGGAACATCTTGGCAGTCGGCCATGTACAATATAACCGGAATATATGTGTTTGCCTGTGACGACCGTCCATTCAGCCAGCGTCCTGACTGTTGCAAGAGGAGACTTGTAGCGTGTGCGAGGAGCGATCCAGTTGATCAAGGCAAGAGGAGCTGTGCAGCATCAGCCAAGTCATGACTTTGCTGTTTGCCGTGGCGGGACCGGTGAGTACACAGGGATAACCGGATCAACGTATCTGATATCCGGACAAGTTGAACCAGTGTGTGACAAAATTAGGATGGCGGCGTGCCGATACCGCGTTTCGAAGCTCCGGAGCGAGATCGAAAGCGAGCGAAAGCGACAAGGACTCCTTTGCAGGTCGTTTGGACGCAAGGTCGATGTGTTTGAAGGGTGCAAGCAGTCGACGGCGTCCACTTCGGTTATCAAAGTGGTCGCCACCAATTCCACTGTCCAGAATTGTCGCGCCGCTGGGACGACGACCGATCCATCGCCATGTTGGTCCACCCTGTACGAGCTCAATAGAGGAGACTGGGACTCTCCGGTCCAAGTCCACGTGTATCGATTGCAGAAGTCCCCAAAGCCGACAAAGTCCCTTCGACATCTCGTCGCAGCCAAGCGCATTGCTCGATGGTTCAAGCAAATCCTTCGCATGCGCCAAGCGGCTCCATCCCCGCCACCACCCATTCCAACGACAACGGAACGTACTCGCATAAACCCAGACGATCTCTTGGCACGCATTACACAGCAAATCAACGACCAAGCCAACCTCCAACGCCAGAACCGGGCAGGTCATGTCATCCAGCGATTCTTCACCTACGTGCTCAACCGTCGATCTGCATCGGTACGTCGCTTCAGATGGTACGGGTGGAGCTGTTGTATTCGGGTGTAGATGGGTCAGCAACATCGACACCATCGCATATTGATTCGCCAGCAAATGAGGCGGCGGCAAGCTCAGGAGCTGGACGCCATGGAGAGGGCAGTACGACTGATTCAAGCAACCTATCGCGGCAGTTCCTCCCGTCGCCGCGTGCGTTCGATTGTAGAGTGGCTTGAAGCAATTCTGACATGGCTTTGCATAGTTTACGTGGAAACAAAGCACGGTCAAGGGCCATTTCATTCGTGTTCTTATCCTGGAAGCGGAGTGGACGGCACAGCCAGGGAGGGCGGACGTGCTGCGGCAGTTGGCAGCTGCCTATTGGACATATTACGACGAACACCATGCCGTGTACGACCCACTGCAACGATCGCTTATGCTGCGGATGCATCTCCTATGCGCAATGAAAGCCATTACGTATGGATACGATCCATCATCTGCCGAGAATGACGACGCCGCCAAGTGGTGGATGGCCATCGGGCGGCGCTTCCTCTTGCTGTGGGAACACACAACGGACGAGCCAGCGCTGTTGCAGGAAGCGCTGACTGCATTCAGCAACGCACAGCGAACCATATCCGACGATGCGATCGATCCAGAGGTAGCCGCGACCATTTACCTGTGTTTGACATGCCATGCATCCACGCGTGTAGGTGCTGTGCGACGAAGTGCATGTGCAGTTTGCTCTCGGGTTGTACTGCCATGTCATCAAGAAATGCCAGCACGTGGCGTTTGAACTGTGGGGAAACCTCGACCGGATGACGCAGGTGTGGCTATGGGAAGGCCAGGCCCATTTTCACGTTGGTGTACGTCGCATCAAACTACGTTCATCGACTGGAGAAACTGACTCTGGTCCTACCAGGACTACCACGAGGCTGCGCTTCGATTTCAGTCGATCATGACCCGTTCGGTCCCGTCCACCCCTTTGATGCCTTACACCAACGTTGAGCTCTGGGTAATCCTGGGGCGCTGCGCCGTCCTTTGCAACAACCTCGATCGAGCACAGCTCTACTACGACAAGATTCTCTGCAGCATGTACGGTGACGATGACATTGTTCGGCGAGGATTGTCGTGGGAACACGTGATGAACGACGCGACGCTGCACTTGACCTGTGGGTCCAAATGCGCCAAGCGACGCGACTTTCCGTTGGCAGTCGACTTGTTGCGCTATGGCAAGCAGTTGAACCCCAATGTTACGACCGTCCACCACGACGAAGTCTTGGCTGAGTGCATCCGGCACACGGTGCACTTAGACACGCGGGCGAGCAGGGCTACGTGGGAAGCGCAGAAGCGAATTCCCCTCACACGATTGCGTGAACGTCTCGGTGTAGTGCTCTAGCGACTGCTGCAGCGAGAACGCGTATCGAAGGATGGGGTGTTGTATGTTATTTACGCAGCAGATTGAACGCCGCGACGTATTGGATGGCCGTGTGTTTATGGCTGTATTCGTCGCCGAGTTTGAGTTTGTGAAACAATCCGAGAATATTTGCTATGGGCTTCTTGACCGGACTCGCAGCGTCGGCAGGGGTCGAGTCAGCCAAGATCGACATAAACTCGTCAAGGAGTTTGTCTTGATTGGCGTCGCCGACGACCGAGCAGGGCTTGTACTGGACTTCGACGGTAAGACCTGTGGGGGTGTTGGCGCGGCACACAAACGTGCAAATGCTCACAAGAAAGTCGCCAAAAAGGAATTGCATTCCCTACCATGCGCAGAGTTGGCCATGGATTGAAGGATTCCTTTCCGTACCTCGAACTTGCCATCGGACTTGGGAAGATAAATCTCAACTTGCTGCAAGATATTAGACCCTTCCAACCCGCATTCCAGCAGACAGCACTCGTCCAAAGGTCCGTCCAGTCCGTTTTCACTTGATGGAAGCCCCTTCTCGAGCTTGATCCCCAATGAAGCATCCGTGCGCTCGTTGCCCAACACGGCATAGATAAGATCATCATTTTGAGACATGCGAAGCAAATACATGCGCTGGTTTGCGTAGCCATCGACGAGCACGCGGCGAGACAGCATGCGGCAGTGTACGACGAACCGACCAACTTTTCGAGCTCCCATTTCTTCAATCTTCTTCATCAGGGCTTGGTAGCGCACGGGAATGTTACTGTCCGTATACGTGAACACTCTAAAATGTGCTGAGTGAGGAACCCCAATGCCCATCGCGCTATCCATGGAGTTACCTTGTCATGCCAGTCATGGTGACCTTCGTCCTTCTGTTCGCGCTGCTGCTATCGAGTGCTTGAGCGGATATGCTGCAGTTATCCGGATGTGAGGATGAATCGGTCAAAATACTCTTGTACTTCATCAAACTGTAACACACAGGAGCCAACGAACACGACTGTGTCGATGAATACGAAAACCATTCCGATCGAATCTGCATGCATCCCTACGCACGTTCATTTTCGAGTTGAAGCCCCGCGTCGACGCCATAGCATCCTTCCTCGAAATCTACAGCTGAAATGATGTCGTCAAAGTGTTTATGATCTCTCGAAATCTTGGTCGAGTAGCCCACAAAAGGAAATTATTTTTATAGCTTGTGATGTATATGGAGAATTTCCCATTTTTATTCTATTGCCACCAAAATGTGCGGATGTGGGAATGAGCAGATCAGCTAGCCAATCAGCGTTGCGCTGGCTTACAAATAGCCAATCAATCGCCGCCAGAGCTCTTTCTTCTCGCAGGCAGATCTTTGAATGACTTGGAAATTTGCCATCAACACGATGAAAGGATTTGCGGCTGTCGTCGGTGTCGCCTCCGCGCTACTTGCCAAAGTCGCCATGGGCGACATCTCGTGGAACTTAATGTTGGGAAACCATAGCATGGACTTCCATGGGACGTTGGACGACGCCCCAGTCGAAGAAGGATTCTGTGATACCACCAAGCAACTGAGTGGTTACTTCAAGATTGACGGGTCCAAGAGCAAGAACTACTTCTACTGGTTCTTTGAGTCGCGCAATGCACCTTCTACAGACCCATTCGTCATTTGGCTCACGGGTGGGCCCGGATGTAGCTCCATCTTGGCGCTCCTGGGGGAGAACGGACCGTGTACTGTGAATGACGACCTGACCATCAAGCGAAACCCGTTTTCATGGAACGAAAAGTCAAACATCATGTGGATCGATCAACCTGCCGGTGTTGGCTTCAGCTATGGGGACACTAGCGAATACGACACAGACGAAACCATGGTTGGGAACGACATGTATCACTTTTTACAAGAGTTCTTCCAAGTGCACCCCGAATACGCCAAGAACGATTTCTACGTGTTTGGCGAGAGCTATGCCGGCCACTATGTTCCTGCCGTGGCCCACCGCATTTACGTTGGCAACAAAGAGAGCACCAACCCGAAGATCAACCTCAAGGGCATCGGTATCGGCAATGGCTTGACCACACCCGAGGTGCAGTACAAGTGGTATCCGGAAATGGCGTACAACAACACATACGGCGTGCAAGCCATCTCAGCCGAGATTTACGCAACGGAGAAGGCAGCTGTTCCCGCGTGCATCAAGATGATCGATTTGTGCCAGAAAACAAACGTCGCGTGCCTTGTTGCCCAAGTGTATTGCAACGCTGCGCTCGTGTCGCCCTATCAATTGTCCGGCTTGAACGTGTACGATATTCGCGAGAAATGCCAGCACTTGCCCTTGTGTTACGACTTCAGTTCAATCGAAAAGTTCTTGCGCCTTCCGTCGACGCTGAAAGCCCTCCACGTGAGTCCTAAGAGTTCCAAGTGGGAGTCGTGCAACATGGTCGTGCACGCCGCGTTCAGCTACGACTGGATGAAGAACTTTGACGGGTTGGTGACTCCCATGGTTGAGAACGGTATCGAAGTTCTTGTGTACGCTGGCGACGCCGACTTTATTGTCAACTGGATGGGTTGCAAGGCGTGGACATTGGCGTTGAACTGGAAGTACCGCTCGCAATTCCAGCAAATTGAGGACGTCGACTGGGTTGTAAAGGGCAAGAAAGCAGGCAAAGTGCGCAGTCTCCAAGGGCTCACGTTCTTGCAAGTGTTTGAGGCGGGCCACATGGTCCCGATGAATCAGCCGGAAAACTCCCTGTACATGCTCGAGGAATTCACGAAGAAGAACTCGTTTGCCGCGCGACACGCGGCGGATGATCAGTCGGTGAAGCTGTTGGTGATTGAAGGCACGGATGACGATATTGAGGTCGACTTTCTATTTTCACCTTGAGTTTAAATACCTTCGTGGTGTTTGCGTCTTAATCGTGCGTGCTTCTGTCGTCGTATTCGCCGACTATGGTGGTGATTTGTGATGCACAGGAAAACTAAAATGGATAGCCAATTACTGTCGTCCAAAACGGGGTGAGTAGTATGCATATAGATGCGAGTGCCTTCGACAAACGCCAGGTGCTGATGCCCCAGGCGTAGGAAATATGTGGTGTATTTACCGTTGACCTTCGACTGAGAACGAGAATAACGAAGATATTTGGTTACTATGGACCAAGTACATACCGTTTCGGAGAGGTATTGACGGTACACGTTGAAGTAGAGCAGTCCCTCGACATGCTCACGGGTGTAGTTCTTGGCCCTGGCGTGTCCAAATCCTGGAATCTTGGATAACACGACGCCTTTTTGCTTCCCTGTCAACTTCTTTCCCATGTACAAATGGGCAACTTGTATCAACGTCGACTGGATACCCAGTTGTGTGCAATGTTTAACTACAAATGTGAGTGTCTGTTGATGCGGCGAAAACGCAAAGAGCAAACCAATGTTCCATAGTGCAAGGCAGTCGTCGGTGATATCCATGGCAACCACGGCCTGACCTTGACACGTATCACATGTTTGTTGGCACAAACTATCTGTCCAAGATTCTCCAAAATACTCCAGGAGCATTTGCCGACGGCACTTTGCCTAATTTTACTCTCATGAACGCCTCATTCAGTCCATATTTCAAGCCACTTACCGTGTTCTCACACAATTCCATGACATCACGAAGGTTTTGAAAGTGTGCTTGGCGAGATGTCCCACATGGCAACATTTTCTTGCGGCGAGACTACATGAAAATTGTCAGTTGCGTTGTTAGATAGGCACGCACATAATCTTTGTATGAATAGAATACTACACATTCTGCAGGTGAACCATCCCGCCCTGCTCGTCCAGACTCCTAATCACAATAGTAATGTAGACTTGTTATCGATATGGCCATCGTACCTGGTAAAAATGGGTGATGGATTGCGGCAGACTGTGGTGAATGACATATCGCACGTCGGGCTTGTGAATGCCCATGCCAAACGCCATGGTTGCGACCATCAGTTTAATTTTTCCTTGACTCCATGCTTGATGCCGGAAAGTTTTTTCGTTGTTGTCCAAGTCAGCGTGATAAAAGTTGACCCAGTGGTGCGACTGGTCGCCTTCAGTGAGGTCGGACACGAGCATCTCGCAGTCTTTCCTGGACAAACTACCTCGAGGCCATTAGAGTTCACGCTGATTTACATCGATACCAATATATGATCCCAGATTCGCCAAGACGATTCATGACAAAATTCTTCAAGTCTTTCAAGAACGTGCTTGTTTTGAGCCGGCATGTATAGGATAGGTTTGGCCTGGAGCGTTGACATGTCAAATCATATTAAGGCTTTGCTCTGGATACATGCCGATTGAAGCTGGTCTTTTCGACATGGGGGGCAAAGAGTCTCAAGGACGCTGCAATGCTTTGCACCACCTTATCGCTAGCAGTAGCAGTCAAAGCGGTAATAGGAACCTATAATTCATCGCGATAGTGCTTTCAGCGGGTGTAGGTTTGAAGTTTACACCAGGATGCCGTCGGCGCAACAGGCCGAGCTCCATGTAATCCTTACGAAAATCGTGTCCCCATTGACAAATACAATGAGCTTCGTCAATGACAAAACGGGACAACATTCCTTGATGGAAGAGTTGCAACATCGCTCGCTTCAAACGCTTGCTTGATACCAACGTTTCTGGCGTGATGTACAGCAATTGGATGGGAGGCTTTGTCGAAGCCATGAGATCCGAGTAAATGCCGTTCTGTTCGTCACGTGGTACTCCGCACGTCAACATCTTTGCTCGAATCCCTAGCGCTTTTAGCTGGTGGACTTGATCTTCAATGAGCGACAATAGCGGGGAAACCACTATTGTCAGGCCACCGTCGATGCATGCAGGGAGTTGGTAGCACAAGCTCTTTCCAGCCCCAGTTGGCATAAGAACAAACACATCTTGACCGCGACCCGCAGCCTACATGCATTATGCATTGAAATTTAGGTGTCTTCAATTTTGAACAACGGACCATCATAACTGCTTCTTGGCCAGGACGAAATCCGTCATGACCAAATTGTACTGCCAGGACGCGGAGCAAATCGTCACGTTTGTAGCCATTCCACGTACTCTTGTCGATGCACTTTGTTCTCAATTCGGGGACTTTCGGTGGATGCTCTCGACGTTCGTTTTCCTCACGACAACAAGAAGGTACTGTTTCTTCCATCTCTCGTCGTTGACGCTTCGAGGATTGTGGTTCATCCTCTCGAGATTTATCAACACGAGTCATATCAATGCATGCTGCATGTGCATGCTTCGCAACGAAAGCCTGACCCCGTTGAAACTCGTGGCGCGCTTCTTGCCATGCTGACTTGCTGAGCGTGTGGGTGGTCATATCTGAGTATGAATTTCGCGCTACTTTTTAAACCAAAACTTATCCGGATACCCCGGATAATACCACGTCAAAAAGGGCTTGTTAAATATGTCTCGCCAGAAGACGAACTGGAATCAACGCAACAGCTCTTGGCACGCATCCCGCTGCACAACCGAACCTACGGCTGCGAGGCGGCGGAGGCTGAACTGCAGCTCTTTCCATTCACGTAGTCGAGCTTTAACCATCGCGTCCGAGTTGGACAAATGCATGAGCCCCACGACAACGTACTGGGATTGAATCCCTGACCCGTTCGCCAGTGTCGTGAGAAGGATGGCTTGTGTCCGTTCAGATTGCAGCACGTTCCATGCTACGTCATCGTCGCTGTCTTGTCGCCCACGGCGCGCCAACGCGAGCGCAAGAAACGACAGCACGGCAGCAGCAATATCTTTGTGCTCAACCTTGGCTGTCGGGCTTCCCAACACATCCACCATCGCAGGTAAGCCCCCCAACGCGATGATCTTTGCAGCGAGTTTGGACCGCTGGGCCATTCCAAATAGTATTTCTAACGCTGGCGTTGACCCGCTGTCCATCTTTCGTACGGCTTCGAGCAAGTCGGGGACATTTGCAGCAGCAGATTCGGACAAGCTGAGCTTTCGGTTGGCTTCGTCTGGAGCTGTGGGAACCTCCGTGCCTATGGAGTGCCGCCGAGGCTTCGAACTGTAACCCGACTGTGTTAGGTGGTCATTCGTGTCGACGCCGGTGATTGAGCCCTTTCGACGCGGCACTTTTTCGATTGTGGGTCTGGGTGACATGGGCGCATGCAGCATTGGTGCGTATAGGTCGGCGCCAAAGTCTTGAAACTTGACAAATCCTTCCTCAGTCACCGCCGCCACGTAAATGGGAAGAATGATGAAGGAAGGAGCCGAGTCGGCAACCGCGAGGGCGACTTCGTACTCGAGGAGCAGATTGTCGGCGGTATGGTCCAACGACTCATCGCGGCATTTTGCCAACCCCGCGTGGGACAACAGGGCGAGAAAGACGCGGCTCTGAGTGAGTCCTCGGAGGAACCCTTCCTTCCACGGTTCGCCAGTTTTGAGACTCATGCGGTCCAAAAATGGGTGAAGGTTGCGAGTTTTTAGGTGAAGGTACAATTTCTCGGCCAGGCCTTTTTCACTTGCGACGCGGTAATTGATGAAACAATCGTACGACGTGACCCCGTCGCATCGAGAAGGGCCGACGGCATGGCAAATGGCGTCGAGAACTGCAGAGAGATCGTCCGGGTCGATCAAATGCACGCCTTGGTAAGCCAAGAGACGGCCCAGAAGGATGCTAGGTGGCTGGGTCACGCGAGTTGGGATCGATGGATCCAAGTTTGGCTGTCGGGGTGCATTCAGCGCAGGCGTACCCACTGGACGCTTTAGCTTGGTGAGGTGCATGCCGAGCAGCTTGCGATGTGCCTTGCTCAGGATACCCACGTCCAAGAGCAACCCGTCCAGGTCGGACTCGGTCAAGATTGCGAGGATGCTGCCATCGATCCCGTTTCGTACAAACGTATCCGCGTATTCCTTATATGCATCCCCCAGCTTCGCGACCTGGTAGGCCACGTCATGCGCGCTCAGGGTCTGCAGTGACGCCCCTGCTCCCATCTTCCTCAATGACCTGGCACAACAATGGCGACTAAGATGAGCCAATTTGGTAGTCGAAACTGCAGCCGTTCCAATCGTATTTCGAAGGCATGACCGGACGAAGTTGCGAATTACTACGATTGGCGCCCTGTCAGTGTGAATTCGGCGACGACGGCCATGACGACGCGCCAGCTCCGAATGATCGACATTGGGGCGAACTTGGTGGATCCAATGTTCGTGGGCGTCTATCGTGGCAAGTCCAAGCACGTGGTATGTGGATGCGTATGCAAACCCTTTAAATGATTCCTTTCTCTTGGTGAAAGGACGACTTTGCCCAAGTTCTCCATCGCGCGTTCTCGACCCATGTCGAGAAGATTATCATCACTGCAGGATCGCTGTCTGAGAGCAAGGAAGCGCTTGCGCTAGCTCGCACAAATGAAAAGTTGCATTGTACAGTTGGCGTACGTCCACTCCTGCATAACTCGCGATGCGTGTAGTAATCCCCAGAGTTGTTGTCGTACGTAGGTTCATCCGACACGATGCAATGAGTTCCTGACCGACCCCGACACGTACATGCAAGGCCTTCACGACGTTATCAAAGAAGGCAAAGCGGGTGGCAAGGTAACTCTCAAGTCATTCCGATAAAGTTGCCAAGTCATCGAGAAGGTGGTGGCCGTCGGCGAATTTGGCCTCGATTATGACCGGTTGGAGTTTTGCAACCGCGCGACGCAACAAGAGTACTTTGCCAGGCAGTTCGATCTCGCGCAAGTGTCAAATCTACCATTGTTCCTGCACAACCGAAACACGGGCACCGATTTCTATGGTACGCCGGACATTCCATTTCCATTCAACCTTCTGGTCTTTGGTGTAGATGCGGTTTCTCGCCACCGCGACTGCTTTCGCGATGGCGTGGTGCATTCGTTCACTGGGTCTGCAGACGAGGCCAAGAAGCTACTGGACCTCGGCCTCTACATCGGGATCAACGGGTGTTCTCTCAAAACACAGGAGAACCTGGACGTTGTCAAGTCGATCCCGATCGATCGTATCATGCTCGAGACTGGTGATCAAACAATTCCTTCACCCTTTGACTAAGTCCATGCGCAGACGCTCCGTGGTGCGACATCCGACCGACCCACGCGAGCTTCCAGCACGTGCGCACGCTGTTCGAGTCGAAGAAACCCGAGAAGTTTATGCTGGGTATCGGTGTCAAGGGTCGCAACGAGCCCAACACGATGATGTACGTTCCCATGATACAGGCTCGAAGAAGGTATTGAATGTGGTGTAGCCAAGTGCTGGAAGTGGTGAGTGCGATTCATGAGATGGACGTGCACGACGTGGCCGACACGGTGTTCGAGTCGACGCGCCGTGTATTTTTCCCGCGAGACGAGGCGTAAACCCCAACCAACAAGCAGGGAGACTTGTCATTTCCAAATGCGACTCCTACGCCCAGCTGCGCCCTTGGCGGGGGTTGTGCAGCAGGTGTCGAATGTAATAGATTTGGAGCAGCACGCAGACAACGTACACCAGACTCTCGATCGTCCCAGCGAGCGATACCCGGTCGTTTGTGCTCTTCTCCGCTACACGAATTAAAAGTTTAGACAATGCCGACATGTGGATGGATTGACAGGTCGAATACGTACTCTTCATGTGCCGGTCAATCCGCAGCTGCATCAGTCGTTGCTCCGACTCAAGTTCGCCCAACTTGATGTCCAAGTGGGATGCGTACTTGGCCAAAATGCTCACATGCTCTACGGGTCAACGCGTGAGTGCTGAAATGACGACAGGGAATCGCAGCATCCACCTTTTTCCACGGGGTGTTGGGACTGCAACGTGTTGGTGACATGTGTCACGAGCTTGGATTGGTGGTCGTTGTTGGTAAAGCAGATTTCAAACAACCCCGTCACGTCGGGGTGCACTTCGTACGTGCCTTCCGCATCGCCGTACCGTTGGAACACTGTGTTCTTGTATGGATCTTTCACATCCACGTCGATGGCAGCGCTAGCGGTCGATACAACGTACGCGCCCCCGACTGTGTCCCCCAATGACTTGATGTCTTCGTAAAAGCAACTCTTGTCACGCGCCTCGATATAGAAGGTTAACCCCTCGGACGGGTCAAAGTCAAAGCGACGGAGTTTCTCGTCTTCACCGTCAACGTCTGCGTCCGAGAGCGGTGGTGCTTCCTTCCCCAAAATTCCCATGCCGTTGGACGCTTCCTCGTCTTCCAAGTAAGGGTTGAAGTCGTCCAGGATTTTGGTAGATTCGTCATATCGAGGAACGTCGTGCTGATATCCGCCAGGTTCACTTGTTCCATGCACCACCGTAGCAGGCAGTCCCTGTGTAGTTGTAGCACTCGAAACACCCGTTGCAACGATTGCCTTCGCTGTCGCATCTCCATTTGCAGGCAGTGCAGTCGTTGTTAGACTCGCTGCGGTCTTCGCGTGGTTCGCCGTAGCACCTGCTACGTCCGTCACCTGAGCCGCCTTGTCTTCTGCCTGCGCCAGCGACAGAAACACCGCCGCAACAGCAACAAGAACGTGCGGCAATCGCATTGCGACTGACGATGTGGGGTGAACCCAACGGGGTTTCGTATCCGAACAAATATCCGGCACGATGTGACATGCCAGCGTCATCAACGATGCCATTACATGGTGTATTCACTAACTAGCTCGTCGATGTTGAAGCCTTGCTCTTGGCCGCTGCCTCCGACGGGCATCGACGGCACCAGCGGCGTGTCTGTCGTGACGGTGGTGCGCCAGATGTTGTGCAGGTCGGTGTTGTTGAGGTCAAAGAGGAACGACGCAATGAGGTTCAAGTTTGCCGATGGATCGTACTCGTCCGCGGGGGTCATGCTCCAGTCCTTGGCCAACGCGCCAAGATGCGCCAAGAGTTTGGTTTCGTCCAGACATGCGGACGAAGCTGTCGAAGTCGACGACGTTTCGGCGTCAGCCAACGAGTCGCATTGACTGCCGAGGTTGTCTAAATTCGGGACGACATCGCTCACGCGTTGTCCAGCGGATGTGGCATCGTGCGACAGTGCATCGCGCGCTTCATATATCGATTTGAGGCGGGTACATGTGTCGGTATACTCGGAGGAAACTGGCGGAGCGGTCGCCCCAGTTAATATCGAAGTTCCATCTGTGGCAGGCCACCGGTTGTACTTGGCATGTTCAGCTGACAGGGGTTGCACTTCAAGGAGCAGCAAACATAGCTCGACCAGGTCAGCGTTGGGCAGGACGGAGACCCAGCTGCGGGGCTCGACGCCGGTCGTGAGGAACGTTGAGACGTTGTACATGCCCTCCCCAGCCCACAGATCATGGAGCCCCTGGCGGAGGTTCCTGGCCTGCGCTTCCGTTTTGCGGCGCTTCATCCAGATAGTGAGGGCCGTGCGGAGAATGTTGGGAAAGTAGTGGCGATGGAGCCCTCGTTTGTGGTATCTGGGGTGGCAAAAGTACGCGAGAAGGTACAAGCCATCGCCAACTTTGTCGAGAACTCCCCAGATCTCGTTGATAGGCGGCGTCATCTGGGCAAATAACTTGGTCGAGAGCTTGTTGGGTGACGGGGACGCATTCGAGCACAGGTTGAGGAGGAGCGCGTTGAGCGAGACGAAACCAGCGTAGCAGTCGGCTATCGACACGTCACAAGTTTGGAACAAATCAAACAACGTCTTGATCGGACGAAATAGGACGAGGAGGCTGCGCAGGTTGTTCCAAAAGTCGGGGCGGCTCGTGTAGTTGACGAGCTGGGGCGACGGCATAAACGGGCAGTTGGTCCGGAATGCCTGGACAATTGTCGGTTTGATCACGCTTTCGTTGAGGTGGATCGAGTACAGCGACAGGATGCAGTCCGAGAGGCTCGTGGCCGAGAACTGCAAGAGGCGGCACCGGTGGACGTTCATCTGGGCAGCCATGTCTTGCAGCATCAGCGTCGCATCTGGTGACTGACGAAAGTACGACAGAATGGAACCCGCCACCATAAACACGTGATTGATGTCTGGGATCTTCATCCACTCCCGGAGGAGGTAGTTGGTCAGTTGTGCCATGCAACGGATGGGAAGGATCCACGGGTATGTGGTCGCCACTTCCTCGGCTGCTTGAAGCAGGTCAGGATCGTCACCTGTGCACACTCCGATGAATCGCTCCGGCGACACCTCCATGAGCACGGGGGTCAGCACTTGGCTTCCCAAACGCTGAAGGGACTCTTCCTCGTTTTGAAATGATACAATGTTCCAGATGATGCTGACGCGAGTCTGGTTGGTCAAGTTTATGTGCACGATGCGCTGGTTCGATGCGTCGCGGCGTCCAGACGGTGTTAACGTGATGCGGTGGAACCCATTCGCGACGACGTCCTTGAGTTTGGTCATCTCGGCTGAGTACTGATGGAGTACAAGGGTTCGCAAGTCGTCGCCAGACACGGACTTGTACGAAGAGTTGATACCCTTGAGCCACTCTCGAAAGTGCTTGTTATCCGCGATCTCGATCGGAATGTCGTTGCACACAAAGGCCTTCACCATCAAGATCTTCTCGAGAGGATCGCTTTGTCCAATACCACCACTTCCACCCTTTCCTTTCGAATTATGCAACATCCCTTGCTTCAAAGCATCGCGGTGATGCATCATAATTGCAGATGAGAGACCCAAAGGCGATATTACCCCACCCGAGCCGTCCAAGTTACTCTTCGAGCCATCTTCTCCATCTTTTTCCCGCTTACGCCGCTTGATTGGAGGTCCAAGTCCGTCGGCAACAATGCCCAAGCTGCGAAGTTTCACAGGGACGTCGCCAGGGCAGTCTGTGGCAATATGGGACTTCATTTGTGACAGATCGGCATACTTCCATTGCCGTATGCAGTAGTTGCACTTAGCAGCGCGGACGCGGCTGATGCCATGACGATCCCCCCTCGTGAAATGGTCCCAGATGGGGTCGGAGCGCGGACCCGAGCGGCCGTCGTTAGATGATTCCATGATGGTCACCTTGTTTGAATTCCAGATTTGAATGGTGCCGTATTGTATTGTACGACGCCAACCGACAGTACGGTGTCGTGCGCTTGGTATTCTCTCGAAATGCAAATAAAATTGCAGCTCACCATACAAACTTAACATTTAAATTTGCGACGTTGAATAGTATTTTTGATACATTATCCGTATTATTTTTTAGTAGACGATGAGGAGTGTGATTTAAAGAAGACCTTCTTGGTAACCACGGCTTCCAGAATTAAATAAATTGAATTATTAGAAAATATATCCTTCGTACATCCACAACGTTTTCGTAGTACGCAAATTCGCGCCAAATGAATCATGATCACGATGGAAAGAGCTTCGGGACGAACCGAAGCATGTCGTGGAGGCCCCGCTGAAGGAGAGCGCCAATGGCAGGGCTTAAGGATGGCTGAAGAGAGCGCCCGGAGATGGTGACCTCAATGGGTGGAAGAAGAACGAGGCGTCCTGGTGGTTCCCACTTGGCTTTCGACGCTACCCACTTCGCCAACAAGTGAAGGTTCTTCGGTCTCAGCCACACCATTTGATGGTTTTGCATGTGCGCGACCATCGCAACCAATGGACATGTCGTAGATATGGTATTTGCCTCCATCATCTTGCCATCACCACCGCAGCGAGATATCCCGACGTAGATTTTGTCGTCTCCCACGCGAACGGCCACGAACTCGACCACGCCATTTTCCATTCGGCGCGCCTAGTGACCAACATCATTAAAGTGCATTTGACATGCATAAAAGTACCTCACGGTGCACGGCACGTGTTCTCTTTTCCTTAATCATTTTCAACTCGCACGCTTCTGCCAACTTCGCCCACAGTCCTCTCCTCATGTCATACTTATTATGAACGCGATGGACCAGGGTCGTTGTGGGGGACCCTTTTGACCTCATGCAAAGGAGGAGTTCAAGTGCAGCCATGGGCGACGCGTGGGAAGGATCCAGTCGACAGGCCATTTCAATTACGCAGTGTCCAAAGCACATGGACGTCGTTTTCACCTTGGCAATGTCCATCGCCAATCGCTGTGCCGCGTCCGCTTCCATCATGAATTTCGTCTCCAAACTAGCTCGCTCTTGTTCGGCCAGTTGCAAGCGCATCGCGTGCTTGAGGAGCGACACTGACTTTTTCATGTGGTCCGATTGGAGTTTGGCCTCCAACGCAGCCAGATCTCTCAAGTGTCGACGAACGAGCGCCTCCTCTCCAGACATCGCATAATTCTCTGAACGTTCGCGGTATACTCGAGCTTCTTGCCATTGCAACAAATTGCGGACTCCTCGCAATTCATCCGTCTGGCGCTGCTGCACGTCCTGTTTGGCCCGGAGTCTTTCCATGCGGCGCTCTCGAATGCGTACGGCCCTGGTTTCAGCCAAACTCATCTCCATCAATTGCGTCTCCATCATGGACCAAAACGTGTGTCGCTGCTTGGTTCGGCACTGCATCCACTGGGACTCGCGGCGGTCGCCCACCAGCTCAATCTCTGTCGCGCAGCGCAACCTCTCGATCGCATAGAACGGTGGGGCGCCTACCAGAATCCTCGTCATGTCCATCGCAATGGGTCAAATGCAGAAATGACAATACGTACGTTGCCGCAACCAGTAGTGACCTTGATGAATGAGCTGGATGTCGGTCTCGGACGTAGCGTAAAAATGGCCTGCAGCCATCTGTACTTCTTTGGAGCCCCCAAACAATTGATGCACCGCAAGCGCGGCCAAAGCGCGCTGCAATCGCAGTTGGAGCAGACACGACCACGTCAATCGACACGACAAACCCCGCCAGTGGCTCTAACGTCCTCATGAGAATAGACACCTTGCTATCACAACCGCACTTGAATGCGAATGGCCATCGCGTGCTGCAACTGGTGTCGTTCCCTGGTTAGCGCTTGTTCCAGCAACATGTCTCGAATTTTGTGCGCTATTGAGAGCTCCGTGGTGGCGTCAACGTCGCGACGAAGCTTGCGTCGATACGCCCGTTGGATTTGAATCGCTCGATACGTAAGCCGTTTCTGGTAAAGTTGGTGAGCCTTCTTTTGGACGACGTTGGCCTAGGTCGCATGGACGTGCTCGCTCACGGAGGTAAGAGCAAGATTTTTCGACTACGATACCTGCCAGAGATGCAAGCCCGAGTGGAGCTTGATCTTGCGCCACCGAAACGCAAACTTTCGAAATGCAAACTCGAGCATGAACAGCTGCTGGGACAGTCGCAATGACGCATCGACTTTCGCGCTTTCGTAGATCACTTTCTTCTCCACGGGCACACACGCATCCAACCGAAGCAAGCTCGGTTTCAAGTGCCGGCGCAAACTGCTCTCAAGTTGGGTATGGTACAACAGCGCCGTTGCATCTTCGCTGTTGTGGTTGTTACCTGTTATAAGTGTCCGCCGCGCAATATTCTTGCCTTTTGCGTGCTCTTGCACAGCTTTGCGGCTCAGCTCATCGCGAATACGCCGTACCACCGACTTGGCTTGGCGCAGGTTCGGTGGCACCTGGCGCGGAGGATCCATTTCGAAGTGTCGGTTCAAAAACATCCGGTTAACAACAAACCTCACGTGGTGGAGAGAAAATATGCATTTTCGCACTTTGCATGTCGTCGATTTGACGAACTCGTGAGGATAGCAAACGTCGGGGGTAGTTGGTCGAAGGAAAAAGGTGGACGATGGAGCTCGTCCATGTGTGCTGTCATGGGCAGCACATCTGAACTTGAAGAATAGTCTGTGAGATGATGTTTCTGCAATGGTGGGAACGGCGCATTCATCGGGAGGCCGCAACGTGCTCCAGCATTGGGCTCTTCGACTTGAGCCCGCGTTTGGTTCAAGTTGTCCGGATAATGCAGGATAAACGGTTCGCCAGTCCCGATGACAGAAGATGTCGATGGAGTGGGGTTACTGCGGCAAAGGCTGCACGACGCCGACGTCATGATGCGGTACGATTACGCATGGAAGCACAGCGAATTTGGAACGAAGGTGGACAGACTCGTTGGGGTCTGCCTTCGCTTTCTTTACTTGGCAGGTACGTGGCTGGGTGGAACTACCAGTGACGATGGCGCCAAGTTGCGCGTTGCTTGCCACTCCCTCACGCCAACTGCCGCGTTGACGAATGCTGTGGAGACTGCTTCTGGTCATATGCGGTTTCAATTTGTCTGTGACGGCGAGCACGATGACTCGAAGCCTCCCCATGTAACGTTTTGCTTCATTGGTCCATCCGTGATGGGGAAACTCCACGACACATTGGCTGCAACGACGGCGTTCACGTGGAATTCGTCCGGGGTATACTTCTTTCTCGTTGGTGACGCTGCATGTTTGCCGCCACCATCGTCAGATGAAGATGAGCGCGTACGTGGACTCAGCGCATTTGGTCTTGGCCGTGAACTGCAAGCAACCATGTCAGGACGCGGGTTCCACGCGGCCGCGCATTACGTTTGCGAGTTCAAAGACCCACCAAACACCGATACGTTGAGTGCGTATTTCTTCTGCCGCAATGGTCACAATAATGCGTTGCATGTAGGCGACGTCATGGATCAATTCAACGTGCCCTTGTCCAACTTGATGGTGCACACGGAAAAGTGGGAGGTATATGTGCCTGGCACGACTTCTTCTCCTTCAGCCAAGTGGGAGGTCGACATTGAAGACAATACGTATTGGCAGCAATACGCCAAGGGAAAGGCTTGCGACAGCTGCCACCAACACAACGCGAAGCTGCTGCGTTGTGTGCGATGCCAGGCGGCATTCTACTGTTCCCGCGAGTGCCAAAAGGCAGCGTGGAAGCTGCACAAGGGAGACTGTGCGCCTCCGTGTTTCATTAAATAAAATTGAGTCGTTTGTCAGAACTCGAGGATTTCAGATCGACTGGTGGTGTGAGTCCCACACAAGTCGTCGTACCCACTGCGGCATTGCCCATTTGTCGCCGTTCCCTGCGGATTTCAAGTTCGTGCATGCAGTATTGCCATCTCCGACATAATCTCTCATTGTCGAACGTCTTTGTATGGCTTTCGTTTCGCACGCGCCACTCGCATGCTATCCCCAACTTTCACCTCTCCAAGCCCCTAGCAGACTCATCGGTTTTGCGGATTCAATGTCACTGCCTCACTTGTCCATTGTAGCCATTGTGGATATTAACCAGCCGACGTAAAATAGCCTAAGGTTGACTACGCATGCGCCGACTGCACACGACCATTCCATACATAGAAGGGTAGTGCTGGCATTTAGATGATGTTACCGCTGCAGTTTGACGAGCCACAGCTGATTGAGGTAATTTGCAACCTTCAACTGTCGGTGCTCGAGAGCCACTCCCAACGCTTGGTTCACAACCGCTAACGATCGCATGTCGGATCTGTTTTCGTAGATCCATTGCACGACTTCCAGTTGACCATGCTTGATGGCCCCCTCCAAGATCGAATGCCGCCACCCTTCCACTTCGTGCGCGTGCAGGTACCTGAGTATGTCGACGTGACCGTTTGCCGCAGCCACAAACCACGCTGCCGTGTCGCTCGGGCGCTTATGGTTGTTGATGTGAAGAAATTCCAGCGACGACACATGGCCATGATGTGCGGCCAACACAAACGAGTCTTTCCATTTGTATACTTGTGTCGGCTTGTCGTGCGGCGCGAGGGAAATTGGGAATTGATGGTCCACGTGGACGAAGCGGTATCGGTCATTCAAGTGATCGAGGACGTCCTGCCGTCCGTATATAATTGCATGTGCAAACACAACCAATCGCATCCGCTCCATGCACGCGAGGAGCTGATCTAATCGACCGATTCCGTGTTGCGCATACCACCGTGATACCACGGCGTCCACTTCTTCGAACTCTGTCGGGTAGATCTTTCTGCTGTCCACGCGCGGTTTTAGTTGACAGAAAGGGATCATGTCTTGATAGATTCCCACTTGGTAGACGCATATGCACCGCAGAAGCTCGGGAGAATGGAGTACCATCGACGCCATCGCCATGTCCTTGTGCCCACTCCGCAAGAAGTTCTGAAACGTTGAAATCGTGCTCTGATTGGTCCAATACGTATCCAATTAAATTGCCGCAGATCTTCCAGGATATTTTGAGATGCTAATTTGTTCGTATCACAGTATATTGTATAGTTCAAAAATGCCCTAATTTTTTATTGCCAGCTTGCAATTTGATAATAAACGGAAGTATTGGAATCGGCGTGGCACACTTTAGCTCGTTCCAAAAAGTGAATCTGAATGTTCTTCTCGTTCGTGTGGAAGTGGATATTTTGAAACCAGGACTTTTCACTGCGATCTACTAGGATCAAACACATTTACTAACGTTAGTATATCACTTCTGCATCGCGCGCCAAGTGCATGCCCACATCAGCAATGCCGAGGTCGGACACATGACTCTGTGCACTACTGCAAGTTTATTGCTCTTGGGGTATTACGGATCGTGCGGCAATTTCGGATGCAATCGTACCCACAGAGTGCGTGAAGAGAATGGAGGATTGAACACTAGCAGTCAGAAATGACACAACACGGAGCGCTTGTTGTATGGGTTTGAATCAACTTGAGCAATGAAAGAGGAAACCAACGTGGTAAGTGTTATCATGGGCTGGCCTGTAAAGTCCCAAGACATGGGAGGGCATGCACAAAACAGACTACTTAATTGATCACGACAGACCAAGGGTGTTCGACACGACCATACTACACGAGCACACAAGCGAGATGAGGCATCGGTCAAACAGATTGCGCAGTTTTTTGTACCTGGATGTCGGTCATTTCGTTCCAGATCCGCTTGGTCAGTTGGCCCGACTTGCCATCGGGGGCATCCAACGGCACATTCACGTCCTACCACCATGATTCAGGTGATGGAGTCCATTTCGTTTGGTTTGGATTGTTGCCAAAGTCGTACTTTTCCGTTGTAGTTGATTAACTGGACGGGCGAAATGACAGCGGCGGTGCCCGAACCAAAGACTTCGAGCAAACGTCCTTCTTGTTGGGCTTTCACAATCGCCGGCATCGTGATGGTGTGTTCTGTGACTTTAAATTCGCCCCAGCCACGCGTCATTTCTAAAATCGACTGGCGCGTCACCCCCGGCAAGATATCCCCGCGGGTCAAAGGAGCAGTGACGAGTTCCTTTTCGCCTTGTTCGTTGATCCAAAACACAAACAAGTTCATCGTGCCAGCCTGGAGTCCAGAAGTCAATAGAAATGGTGACCAAAGAGCAAGGACGTACTTCAGTGACCAAGTGATCTTCGCCAAAGAGCCACAAAATCTACACCAGTGTAGCATCGTCAAGAGCTCCTCCAGTCCTCCTTCACTTAATGTAAACGAGGGAGTTGCGGGCATACTTGCGAGTAACCTTTTTTGGCCGCTTCCATTTGAGGCATGATCGTGGGGCCGTAGTTACTACAGGATTAAAATCATTTCACAGCCGACGAGTATATTACGGAGTTTTGAGATGACATACCCGCCCACTTTGGTATTGCCGGTCCCACCAGGCCAAGCGCGGACGTATTTGTCGTCAGCGAAGAGCTTCACTGGGTTGAATCCCTCTGCAAACACATTGACCGCGTTAGATGGGATTCAATGACAGGGACCGTTGTACCTGGGTAATATGGGCCAACGGGGGACAAGATCACGTAGACCTTGGCTTTGCTGGACGCTCCCACGCCGATGAAGGGCTGAATCATCGCGTTAGACGTGCTGCCTGAGTACGGTGACGCCGTACGTGGGTGCTGACACCAGTCGGTCGGATGTACAACGAGTAGCCGTCGCCTTCGGGGATCCAGGACTTGTCCAAGAGAATCAACTTCCTATTGAGCAGGTGGCATTAGATTGAAAGGACGGGTTGTTTGTGAAATCGTACTTCAAGCATTCGATCAATTCGTCTGAATCAAAGGTCTATGAGAAGTGTGAATGGTCAGTGAATGGGATGCCGTCCGATGGAACATCATACAGGGAGGAAGAGGCGTTCCATGGAGTTGTTCATGCGCTTCATGTTCAAATCCGGTCGGAAGAGGCGAATTTTGCCCTTGCTATCAATGTACGCTTTCATGCCTTCGAAGCACTAATCCACAGCTTGAATTACGAAGGGCTTGTACCGTCGACACACGCAATACCTGGAGCGCATAATGAAGAGAACTCGCGGCAGGGTCGATGGCGAGGGGGCCATACGGGCTGCGACATCATATCCAATCAGATAGGGTACAATTACTATATGCGTCTGTACCGGATGAGAGGCGCACCCCAGCCAGAATTCTTGTCCCAGTCGATTTCTAGCAAGTGGTCCGAGAACGTCGTACCAAAAGTCAGTTTTTCTTTTGGGGTCTTGGCCTACACGCACACACGTGTTCAACTACGGGCCAATCTTGAAATGTAATGTGCAAACCTTGGGGTGTGGCGTTTGATGGATGATTGTCTTGCTCGCCTACACGCCGCGGTGAGAACACGTGCACCTAACATGAACTACGTACATCAAGACCAGCAAGCGCGCTGAACGCCTTGTATCCTTGAGAAAACTGGGTCGCCTTGACAGCTTGGAGTTTGCGGGTCACGAACATGACGGGTTCAACACTCGGTGGAATGGGGCAAGTTTCAAAGTGGCCGTGCATGACAAGAAGTTGGAAAATATCCTGTCACATTCGATATGCACCCGAGAGAGATTATCCATTTTCGGAGGGTTTCCTCGAGACATACCCTTGAGGCTGCGCTTGAAGTTTGCTGGTTGGCCTTGAAGTTGGTTCTGATTGGCCAACCTGTTGAAACTAATCTTGTGGTGCATTTTGAACCGCACCTTGTGGTGCATGTGAACAGGCACGTGGGATGCTGAAACGCTAGTGTGCCATCTGTCGAAGTAGCAGCATTTTCATCGTCATACGCAAACCCATGAAAGGGACTTGACTTTTTTCACACACGTGATCGACTGGTATCGACACAGTTTGAAGTTTACAAAATCATCGGCTTTAGAACGTCTACGATGGACATTTGAAACGTGTGGGATTTCTGGAGCAAATCACAGCCAATCAACTTACGTTTTTCAGACACCAGTCTTATCCGGATTCCGGAAAATCCCACCTATCCTTGACACTACAGCGGCAGCAGTGTGCAGCATGTGCTAGTGGCGCCAGATCGGCAGACAGTAGGACATCTTGAGTCATGGAGGACGAGCGACAACAGGGAGCGTCCTGGTGATGCCTACGTACGGAGCACAAGCTAGGAATTTTAGGGACCGGAATGTCACAGCATGATCTTGAGAACAAATCCGGATATCAAGTCAATTTAACCGGGCACGCCCCGCAAAGATACCTGATCCGTTTAGCCCCGCATCAGATGGACGGCGTGGACTTGAATTCGGCATGGCGAAGTGCCGAATGCGTCACATCGCTGTACGATCGCGTGAGGGAGCTGGAACTCCGCAACGCCGAGCTCGAAGCGGAAGTCATGCAATGGCGAGATCAGAGCCGACAAAATCGTATAACAGACGCCAATACCTCGGTCGACCTGGCCAGAGCGATTCGAGAACGCGACGAGTGGCGCGATCGATTCAAACAACAAGATGATATCTCAAGGCGGTTGCAGAAATGTGTCGATGCGATGAAGGAAGAACACAAGGAACAAGTGGCCAAGTTGCAAGAACGCTGCCAATTTGACCCGCATGGACCCAAGCGCGTGCAAGTGTGCGTCGCGTCCCTCCAGAAAACCCTCGACAGTCGCGTTCAAGAATACGAAAGCATGCAGCAGCGACTACGGGACACACTCGACGCCAACGCTAAAATGGTGAACACGAATGCTGCGTTGGTTGAAGAAAGAACGTCGCTTCTCCAGACAATATCGCTTCAAAATGCGCACCGCATGTTCACGCTGTTCCAACGCCGACAAAAGGACGCCCTCATTGCATCCTGGACAACGTGGTGCTTTAACACGATTCGAAACATCGAACGTCAGAAGCGCGAAGACAGTTTCCAGCGACTAGCAGCACTCGCCAGCCGGTCGAAGAAGCAACTGCTCCAGCGTCAAGCAAGTCGATTCTCCATGCAGCGCGAGAAAGCTAACCGCTTGCGCACGTTTAAAGCATGGGCATGCCATGTCCATGCGATTCGTCAGGTACGCAAGGACATTCAACTCAACTAAGGCGAGTTTCATCCGCCAAGCTAGACGCGACATGTCGCGTTGGAATTGTTCAACGCTTCGCGCCGAAGGAACTTGGTCGATGCATTCGAATTGTGGCGCGAACAAGCTGCTCGAAGAGCTAGTTGCTCCAGAGTTTTGCAGCGACTCGTGCGGAACCACAAGCACCGTCACATACTGCAAGGATATCGTCAATGGGTCCAAGCAACGCGAACTCTCCTCATCGAAACGATTATTCTCAAATGTGACGTGATCGAGGCCGAGAAATCCAACGCTGTGGCCGAGCTTGACCGACTCCAGGCGGAACTGTCGGCTTCACGGGCCACCGAACGCGCATGGGAACAGACCGCACGCGACTTGGAATTACAACAAGCCACTACCGTCGCTCGTCACAGCAACATTGTTTATCAATGGACTGCCAGCCTCGCCATGTGCTACGAACGAATGGTCCACCGTCGCCGCCAAAACATTGTGTTTCAAGCATGGAAGTCGAAGATCCAGATTCGACAAACCCTTCGCAGATTATCTGCGCGGTGGCAAGCGCAGCGAATTCGAGCAGTCGTGGTACAGTGGCGGCATTACCGACACGACCGACCGCGTGCCATGCGCATGACCATGCAGTACATGCGGTGCAGACGCAACGGTCGGTGGCAACGAGATGCATTTGGGGCATGGGCGAGGCTGGCCCATCACATGGCGACCCGTCGACGCAAACTCCACCGATTCCGGCACGTACAGGACTTGGCTTCGCATCAATGCTACTGGAAGCAATGGCGGTCCTATGTGTTGATTCGTACCGAATACAAGAGGCATTTGGGAAATGTACTCGACGCACTGAACAACATGCTACGTCAACACGTGCTTCGACATGCATTGAAATCGTGGCAGTCCAAGGTTGTGGCCATCGTTCAGCGCGACCTGCGGCTCCAGTGGGTCGTGGAAGCCGCCGTGGGTCAGTCGCGGACTCAATTGTTGTGTCACGTCATGGCGCGATGGAAGCGTCATGCCGCCGTGCACAAGAAGCGAAACGTGTGGCTGGCATTCAAGACCCGACAACGGCGAGATCGCTTTCAAGGATGGACTCATGCGGTGTGGAGGGCGTGGTTCGCCCAATGTGCGGTGCAAATTCACCGCCGTTTTAAGTTGGCAGCGGTCGTCATGAGGTGGCAATCGCGGTGGATGCGGCATGGCCTGTGGAGGTGGGCAGCAAACGGTCGCATCGCGTCCTTTCGCGAATCGCACACCCAAACAGTGACCGAACTCAACAAGTCCATCCTGGCGCTACACGAATCGATGAAAAGCGACGCTGAGCAACATCGCTTGGATATCGAGGGGATGGAAGCGACGATGCGAGCCACAGAGGAAGCGTTTCAAAAAAACTTGCTTTGTCAAGGGAACGAGTGGTCGCAACAGCGGGAGCAGCTGGAACGAGATCTTCATCGCATGATGCTGCTCAAGGACGCTTCCGACGAGGCAGCAGCTCAACTAAAATGTCATTTGATCATGTCACAGAGGCGTGGAGAAGCTCTAGAAGGCGCGTTGATGGAAGGCGAAGCACAATGGCTCAGACACGTAGAAGTGCATCGACTGGACCAGCGTCACCGCGATATGCTCGAGGTACATCCACCCACCAGCTCGCACGTTGCCTAGAAAAACGTACGATAGGAAGATGCCCGGTCGGCTTTATGTCGCTTGGAGACGACGATGAGCCGTTGGCGGGCCGCGTGGGACGCGGAGAAGCGTGCGCTTGGAAAGAAACTAGAAGAACTGACCAAGTCGCACGACGAAATCAAGGCCAAAATGGGTGCCAAAGCGCTAGAATGCCTCATGCAGCGCACGACTGTATTCTGTTTCAACCGGTGGAAAGCGTTTGTCGCGACAGCGAGAGAAACAAAGGGAAAAGTGAGTCATATCGTGGCCCTATTGCAGTCCAACAAGACCGCGCTCGTGTTTCACCGATGGAAGCAGCATCACGAGCTGCAGCAAGCGCAGAAGCAGCTGACTGCCAAATGGCACCAAATCCACGCAACGACGCTCGTAAAGTCGGCGTTCAACGCATGGGCAGCAAGTGTTGCAGAGAATCGAAAGCTTTCGTCGATATTGGAGCTCTTCGGCTTGACGTCGGCACGCAAAACGTACGAATCGGTGTGGCGGCAGTGGTGCCACAGGACTTGCCGCCGACGGGACGGCAAACGGCTGTGGACTCGGGCGTTGGATCATATAACGAAACAAGTGTAAGTCGAAGTAGTTCACATTCGGTTGCTCAACTCAACGCTTTGACTTGAACGTTGGACTGGCGCAGGTACAAAGTTGGTATGCAGCAGTGGAAGGCAGTGGCGGACGCGATTTCGCTTGCAAAACGCGCGCAGTTTAAGATCCAAGCACTCGATCACGCGACCAACGCTGTCCAGCGCAAGTGGAATAACATCGTATGCCGACAAGTGATCGTGTGGTGGCGGGAAAATGCGCATGCAAATCGCCGCGAGCGCGACCTGCTCAAGCGCTGTGCCTTGCGTCTGCAGCATTTTGCTGTCGGTCGCGTGTTTGAAGCGTGGCGAGAAAATGCATGGCTGCAGCGACGGGATCGAGATGCCCGAGATATCGTGCTGGCTCTGTGTCTTCGTCACGTTCTGAGCTCGACGTGGGCGCGGTGGCGGCAATTCCGCCTTGCCAGCGCCGCCGTGGAACGTCGGCAGCTCGAGGAAGCGCATCGCATCACGCAACAAGCCCTGCAGGACGCAAAATCCACGATCGAGTCCCTCACGAGTCAATTCCAATCGACGAAAGCGCATGCATCGTCATTGCAAGACACAACAAAACAGCTCAAGATGCAGTTGCAAGCGTCCAAGTGCATGCAGTTCTTTCAGTCGACTGTCCGCTCCGCGTTCTTCGAATGGAAGCGAGTGGCGAAATTACTCCAACAAACCAAAGGCAGGGTGCTCGTGATTGTGCGGCGCATGCAGCGGATGCACCACGCACTCGTGCTTGACAAGTGGAAAGCATTTGTCACGACGCGACACGTAAAAGCACATCGAGCGGCCGCAGCGCAAGCGCTGCATCGAAAATTCATCCAGCTGCACACACTACATGCGTGGATGGCGGGCATTCGCCGCAGAATAGAGTTGAGACAAAAGTGCCAATGGATCGCGCACATGATGGCCAACACATCGATTCGCTGTGTATGGAACGAGTGGCGCCGGTTCCAACAGCATCAACGGCACGCGTGTAACGCGCTGGTAGCTATCACGACAGCTTTGGAAGTCAGTGAGATGCGACGGCTGTGGCAGCGATGGTGCGACCACCACAAAGCATTCATATTCCACGACGAAGCCCAGCGCAAGAAGGCGCAACAGTTGCTCGAGTTCCTCAGTGCTCGGGCATCGACGTCGCTGCGGTGGTACCTTGATGGATGGAAGCAATTTCTGAAGCGCCGGCGTAAGAAAGGAACCCACGACGTGCTGTGCAAGCGATGGATCTGCCAGAACGTGTGGAGACGGTGGCACCACGCGATCCACCAAGACCGTCAGCTGCTCCGAGTACTGCATCAGTATGAGCGACGAATCTTGCGGAAGGGTTGGGTGCAGTGGCAGCTTGGGCTCGTCAAGTTGGAAATTGCCTGGACCAAGCACACGATGGAAATGGAGCGCATCCAGCAGCATGAGCAGTGGGAAATCGAGAGAGCTCAGCTTACCAGTACGTCCGTCGAACTGGAAAAACAAGTGCAGCAGCACCAGTCGACGATTATCGCCAAGGACATGACACTGGAAGTGTTCCAAACTAACATTGCAACAATGGAAGCGATGCATCGAGAGAGCGAAGCCTGTCGATCTCTCTATGAAGACAAATTCACGACGGCACTGCACAAGTTGTTTGAAACGATGAGCCTGCAACGGATCGTCCGATGCGTCTGGGTCGCATGGACCAAGCTACGGCACGGACGAAGGCTACGGCGGACGCGAGCCATCGAATGGCTACGGTCGAAACAAGTGGCCATGATGGAGCTTGTCGTTTCCACGTGGAAAGCTCGCCTTGTGCCTCATCGGCGCCGACTGCGACTGCAGCTGAAGTTTAGACGTCGCCGGGTCGAAGGTGCAGTGGAACGTTGGAGGTTGCGCACTCTGTCCCGATTACAGCTCAAGGTGGGTCGTGAAGCCATCATTCTCTCCATACTAAACGCACAGTCTGCAGGCTGCTATGCGCACTGTCGTGCTCAACTTGACACGGCGGCGAAGTCAGCGGCTAACGCTGGCGTGGCGTCAATGGCAGATGCACACCATGGTCGCAATCGAGCGAGCCAAACAACTCTCTCTAGAGGAGACGTATCGCCGCGAATCTGCCCAAGAAAAAACGATGTTGGCCTCCACCCAAGTAACGTTGACATTTTGTGCGTTTTTGTCGGGATGAAATTCGGGTAGAAATGTGCCGCCGACATGCGATCCAAGTGGGGCATGTCGACGATTGTATGGCGCTTGCGCTGTGCTCACATCCAGAAAATGGCGTGGGGGTTGCAAAAGTGGAAGCACGTCGCCGTTCAACTCGCTTGGCGCGCCAAGCTCCAGTACACCGCCAATCAATTAGATGCCGCGCATCAGCTGCTGCTCGACGAACAAACGGCGGTGCTGGCCCAACGCGAAGACATCGTGGTGCCTCTTCGGTCCACGTGGCTCGCTCTAAATCAAACGAAAACACTGGAGCAGCTCTTTGACGCCGTCGCGTCCACTTGCTTCCCAGACACGAGCGGTACGACTGTGACCTGGAAAGCGAATCGGGTAGCTTCACTGTTGGCTATTCAGGCCTTTTGCTCCTGATCGACCCTCTCAAGCAAGAGCTGTGGTCCATGGTGAGCCGACAAGTGGTCATTGCCCCTGCCCACTTGGGCATTGCTGGCTATGTCGTGGGCTCTGGAGCAGCATTTCGATCTGCCATGGTGGCTCAGGACAAACGATTCCACCCCCTCGTGGACCAGGTACGTCCTTTAAACACTCCATCTTCCACTCACGAGCAAGGACATGTGCTGCCTTCCAAAGCATGTCGTAAACCCTCTCGTAACGGGGACCAAGTCGTCGTCCGTGGTGGACCAAATTCAGATGGTGTGCGTGCCAATCTTCAGCGACGACGGTGCGCGTATGCCTCAACCAGTTGATGGCTAAACCACTGCCTCGTAGGGGCTGTGTGGGGCGTCGTGCAGATGGCATACCTTGCGCACGCGACGGATCTCTTCATTGTGTGTCATGCATGCGCAACTGCAGGTAGTGAAGCGCCTTCATCATGCGACCATTGACAGCGCTGCCCCCATGTGTAGTGGAAGCCGTGCTCCACGACATTCTCAAGAGTTCGAAGGACCCGATCGCAGCGCGATGTCCGACCAAGTTGATCAAGCTGTACAAACAGCACAAACAGTGGCGCAAGTATTACTTGGACGTGGAAATTCGGCTCCGCCACACAAGTGACTTGTACAAACAACTGCAGGTCACGCACGTGCAGCGCCAGCACGATTTTGAACAGGTACCCTGTGTCATGTTAACGTGTGCCTAACCTCCCGCGGTCACTCCTTATAGCTGCTAAGCACCGAACGCGATGCGGCGGAAGCCACGATGGTTCAGTTGCAAGCGCGACTGTCCGAGAAAGAGAAAGCGCTGCGAGTGCAGATCGAGTCGTTGGAGCACCAAATGGGTGTGGACAAGTGCGAGTGGAGAGCAAAGGAAGATGAACTGCGACAAGTGATTTGGACGCTTCAGAACCAGCACCAGCTCGCGCGGGCTCGCGACATGATCTCTTCGGCCCGGCATGTCGCTGTCGATACACCTTGCCGCCATGCCACGGACCCGACAACGCACGTCCTTGTAGCCGAGATGCAATCGCTTCAGAATCAACTGACGCAGGCCGAAACGGACGCGCTCTTTCTGTCCAAGGCAATTCGGGTGGCCATGAAGTATCAAGGCAAGCTACCGGAAGTGATGGTTGTGGAAATCAAGCGCATTGGACGGCGTCTCTCCGACAAGAAGACATCGCCAGGTGAATGACAACGTATGCAGTATGTGGATCGACGTTATCGTCTGTGATGGAGTTGTCGGAGTTGTTTCGTGTCCGCGAGGCGCTGTTGGCTTGCTTGCGTCGGCGCCAAAAAACTACGCTCTCCTGGTTTGCAGTGGGAGATAGCCGATGTATTGAGTCCTTTCGCCGACTTCTTTGTCTTCGCAGTCTTCTTCTTGACGCGGCGGGTCGTGGCCACAGCGGGAATCGGCGGCGGCAGCGGGTGGATCTGTCCTTTGACTGGAGATGGAATATCCACTGCCGTGATCGAGTTGTACCGGGACCACGCGCCGGGCGTCGGCGACACGGCTACGTTGTTGACAGCATCGTCGAGTTGGTTGTCGTTGTGGATGGACAGCCCAGACTTGGAAGTAGCCTGGGCTTTGAGATCATGGATGATCTTCTTCTGCCGATGCCGAATCGTTTCGGACAAGTCTAGCGATTGCTGGAGCGATGCGCAGTGTGCTTTGAGCTGCTGGAATGACGTTTGGAGCGCCGAATACTCGCGCAGCTTGGTTGCGTGGCACTCGACCGTCTTACGCAACTAATCGAGGCACGTTTCAGCAAGGCGTGATGATGGCGTCATGTGTGAACGTACCTGGTCCAAATCAAAGCGAAGTTGGTCATTCGCGACGTTTGCAGCATGCAAATCACTCTGGAGTCGAATTAGGTTGCCCATCCGGCTGCCTGGAATCGTGGACTTGGACGTAGTAGAGTGTTTCTGTGGAGTTTGCTTCGTTTTGGACGTGATGGTTAGCGACCGGGCCTTCGTAAGCTTGCCGGAGGGATGAGATGCGCTGCCTTCTTCATCCTGCAGCCAACGAACATGACAATCCACGGATGAAATGTGTGAGGAAGTGCGTACTGTGAATGAGACATCCTTCAGTCGACTCGACAGTTTGGACACCGCTGCATGCTATGCGAAATGGGAATGAGTTCCTTTACGAAGGAGCCGACGAGAGGGGTGTATAACGTCGTACGTGAACAGCTGAGTCATCCTTGGCTCGAGTAGACAACTTGGACACCAGACGCGACACGTCCCCTTGCAACTCTACGAGTCGTTTCTCAAGAGCATGTCGATCAATCTTTCCCTGCGCCGGTTTATTGAGACTCATTTCCAGGAGCTGTTCGCTCACGCTGGCATATCGTGGCACGTCCACTCTCTGCTGCGACGCCATCGCGGCCGATCTTTTTTCCCGTGCACCTCTTCGCTATTTTAAACGCAATTCCGGATAACGAAGCTTTGACGACGGAAAATTTCTCACATGCTTGAGGTGTCGGCACCTCGGCTGCACGACCCCGTGTCACGAGGCGAAATGGCTTGGCATTCAAGAGCGACATGCCGTGGGCTCATGGCGATGGCTCTTGGTATGGCATGCACACGCGGAAGTGGAATGCGCCCTTATTGTTTGATTGAGCTCGTGTCTGGCGAAACGCCAGGTCGGCTATAATTACCTCGCTGGTAACCAGCGCCGGCGCCCTGCCACCGCAGCCGTCACGACTCCGATATGGAGCCTCTGTCTGAACAGAGCGATGCCGTCACTCGGCTGTATGAGATCCTTACACGGGCCAACTTGTCTGTGGCATTCACCAAGAAAGTCCTGGTGCGGCCACCGTTTCCATTTCTACACAAAGTGTGCACCGAAGCACTCGGTCGCAGTGGCATCTTCAGCCATGAGCAACTTACTCTCGGCAATCTTACCACACGGGAGCAAAAGGTACTTCCAGCCGCCTCTTCACGTCATCCGTTCATTATGTATGCAGGCGGGATTTCTCGTGCGGGCGCTGGCTTTCGTTGCATTTACATTGCGCGCCATTCAAGCGGACTGTGTGTCCATACTCTTGTTCGTCAGCCCCGTGCAGGTTGGACATCGTTCGCCACCGCTTGGTCACTGCTCACTTGCTTCACCGCAGGTTCTCGCGGGCTTCGAGGTCGATCGCACGCACGAATTTCTCCGGCAGTTGGTCCTCGTGCATCAATTGAGCGACATGGACGGTATAAAGGCCTCGGCCGCAGCAGAGGTCCAGCTCAAGGGGGAAAATCACTTGTACACGATGGCGATCAAGTTTCGGCGGGGACTGACAAAAGCTCAAGCGGCAGTTCGCCTCTTCCTCCGCAACAGAGCCATGACCACGACCGACGGCAACAACAACGACCCCACTCCACCTGTTCCAGGCACCAAGTTCCTCAAGGTATTTGAAGGGTTCGGGACGTTTGAAGGCGTCGTACGCAGCGCCACCGACGGCGTGTACGTTGTGTACTATGCCCAGGACGGCGACGAAGAGGAATTGGGTAGGTCGATCGAACTGTCTGAATGCAGCGCTACGTCCATGACCGGTTTCGCTGTAATGTAGACGAACAGGAAATGCTCGAAGTGTTGCGGCAGAGCCGACAGCTTGAGGCCGCATCCAGTGTGGTGGCACCACCCCAAGTTGAGTCGTCGGCTGACCCAAGCCCACCAAACACTCGTACAGTCGAGTTCGTGCCAGTCAATCTATTTGGCGACCTCGAGCGTGAACTCCCCTCTCGGCAACAACAAGGTTCGCACTCGTGATCCGTGGAAGTTGTATGAATTTTGCTGACGTGTTTGTTTTAGAGGTGACTCGGAATACGCCTTCAGTGTCGCCTTCACGTAACGCTGCCGCCGCAACTGCATCAAAGCAGCTGGCTGCATTGATGCAGTGCGATGGACTGGTGTCCCAAGGCAGTCCAAGTCAACCGGGCGAGGTACTTCTTGGAGACAAAAGCGACCTTTTCAGAATAGCACTTCCCAAGCCAGCGACCGCCAACGCTTCAAACAATGACGGGACGTCCCCTCAACCGAACGTTGGCGAGCCCCTGTGGCGAAAAAAGTTGCTGGCTCTGGTGCACCCAAATGGAGTGGCAGCCATTCCCAATCCCACCACCCTGTACCCCCCATCTACAATCTCCAAGTAAATGACTAACATGCTCACGTAGGCAACATGCGAGCAGCAACCCCATGGTCCTAACGCCGCCGACGCTGCCGAAAATTGCTGTTCCTGGTGGTCTTTCCAAATGGTCCAAACGGCTCAAGCAACCAACGGACAATGCCTTCCGTGACAACATCAATGTGATCAAACCGAAGGCCACACGAACGACCAACCAGCACGCCAGTCCTCCCAAGGCCAAAGACTCAAATTCAAGCAAGTCATTCGCACCGGCCAAGCCGCCGCCCCAGTCGGATGATTCGCTGTTTGAGACGTCGTACCAGCTCTCGAACGACCGCGCCCACCAAACTGTCGTGCTGCGCGCAATTGTGAAGCGCATCGACAAGTACCTTCGTCGGAAGCGCATGCGCGTGATCGACCTGTTTCGGTACTGCGATTTTGACCATTGCGGGTATATCACGCCTGGGGGGATGGAAGAAGTGCTGCGGCAAATGGACATTCGCCTTCCACCTGCCGAGGTTCGACTGTGCAACAGAATGGGTGGCTGTGACAGGGTTGACGTAGATGGAGATGTTCATGATGCACTTGGACACCAACAAGAATGGCGTGATCGACGTTGACGAATTCGAGAGCCTCGTGCGGGTGCATCGACGCACCGATGCTCGTCGGGACCAGCTGCGGCAAGAACTGCCGCATGTCCTCAAGCTCGACCCCGTGTCGGCATCTCCTGCTCCCTCGCACTCGTCGTCCATCGTTCCGTCGTCACTGCTAGCCCTCAAAGATCAAGTGTTACATGCCGCGCATGCCCTCGATCCAGATGCAACTGGCACCGTGGCAGCCGCACCCCTTGCAAAAGCAATCGGTAACCTGACTGTATTTTTTCAACTCGCATGTTCACGTTGGGGTGGGTGATCGGCAGGGGGCCTCACCGTGCCAAAAATTCCGTCTGATGTCGTCGAGTCGTTTGTCGCCATGTGTCGACCCCTCCACGGCCTCGTAGTGGTCGCGGACATCGAGCGCGTGCTTGCAGGACCGATCGGCAAAGGCGGCAAGAAGGGCAATCGATTCCTAGACCACACGTGGCTCGGCCAATTCGACGCCCAGATGGAAAAGGTGCGGGGCCTCGGGAGCTAGCTCTAGCTACATCCGTCCGCCGACTCGACCGTGCTGTCTAGCCTCTATTTATGCACCCCACAAATGGACAGCCGCGCAAGTAGTCGCATCCAGTCGATCGATACACAAACGAGAGGGTAGATTGGATCGGAATTGTTACACTAACTATTGTGCAGCCGCGGGCGGAACTTGGGTCGGTGCTCTTTGCAAAACGACCGGAGGTTGCCCGCATCGTTCATGTACATGTCATACACGCCAAACGTTTGGCGCCCGCAGAGCGCGTGGAAGTGCACGTCGCACCCGTTGCGGCAGCACTTGATCTTGCTGCCCGACGTGCGTTCGCACAGGGCGCACGGCGCGGCCTTGGTCGCGTCCTCCATCGCATCCATCGTCGACTGCACGTTCTTGAGCCCCTTCATGCGCTCGATGTCTTCAAACTCGACGCCGCGGGACCAGAGCGCACACACAACGTGGACCCATTGTTTGTCGACTGTTTCTTTGAACGCTGTCTCCTTGACCTCCAACGGGCACATGATGCACTTCTACACAGCCAGCGATGGATGTCCAACATGCCGACGATACACGGTGGAAAACGTACCTGCGGCACCGTCTCGGCGGCCATGTGGGCGTCACAGAGGTCACAGTACCACGGGAGGTCGCCTTCGGGTACCTTGACGATGCCATAACAAAACTGCACCCCCGTGAGCCGCGACAAGTAACCACGTGCCAGGGCCATGTTTCGTACCTTGTGGACCGAACACTTGCATTTTTCGCACTGCACGATCGGGTCGTCATCAAATCCTTGATCGCTGTAGCACACGCGACACCATAGCTCGTCGACCGGCACGCCGTCGATCGTTTCGAGCGGCTTGGGCATGACTGGCCGACGGGAAAGTTCCTTTGCTGGCTGTTTCTTCTTGGACGAGTCCTTGTGGCGTGAGTTATGTGGCTTTTCATCGTAGTCGTCCTCGTCCGAGAAGAGCGCGTCCTCGTCCGACGCGTGGTCTGCCTCCTCCACGTCCACATGGACATGGCGGTTCACTTCCTTCTTGTCACTGTGCACGCGGACAACGCGGTATCCGTTGCCTTCGGCCGCAATCGTCACAACAATCGCACTCGACTGATCGGCGACTCGGAGTTTGTGGCCCGACGACGTCTTCTGTTTCTTCTTGGATTTCTTCGAGCCGCCACCGCCACCACTTCCTCCACCCACGCCGTCGCCGTCCATCTCCGAGTCGTCCAAGAACGGGTGGTACATGAGTTCGCTCTCGACTTCCTGGTTTCTTCGGCGCTTCGGTCGCTCAATCACTTCGAGCCAGTCGCTTGCAATCGTTTTCACGTTGACTTGCTTGTTGACTGGCCCCCGCACTTTCAATTCGATCAAAATGGACAAAATCTGCTCGGCTTCCGGGTTCTTTTCGCCCTTTTGCCGATTCTTGACGAGTTGGCGAGCCAGCTCCCGCAACGACGTCAGGAACGCCTTTATCTCGGGCAGCGACGCTTGCAAGAGCGATCCATTCTCAACCTGCGTCGTGAGCAGCTGAATTGTCTTGGGTCCGAGCACCTTGTCCCAAAATTGGGCATCCTCAAAGTCAATTGTCGCGTCCGACGTCTCGGCCGTAAACGTGGCCTTCGAAAACGACAGCGCGTTGCCGGTCGCCTCTTCCTTGTTCCCAGTCGGGTCGTAGCGAATCGTTCGACTGGAGCTCAAGAGCTGGTCAATGTCAAGCTCGTTGATCTTGGCATTTTCCGGGTCTTCCTCGTCCGAGTTCATGATCGCGTACGCGCCGTACCGGATCATCATCTCAACCTTGTCCTTGTCCAGCGACATCAGCGACATCATGTTGCTGTCGTCGCTCCCGTCAAAGTCCTTTCGGACGCCGCCCGTTTCGAACACGGCATGGTGCATTCCGAGCTTTTTGCTTGCAATTTCAAACATCTGTGCTTCATACGTTTTCTTCGTGACGAGTCTACACACCACGCCGTCATCAAGCACTACCGCCACGACTCAACGAACGCACCGGAAGATGCGCACCGCTTGGGTTTGCCCAATGCGATGGCAACGCGCGATTGCTTGCAAATCGTTCTGCGGGTTCCAGTCGCTATCGAAGAGCACGACGATCGACGCGGCAATCAAGTTGATCCCGACTCCCCCCGCCCGTGTACTCAGCAAGAAAACAAACGTGTCCTGGCCATTCAATTTAGTCCACCGCGATGTTTGACCACGGACGAGTGATTTTGTCGTACCGATTTGGGGTCGTTGAAGCGGTCGATGGCGGCTTGACGGGCGTTGCCGAGCAGCGACCCATCGAGGCGTTCAAACGAATAATGGCGCGCGTGAAACAGGTCTTCCAAGATGTCGAGCATGATCTTAAACTGGGAAAATACAAGAACCTTCTTCCCTTCGGCTTTGAACTTGGACAGCATCTTTTCCAGGAGCACGAGCTTGCCACTTGCTTGAATCAACACACGACTTCGGTCGGCTTCGTGGTAAATGTTTGCAAGCTCCTTTTGTTCGACGCCGCGAATGAGAAACGGATGGTTGCAGCACTTGCGCAGTTCCATTTCCACGTTCATCAGATTCGCGACAGCGACGTTGCTGCCTTGGTTCAAAAACGATCGGTTCCGCTCGAAAATGGCGCTACAAACATAAATCCGTTTGCAAAAACCGACCGCAATCGAGACACTTACCGATAGTACTTTTTTTGCATCGTGGTTAATTCCACGTCGATGATGGTTTCTTCTTTGGGTGGGATGCTCTTCTCGACATCCTCCTTCACACGTCGCAGCATGAATGGCCGCAGTTGCTCGTGCAAACTCGCCACTTGCTCCGCGCTGCTTAGGTCGCCATACTGGTTATAAAACTCCTGCTGCGACGGAAACTTCTCTGGTTCGATAAAGTTGAGCAAGCACCAGAGCTCAAACACGCCGTTCTGGAGCGGTGTGCCCGTCATGAGTAAGCACGAGTCCCAGTTGAATGTCCGTAGTGACGCGAGGAGCTTCGCGTCTCGGTTCTTGAGCTTGTGCGCTTCGTCGATCACAATGTACCGCCATCGAATCTCTTGCAGCAGTTCTGCGTCCGCCATTAGCGTTTGGTACGACGTCACAAGCACGTTGAACTACACACTTCTCGTCACGATCGACGAGCCCTCGATGGAAACGATATTACTTTGTACACGTTGTTTCGCTTGTAGTACTCCGGCTGGTTCTTGTAGTAAAACTCGTGCTGTCGGATGAACGCGCGAGTGTCGGCGCCGCCCTCGGAATCATGGTACACGACGCAGTTCATCGACGTCCATCCCTCGATTTCGCGCTTCCAATTGCCGAGGGTGGCCAACGGGGCGACAACCAGGAACGGACCGCGGATGTGTTCGTGTTGTCGCAAGTGCTCGAGAATCGCCGTGGCCTGCACGGTCTTCCCAAGGCCTGTTGGCAATCATGAGCACCACTCGGCACGACCCCGTACAAGACACGTACCCATTTCGTCGGCTAAGATGCAGTTGCGGCGATTGTACCAGCAAAAGACCATCCAGTTGAGTCCTTCCAACTGATACGACCGCAGCGTGTTGTTTTCATTGTACATCGGGGACTCGGGGTATTTGGCCCATTGAGACGCCTACGCACGACATCAGGTGTACACACCAACGCGACCCCTTACGTGTGGCCGAATATCTTCAAACATGGCGCGCGGGGCGTTTTCCAACAGAGGTGGGTGGTTGTATCGTTGATATGTGGCAATCTTGCGGTCATCCGAGATGTTTTCGGCCCACTCCCACGAGCACTCGGCGTAGCTGAGGTCACGCCACTTGATCAAGTACTTGATGCCGCGCCTGAATTCGCGCGTTTCGTGGTTCACAATCTCTTCGACGGGCGCCATGTCCAGGATGCGGTCGACCTCAACATAGGCAGGAGAAAAGTAATGGGTCGTTTCTTCGGACCGGTCGCTCGGGTTCATCCGGGCGACTTCGACGTCGCGCGCGTTCTTTTGCATGTATCGCCGCATGCGCATGACCGCGCCTTTGCCGTACCCCTCAATGTCGGCTGTCGATAGCCACGTCACGTGCAGATACGAAAAGTGCTTCCACTTCATCAAAAACTCCATCGACATGTCTGGCTCGACGAATCGAACGGCAATGATCTTGTCCATCTGGGGCCCCTGGTCCTCCTTTTCCTGCTGCTGCGATGTCTCCCTCGGCATTTCTTCTTCGTCCAAATCAATGTCTGCTACTTCGCTGTACCGCTTCTTCTCCTTGCCTTGGTTGCGACTCGACCGCCGCACGTTCTCCTAGAGCAAATTTGGTGTCAGCCATGTTTTCCGAGTGCAGGATGTGAACTCTTTCGCACCGGTTCCGGCTTGTTATCGGCAACTTCATTGGTGTCATCGTCGTCGTCTTCCTTGAAGTCGCCCTCGTCATCGTCATCCGACAATGCGCCACGACCTCGGCCACGATTTCGACCTGCCCGACTGCGGCCTCCGCTAAACTTCATGCGTTTGTTTTTGGGCGCTGTGTCGTTAAACGTCTTCTTTCGGGACCGTTCCTTGGGACCAGTATTGAATTCAAGCTCGCCACCGGCACCGCGGACGGCAACGCGGAGCAGGTCAGTCGGGATCCCGCTGCCGCTCGTACTAAACTTGAACACCATGATTTGTGCCCGCAGCTGTTCCTTTTGCTCGACGGTGAACATGGCGTGGAGAATCGGTCCGCGAGGGCGCGGCGGCTGCGGCTTCATGTGCTGTTGTTGCTGCTGCTGCATGCGGTGGTGTTGTTGTTGCATCATATGTTGCTGTTGCTGCATTTGCATCATGTGATGGTGCTGCTGCTGCTGCTGGTGCGGATTCAAGTGCTGGGGCATCGGGTGACTGTTCTGGTGCCGCGTCGCTGGGTGCATGTACTTCATCGCTTGCTGGCCGTACGTTTGGAGCAAGTATGCATTGTATGCCTGCGCCGCCAAGTACTCGGTCGCGAACTCGCCGAGACGTTGCAACTGCTGGTCGCCTTGGTGGGTCTTGACTTCGGCGGCCCATTGATTTGGACCGAGGTATCGCACGCCCATGAAGATTTCGTTGATCTGGTAAACCTTGCCGGACGAACCTGTTCCCGTCAGCGACGGGATGACTGGAGCCGTGAGCGGTTGAAACATGGGGGCTTGTTGCTGCTGCTGTGGTTGCGGCGACCTGCGGAACCGAAGCTTGGCGGGCAGGTCGCTCTTTAAATGCGGTACGACCTTCTTGAAGTCGTCCGAGCTGTTGAGCATTATGCCGTCTACGCACACGAGATCATCCCCGACTTGGATCATGCCGCAAGCCTCAGCTGGACCGATGACGCCTGGCAAAGGTTGACGGAATCCGAGCACGGAAACGCTGCCCATTTTAATCCCCATATTCATGCACAGCCCATGTTCACCTTTTTGGAGCACCACTTCAAACTCGTACGTGGAGGGAAATCCACTTGCTGCGGAAGGAAGGCGCGATGGAATCGGGGTGGGCTGGACCGCGGATGTCGGCGCTTGGACTGGCGCAGACATGATGTTGTTGAGCTTCATGGGATCCTGGGCACCGTACGTTTGGGGCATTGGCGACGCGTATCCCTGCTGAGGTTGTTGCATGTGGTGGTGCTGTTGCGGCACGTTGTGATGCTGTTGGGGGTGGTGCTGGTACATGTGGGGAATCATGTGATCCGCGCCACCGCTGAGAGCCATGGGACTTCGCAGTGCAAGCCCACCGCCGCCTTGTTGGTGGTGTTGAATATTGTGCTGCTGCCCCATACCACCACCATGGTTGTTCATGACCATACCCATCGACATGGGGTTGTTGTTCGTGGCGTATGGCATGGGCATGTGCTGCATCTGCGGAAACTGCGTTTGGATGTGGAGGTTTTGACCCATCCCTGGCATCTGCTGCGATTGCTGCATCGATGAAGCCGCCGCCGCGTGGGGGTTACTCAAGTCCAAACTCTGCATCGACGGCAGTGCAGTCTCGGATGGAGTATTCCAGTTGAACGCAGACGGGCGCAGGTTGATCGAGTTCGGCTCCATGATGGGATCCTGACTGGGAAACGAGCTCATGATGTTGTTGGACGCAGGTATCGCGTTGTAACTATTCTGGCGCCCGCCATGGTCGAAAGCCTGGCCCGACGGCTGCTGCTGCTGCTGAGGGTCCATCGATCGGTGCACACGAGCGTTGCCGCTGGTCACCGCGCTTCGGCCAAGAAATTTAATTCTTTGGTCCGGTCGCAGCCAAAATTTAAAATCATTGTCGGCAAAATTTTTTCAACCCCATAAAATTGATTGTATTTCCGAGTAATTTTATTGGTGTAGTAGCTAGACCGGTCCAATTCAACGGTCCAATTCCAACAACACCTGGCAGTTTATTTAATTAATTCTCGGCGGGGACGTCCGACCAGCCACAAGGATCACTCGTGACGGACGACAGAGTATATAAATTCCAAGTTAAAACGTCGCCTGCATCATCGTCCCAGATTTTCCCGTAGGTCCCGCGCGGCCTCATGACGTGGCAACCGCCCGATGCAGACGGGACGTCCTTGTCGGGCTGGAGGAAACCGTAGTCTATGCTGCAGCGCAGTACTTATGCCACTGGGACACAACAGCGCACTGTCGTCGCATCGACGCACCCATGGAAGTCGGCCTCTTCCATGTCGGTCATATGGCCGCGCATGAGATCATATTGCAATTGCGCGTGAAGAGCATCACGTGGAATTTGAATTGTGAGATTTTGGAGGGAACGTGACATGGGGAGCCGCAAGGCGATACGTTCGCTCGATGCATGAACGCGGGAGATCGCGACGCCCGGTGCGCGAGCCTACAGCGGTGCGTTCCACGACTGCCATGGACATTGCCAAAACACACGCCAAATGCCCGCCTTCCCCGGCCACACAAGCCCAATCGTCTGGGACGCTCCAGTGAGCGATGGTCGCCCACGTCATCCAAGTCCATCGTCCACGCACTTCAAGCATGTCACGTGATGCTGGAAGATGGTGGTGGCACACCGTGGCCACAAGGCGCAACGTCAAGGAATGACGTGAGCGACAGATCTTGTCCCACAGGTGGTTCGGTTCAGTTTGGTGGGGCGAAGACGCGAATGGTTCGGATGGTGGCGCGGATTGCGCGTGTCTCGGTGTCCGTGTCCCGATGGCTGGGCGTCCAACGTTTCGTCCGACGGTCGTACGCATATACACTTGTCTCCTGCGTGTTGTTACGGAATCCACGATTCGAAATATCAGATGACGGAATCGCCATCGTTTTTTGCCATTGCACGATACCGCGTCGTCATGCGGCTGGGCGTCTGTCACACACCGCACACCCATGCAGGACGTGAGTCGGCCGTTGGAGTCATTGGCATGGTGGTGGCCAACAGGCGTCGACGCAAGCTACGTCCGGTGGGTGAACCATCACCTCATCGGCCAATGGCCCTCTCCTTCGAAGACTTGAGGACATGTCAACCCCGACCGACGTGTCGTTCACTGGTTGTTCACTCACGTCACGGTATATAGCCAAGGCTGCACCGTCCAGGTCAACTCTTCCGAGTGGAAGCCTACACCTTCGAGCCTTTCACACTCGAGGTGCGACAGCAAGTTAACTGCTGTTCATCAACGAGGCTCCCTTGCCGACGTCCCCCCCTCGCTGCATCCGTCCGGCCGGCCATCACTTTCCAACCTGCCTGTTGAAAAGCTGAATAGTACACCCATTGTGCTCAGAATCCGATATCCGGATAAATGTATCCGGTGGGCCATGGCCAAGGTCAAGTAGAATGTAGCCCAGAGCGCCTGGGTGCTATAGTGGAGGAAAAGGCGAAGGAGCGCAATCGTTCGCACCACGTCACAAGCAAGTCACTTGGTCAGTCAAGACGTGTGTGGTCGCCTGCATGCATTGCACGAGCAACCCCCCTGAACTTGGCAAGGGGTGAATTGCATGCGACTTCTCCGCATGGCAACAACTTCATTCATCCCCTGACCTTGCCGTCCTTCAATCAACTTTCGCCGTCCATTTTGGTCATCATCGACTGATGCGTGGAGGAAATCTCTGCACACGGCAATGCAGGCTGCACCGAGCAGCCCACGAACAACTACTTGAACGATAACTGAGATGTCGTCAACGCGATGCCGATGTGGACGAAATCGACCTGCCATGTTTTGGTTGTCGCATCCGGAAGTTTATCCGGAGGCTTCTCTTCCATTAGCCAATCAGCATCGAATCCCGTCCAGCACACACATTTTGCGACCAGCGACACTTGCCGCCGATGGGAGGAGACCATGCAAACCCACGACGGGTGCGAAGGATGATCGCATGCGTGTTGCTGATGGGGTATGCATCCGTTGAAGCTTCCGCGCGTGTGGAGCTTCCACTGCATCACCGTGCGTTGCTGGCTGGCGTAAGCTCCGTCGACCTCGTGAACAAGAAGGCAACGCAGTACTTCGCACCAGTGTCCATGGATGGCAAGACGTATAATGTGCAAGTCGATACCGGCTCGTCAGATCTATGGTTTGCCTGCGATGCTATTGCTCCGTCACAGTGCTCGAACAGCTCGTGCCCTGCCACGTCCCGCACGATTCAGTACGGATCTGGGTCTGTGTGCATCGACCAGAACAACGGGACGTTTGGGCTTGGATCGTTGATAGTGCCCAATGCAATCTACGGAATTGGCATCAAGTCGAACGTGTTGGTTGATGGCAATCAAGGAATCTTGGGTCTGTCGTTTCCGTCCATTTCGGTCTTCGGCAACAGTGGCGTGACATCAAACTCCACCAAGCAGTACCCAATCCAATTCCTCGACCGATTCAGCATGTACCTGACGTCACCTGAAGACGAGGCTGGCTCGAAACTCGTCCTGAATGGTGAGGACGACGACCGGATCGCACGCGACAAACTCGTGGGGTACAAGATCCCGCTCAAGGAAACGACCCACTGGACCATTCAAATCAGGTCGCTCGAAGTTGAAAACGACATCCAGCGCAACTTTACCCAGCCGTGCTCGGTGGCTGGGTCGTGCCTGGCCATCGTCGACTCGGGCACAACATTTCTCTCGATGCCGTCAGTACTTTTCAAGAAGGTACTACCCTACTCCTCACGGTAGATGCTCACATGCATGTGTGTAGTTTGCCATCACCTACCTCAAGCCCGGCACGCCTCAAGGATGTGCGTTTGACACGCAGTCGCAGTATTACATTTGCCCCAAAGACATTGCACTGCCCAAACTCGCGATTGGCCTCGGCGAGACCGCTTCGTTCGTGCTCAATTCGTGGGATTACTCATGGGTGCACTCAGAAACAGAGATTATTGTCCAAATCCAACGGAATCCGGCATCGGGAAGCCTGGCCGATCGGTGGATCCTCAGTGCCACGTTCCTGAAAGTATACTACACGACTTACCATGTCACCGACCAAGCGATCACGTTCTACTGCAAAAACGGCGGTGTCTGCGCGGGTGGCTCCAACCTACTCGACTTCAGTGGAAAGAAACCGATTTGGGCGATGGTGCTCATGATCACAGGTGGATGCCTCTTTGCCATCGGGCTCATCGGTGGCGTTGTGTTCCTTGTCCAGCGACGGAAACGAGGCAGGGAGAAGGGCCATCGCCCTGCCGATTACTTAAGGGTCGACGACCGGCGGGAGTCGTCGCCAGTTCTCCTCGCGTGATTTCCATCCATTTCTGCTTATCCATGTACTCCAGAATGCAGTCCTACCTCTGCCCCATGCGAAAACCAGGGCAAAATTCAGTGCTGGGTACATATCAACGTGAAATTGGTTGAAAGCTTCCTCCAGAAAGTAATTTTAATAAAATGGGTCGTCGTCAGACAATTTTCCTCCATCGCGGCTCGTTTCAAAAGGGGTCGCTAGCAGCTCCAAAAATCAACTATAGCGTCGGGAAGCACGAGATTCTCACCGACTGTAGTCAGGGCATCCTTGGCCTACCTTTTCCCACTATCTCTCCGCTAGTTCACCTCGGCAATGTGACCTTCCCCGTGAGCCACTCGGACTCGTTTAGCATGACGCTGAGCTCTGGCGTAAAATCACCATGTTCCAAACACATATTTGAATGGCGTCGAGGAGACTGTGATTCCATCGAATCGTTTGGTTGAGGTCCGTATGCCCTTGACAAGTGCGACGCATTGGACGCTCCATGGGACGGCACATCAACGGCTAGACTATTTCGCCCATATGCGACGGAAAGCAATCGTGGACTCCGGCTCGACTCTTTCCTTTCCATGCCCCGTGCAGTGTTGACCAGCAGCTATCCGCTTGACCTCACAAGTGCACGATGGCTCAGTTGGGCATGTACTTCATCTGTCCGCGATCCACCATGTACCTCTAGCTGACGCTTGGACTTGCAGCGTTGGGACTACACGTGGCAAGCGTCGCCACCGTCGTGATGCATTCACTCACTCACATGTGGGTCCTACGTTCCTCTACGTGTGCCATCCTCTCAACGTTCATAGATGTTTTCGCACCACGTAGCAACCTCTCATGTAGGACGTAGGGCATGGTGAGATCACATCAATTGTCAGCACTTCTCCACAAAACCAAGATTTTCATGTGCGCATATATTTGTGTATTTCGTGCCCTGTTCCATGCCCGTGCGCGATCGATGTCGTTCTAAAGCCGACACGGACGTTGCGATGACGGGAGGGTTGTCGTTGCTTGGAACGACGACGTCCTCGTCGAAGAGTGGACGTAGTCGTTCGAGTAGTTCTCCTAGCTACCTGATGCTATGCAGCAACTCTGTCGTGGAGGATGGTTGGGCACACCGTGATCGTGCTTTTGAGGCTGCTGTCGTGTGTTTTCATGCGATGAAAGAGGTTGCACATCGACTTCCCAAACAGATTCCTATTGAATGAATATGACACGTGTGTCGTGCTGGCCCAGCCGCAACCACACGTTTGCCGCTTGCAAATTCACCGTTGGTTCATGGGCAGGGCACGCGGCAACCTGCCACACTTTTCTTCGACGCCGTTGCAGCTGGCGGACAAAAGTGCACGTCGCGTCAAAGATGGGACCAACTAGAGCCCTGTATACGTATTTGTGTGTGTTTGTGGCGTCGAAAGGGGCTCGGGCCACGGCGCCGTACTCGATCAGCGTCGCCAGTGCTTGCTTGATGCTTTCTAAAGATTTCGCTTCTGCAAACTCGGTCGGATGCGATCGCGCCAGTCGAACGATTTCCGGTTCTGTCAATACGCCATTGGAGATTGAAAAAGCCGACGCGACATTGTCCAAGGCACAGACGAAGGGCCAAAGCAGCATCGTGAGGAAGCTCACGTGCGACGAGGCATGCCACCGATTCGCTTCAACTCCAAGGCGATCTCGATGGACGTGAACGAACGGCATGGCTTTAACCAAATTGCCGACTTCAACGCTCCAGTCCTCGGGGGACGGATGGGGACACAGTCGGGTGCAGGACGCCCATAGCTTCTCCGCGTCTGCGGCAATCGCCGACAAGAGTAAACTCGCGCCGACTTCAACGCGGCTGGACACGACGGTCGCTAAGGTCGCCATGGGTAGCAGGACGTGTAGGAGTTGGTTGCGGTAGAACGCCATTGTGAGCACCCTCGTGTCATCGAACACATTAGGGAGGTACACGAAGCGAGACTCCGAGGAAGTGGCCACTTCCAGAATGGCCAATGCGTGGACGACGAGGTCTGCCGTTGATTCATATGGCGCTACGATTGCACCATGGCTGCGTAGGAGAGTCGCTAGCCAAGCGACGTCGGCAACCACCTCGTCAAAAGACAGTGCAGTGCGGTGGCGCTTCCAGAGGAGAACAGCGGCGACCAGCGTCGATGCCGTGATGGTTGATGCAGATTGCATGCCATATGCAACGCGACTCGCGAGATTCTCCAAGCCAAAGTGCTCGACGTGGTGTTGCATCGGCAGCGGAGACGCGAATCGAACGTACGCATTGCCGCACCGTCGGAGGGAGAAGAGCGACTTGACGAGGCTGAAAATCGACTCTTTCTGCTTGGGTTTGCCGAGCAACTGGGCCGCGTATTCGGGAACTTCCAGCACTCGGTCGTAGTCGATCGAAATCGGCACAACGAGGATGTCACGCGAGGGACGGGTGGAGAGGAACGACGCCATCATGTGGAAAAACCCTACCTTGGGTCTCATCTACATCGCGACTGTCCATCAGGGTGGTGGCGGCCGAATGGATCCTACCACGCGGCCATGGCGAGAGCGCCCGCCTTCGACAAACACCTCCATGGGCGCGCCATCTTCAAGCAATTGGTGGACGTACGAAGTTAAGACCTACGAATGCATTCATCCGTAAGCACCAAGCCAAGGTTAAATCAAGCCAGGATGGACGCCGACCTCCTTATATAACGTATCGCCGTGGTAACTTCGTCGAATGAAAAAACTTCCGCTGGCTCGCAGGTACGACCCAACGACGGGGAGGTTTAGATTGATGCCTGCAGCGATGCGGGGCAGTGGCAAGCCGTACGCAAAGCAGATGTAGCTGACGAGGAGGTAGTCGAGATGTGACTTGTGCGTGGGCGCCAGGACCAAGCTGGTGTTGGGGCCGACAGACGCGATGAGGGAGTGGATAGCGTCGATGGACGCCGCGTCAATAAACACGCCGTCGAACAAGACGCGCCACAGTTTGGAGAGGAGCCACCCGAGCGATCGAATCGCCGGCATTTGCATTTCACTGCGGAGGAGCCAAAAGATCTTTCGTACTTTCGAAGTCAACCCTTCAAGAGAGTCACTCCAGGACACGTGTGTGGCGTAGAGCGATCGAATGCGTTTAGTGACGCCGGTCAAATGCGTGGAACTGGTCGACCCCTGATTCATCTGGAGCGGTCTATCAGCATACCGAGAGACGACAGTGAGAAATGTACCTGCAGGATATGGGGATGAGTAGGACCACCGCGAGAAATGAACAAAAGATCCGAGAAGACCGGGCCGAGAGTACGCAGGTAGAACGCAGCTCGTTTCCTGCGGCTCTCGGATTTATGGATGGCGAATCTCTCAGTCGTTGAGCACAACAGCCACGACTCGCTCATCATATTGATAAAGTTGTCGTGCATCAAGCGGTTTTTGTCTTTCACGGGCACTTCGAATTCGTACGGACTGCCACGCAGAAGGAGGAGCTCTTGCATAGCTGATGACAATGGAGCCACGTGCTGGACGGCCACGTTCGCGAGGATGTCCACCTTGGTCGGCGGGACGTTTTCGTCCAGAGCAAGTAAAAACTGCTTTTCGCGTGCTTGGAGGGAAGATGACGAGAAAGCAAAGGATGTCGCGAGTAGGGCTGTCGTGAGCGCCAGAGTGTCGTTTGTGACTTTGAACTTCTTGGACGACCCAATACGAGCTTTGCAACGCTGCATGTGCTTGCGGTAGAAACTCTGGATTCTCTTCGCGGCGGCCACGCGGCGGACCTCCAGTATCCCCACCTTCATCCTCGTCATGAGGCCGTTGCGAGATTTCGGCTCCATCTCGCGCTCCGACATTGCGGTTTTCGATGGTGACAGCAATCACTTGTCCGGATATTGGCGGACACCACTTTTGGTTGGTGGATGGCCAATCAGGGGTAGGGTTCGCATGCAACTTTGAGCGTGACTGTGGATGCTCAATCAATTGGCACCAACGAACCCTCGCCACCTTCGACCTTCGTCAACCAAGTCCAGATTTGTGACAAAATCTTGTCGATAAAACAGGCTTCTAGTGTTGATGTTAAGGCTCAAGTATTGAGGTGACAGCCTTCTTCTTCCTGTTTATCAAGGTGCCTCAATTCCGAATTTGAGAAATTAACGAGACTTGCTTTGATTGGAAGAAATATTTCGGTCGTTTTATAGAATGCATTTGTTCGATTGGTTATAATTTCTTGGAATTTAAGAGTTTTCATCGCAACCGAAAAAACAAACGCGCTCAATTAAGCGGTGGAAAAACTACTTTCGCTCGGCGTGGACCATGTGCGAGATGAGGTCGAGGACACGGTTCGAGTAGCCCCACTCGTTGTCGTACCAAGACACGAGCTTGACAAAGTCGTCGGTGAGGGCAATCCCGGCATCGGCATCAAAGATGGATGAGCGTGCGTCACCGATGAAGTCGCTCGAAACCACCGCTTTGTCCGTGTAGCCTAAAATGCCTGCAAGTTCGTTTTCGCTGGCGTACTTGATCGCAGCCTTGATGTCAGCGTACGACGCCTTGTTCTTGAGTCGGACCGTCAAGTCCACAACCGACACGTTTGCAGTCGGGACACGGAAACTCATGCCAGTCAACTTGCCGTTGAGTTCTGGGATAACCTTGCCGACGGCCTTGGCGGCCCCTGTCGAACTCGGGATGATGTTGAAGCACGCTGCACGGCCGCCACGCCAATCCTTCTTGGACGGGCCATCCACAGTGAGTTGCGTGGCCGTGACTGCATGCACCGTCGTCATGAGCCCTTCAACGATGCCAAATTTCTGGTGGACAACCTTGGCAAGCGGCGCCAAGCAGTTGGTCGTGCACGACGCGTTCGAGACGACGTGCATATCTTTCTTGTACAAGTCGTGGTTCACTCCCACGACAAACATGGGCGCGTCGGCGGACGGCGCCGAGATTACAACCTTGCGCGCGCCGTTCTTCAGATGGGCGCCGGCCTTTTCCTTGGTTGTGAACGCACCGGTGGATTCGACGACGTACTCGGCGTTGGCTGCGCCCCACTTGATGTTGGACGGGTCCTTTTCACCAAACACACGAATCTTCTTGCCGTTCACGTGGATGTAGTCGCCGTCATGGCCAACCTCGCCGTCAAAGAGACCATGGACAGTGTCGTGCTTGAGCATGTACTCCATGTACTCGGTCGGGATGAATGGGTCGTTGATGGCAACGACGTTGATGAGCGGGTTAGCTTCCGCCGCGCGAAGGACTAGACGACCGATGCGGCCGAACCCGTTGATGGCTACATTCACAGGACCACCGGCATTGGTGGTCCCGCCGCCTTGGGCATTGATGATGTGCAAAAAGTCAGGCTTGAGAGAGGCGCCACCGACGAGAAAACCGTCAATATCAGTTTGACCAGACAACTCGGAGGCGTTGCTGGCGGTCACACTGCCACCGTAGATAATGCGGGTGGAGTCGGCGGCAGCAGCACTGACGTTGGTTTTGAGCCACTTGCGGATGGCGGCGTGCACTTCTTGTGCTTGTCCAGGGCTGGCAGTGAGGCCAGTTCCAATAGCCCACACGGGCTCGTACGCCACGACAATCTTAGACCAATCCTTGACGTGGGCGGCGTACGCAGCAAGTTGCTCGGTCACGACTTGAAGAGTTTGGTTGGCTTCACGCTGGGTCTTGGTTTCTCCAATGCAGGCAATCACAGACAGTCCTTTGGACAAGGCGTATGCCGCCTTACGTGCGACTTCGTCGTTCGATTCTCCTTTTTGGCGGCGCTCAGAGTGCCCCACAATGCTGTAGCCGGCTCCGGCGTCTTTGAGGAGTTCTGCGGATACTTCACCCGTATACGCGCCGGCACCAAGGTGCCATACGTCTTGGCCACTCACACCGACGTCTTTGCGGAGGCGCGATGCCACAGACGCCACGTGGAGAGCAGGCGGTGCGACGACTACTTCAACGTTGGCTGGAATCGTGGCCGTGTTGAGGGAGTCAACAAGCGCGTTCGCTTGGGAAACAGACCCGTTGCACTTCCAGTTGCCGCCGACAAAGAATTTGCGGGCCTGCGACGAGAACATGCGGCGCGAAACACAAGAGAAGGCCATGGTGGATCGGGTACCAAGCGGGAAGTTTAGAAATGGCACACTGTCCGTCAGCCGCGTGCATGGAAAGATCTTGCTCGTAGTATACGTTTCCAGAGGTTCGTAGATACGGCGAAGCCTGCCAGCGCCGGATAAACGAGCAACCAAAATGCATATTCTGAGCGGACACAATGGGGCATGAACCAGCGGTTTTGTATACTGTACAAAGTACAAGATCATTTTCGTCTTCGAGCCCGTGTTTGCAATAACATTTGTACAGTATTGCTTAAAAGGTATTATTTTGACACCTTGAAGCGATCAGCTGCTACTTTTTTGGTTTCCGGAATAGTTGCGCAACCTGGGATCCGCGGACACTCCATGTGTGAGACAACACCACCGAAGTTCGTGGACGACAGCGGTCCACGCAAGGTCTTCACAAGGGCTGGCATGGCTCGACATTTCCATGGAAGGTCCAAGGGAATGCAGATGAGTTTGCGCGTCCTATCGAGGTGGCTATCACGAAGTAGAATGAACAAAAAGTGTCGTTAACCAACTCTTTATTCCAGAAACGCTTTCTTGTACACCAAGTTTATCTGCTCGATGACCAGAAGCACAATCATCGCGTTGGGCGCACAGCGTCCATAATAAGTCCAGTACCCTCGCCACAGCTTGCCAAACCCTTCCTTCTGCACAATCTGGGCAAAACAATCCCCGACACCCTTGTACGGGAACGCGCCAGTCTTGGGATCTTTCTTCATGTTCATCAAACGTGACTTGACCATGTCAAACGGCAGCGACGTAAACGCGCATGCAAAGCCCGAGAACGCGCTAGCGCCCAAGTTTGACACAAATCCTTCGCCCGATATCGGCTTGAGCATTTCCTTTGCTTGATCGTACGACGCCATCATGCCGAAATTCATGGCTGCCCCACGGGCAATCAGCGGAACACTGCCGCGCCATAGCGTTGTCACTCCTTCCGTCGACGTAATGCGAATGATAGCATCTGCGACGTTCTTGTACCCGCGCTTGTCTCCGGCCACCGCCAAGGTGTCCGCTTGCATACGTACTAACGCGACGTCCATGGGGCAACCCAAAGTAGCAGCCACCGCGCCGGTAAAAATTGCCACGGAACTCTTCATCCACAAGGGCAAACTGTCAGTGGCTCCTTGCTTCTCACGGGAAGCTTGCAGAGAGTCCGAAATTGCACGATGCATGCCAAGTCGGGTTGTTCCATAAACCATTTGACGTGCTACGGCCGCAGACAGACCAGCATACAGCCCTTGGACGCCTTGCTTGACAAAGACAGATTTGGCAATTGTGACGGCAGTGGCATTACTACCAGTCTGACCGGCAAGTTGCAAGTGAACTTTGACCAAATCAATGGGGTGGATTGCAACTGCGGCGATGATGGCGGCAGACCCGCCACACACGTAGGGCTGGGCAGCTAAAGCAACGGTTGATTTGGGTTTCGCAGCACACATAGCAGCGTCTTTGGTTGCAGCAAGTAGCGTCGAACTTGAGCTAGATGATTGCGTCGCGCTTCCACTCATTCACCTATGCGCACAAGCCTCGATTGAGCAAAATGCGTTGAGGATGGTGGTGGAAGGAGAACACGCTAGTTCGAATCTTCTCGTATCCTTCGAAATCCCTTGGGGCAGCAGGGACGTTACGAAGGAGGCGTCAACGGACGTGACGGGCACGTCCGTCGTGTCCCGTTTTGTCGAAGCTGCGTTGAAGGAAGCCATCACAGTGAGCTGCATGTTCGCTTACCCGCAGGGGCTTCTCGAGGAAGATCTGGCAGATGCAATTTTGAAGATGACCGGATGCGCAAGCGCGGTATATCGTCGGGAGGGGCGACATCGTCCAGCAACCAACCCACGACGGTATCACATTGGTATTTCTGAATACTTTAGTTGTAGAAGGTGCCGTGTCTTCCGTCCGCACCAGTGATGTCGCACAACTTATACAAAAAGTCAGTAATCCGGCAAACCTTCGAAACTTAATTTCCTTTGTTTCGCCTTTTCGATCCGAAATGCTGCAAACATCTCCAATTGTCGCATGGATGCGTCCAACCCGAAGAACATTCACGGCGCCGCGACGACCGCCACAAGATCGTTCGTGAATGCACAACCACCAACTTGACCGTGGACAGGTTCACGTCATTAACCAACTCGTGGACCGCTGCCGAAATGGGTGGTGGTCTGTGTGGTTCCTCTGGTGTGGACTAGGATGCTGAGCTCACGCGATTGAGGGAAATCCTTTCGAGCGCGCCTTGCTGGTCGATCGCTTCCTCGCCTAGGCTCCTCATATGAGAAGAATCGCGGGGAGGGTAGAATAGCTACCTTTTTTGGATGCGTGTGTGTTCTTGCTGTGGTCGTCCTTGTGCTGCGTATAGTTCGTGCTGTAATTTGTGGGGAGCGAGGAACTGCCCGTTGTGCTCAGTTGGTTCTTCTGCCTTAAAACAAGAGCTTCTTTCGTAGCTTGCAAGACTTTTGCAGGATCAGCCGAAGGCAGGTCAATTTCGGGAACACTTGCGTTCCGAGCCAACACTGCGGTGCCAAGTTGCTTGACAACCTACACCTTAATGAGACACAGAACGACTCCCATTTCTACAGACAGCTTCATCTGTGGTCTTGAGTCGTATGTGCTCAGGGATACTATAGAGCTCCAACTCTTCGATCCTCTCTTTCGATGGCGGAGGAACTGTTGTCACAATTGTCGAGGTGTACTTTTCTCTTAGCTTGTCTTCAATGTACTTGTTCCTACAATGCCGTAAGATCACGAGGACACGCCTAAGCGACAGTGAAACGAACTTGATCGCTTCGAAAGCATCAAAGGGCTTGTCTGCAGACTGGGCTGTGAACTGCCCACTCAACGTGGATAGGGACGAATCGGACGAGGCAGACGAGGACGGGGTTGTTGAGTCGATCTTTCGACCGGTCTTGTCTCCCTGCAGCCTCTTGCGCTCTCGGAACTTCTGGTCCTCCTTGAGTTCTCTCAGTTCCTCTAACGTAAGGTGCTCAGTTTCTCCATCGTCCTCGTCAACCTCCACGGGTCGTTTCCGTGTCGGCTTGTCCTTTTTCGCCCGCGCCTTGAACATGTTTGGTTGCCCAATCCCTTAATCCCTTTATGTGTGGTATCCGGTGTGTCCGGTTAACAAAATTCTAGAAAATATACGAAATCTTTGGATAAACGTGAAATCCACGAATGAAAAGATGTTTCTGTCACCATGTTTCTTCATTACATGTCGGCCGTGGCCCACTGGTACATGTCCTGCTTGAGTGCCTTGCGTGCATTCACTTTGAGAAGGGCCTTTTCCTCCCAATTGTTCCCTCGCACAACGCCGTCCCAACGATATCCCGGGGGAATGTTGAAGCGATTGGGGGGCGCGGGGGGCCCCGAGTACTTGGGCTTTTCGTTCTTCTTTGGCACACGTTTGACTTTTTCGTCCAGTTCGTCCTTGAAAAGCGAACTTTGCATCGGATCAAAGTCGCGCTGCTTGTCCTTGCGCAACTTCTCAAGCTCGGCATCGTCGTTGTGTCGTGCAAACGGCTACGTAACATCTCAGGTGTTCCCTCTTTTCGAATCGACTGTACCTTGGCTCGAATTGCTTCGAGTTCGTTCTGCTGCGATTTGAGCTCTTCTTTCCGTACTTTGCCTGTGCCCCACTCAAATTCTTCCTTTGCTTCGCGTTTTCTCTTGCCTTCCTGGATCTCCTGTTGCCGCTGCATCTCCATGAGCATGTCCAACTTGCGCCCTACAGACATCCAGGAGAATACGACGACAGCTTGGTGTTTTGCTACGTACCTCGCTTGTCACGGTACACGGTTTCGGCCTGCTTTCCCATTAGTTCCTCGTCGTGGAACGCGGCTTGCTGCGACGCCCGAAGCTGGTCTTGCTGGGCCTTGAACTCTTTGCCAGTAAACACCCCACCCAGCGCGCTTTGGTCCGGCACCGTTTGGCGATGAGGCGACGATGCTTGAGCAGCGTCGTCATCACGCCGACTGGTGTTCGCTGTCGACTTCACGCGAGGAGGTGAGGCAGCTTGTCGAGAAGGCGGAGGGGATGTCGAGGACTTGGTCCCATGGGAACGTCTCGGGGGTGATTCTTTTCGTGACGAGGACGGCGCTTTATCAAAGCGAGAGCGGCGGCGGGGCGGTGTCGAACCATCGTTGTCATAGCGACGAGGCGAGGAACTCTCGTCTCGTCGGCTGCGGTTATAAGGAGGGGAAAAGTCCCGTTGAGATTTGCGTGGCGGTGATCTGTCCGTGCTACGTCGGCTACGTCGGGGTAGCGACGTGGTGCCACGATGAGAACGACGAGGTGGAGATGCTGAATCGTATCGACTGAGCTGCCGGGGGGATGCGGATCGTTCCCAACTAAGCGGGGGCGTTCTGTCAAATCGAGATCGTCTGGGCGACGATGAATTCTGTTTTCGCCACCGCCGTGGAGATGACGAGTCGTCCCGGTTCGATCGGCGACGTGGCGACGCATCACGGCGATGGGGAGAGGAATAGTGTCGTCGGCGGGATGGTGAGACGTCGTCGCCACGACTGTGTGGGGGAGAGAGATTTTCCTGAACTTTGCGACGAGGTGATGAGGTATCCTCCCGTGGGCGTCGTTGCGGGGATGATGTTTCCCGCTTGAGTCGACGAGGAGGTGATGCATCGTCTTGAGGACGGCGTTGAGGAGACGAGGTCTCCCGCTGAGTTTGATTCTCTCTCACGTGCTGCCGCGGAGGAGACTTGTCATGATTGCGATTCTTTCGTGGTGGAGACAAGTCTTCGAACTGTCCAGGTGCATGATGTGTGGAGGGACTGGAGTCGACTAGCTGATGGGCTTTTCGTGGTGGAGACGCATCCTTTTGTCGATCTTTTCGGGGCGGTGAAGCATCTGTCGATGGATTCTTCTCGAGAGCCAACCACTGCTTCTCCAACTCCTCGGCCCGCTCCCGCTCAAGGAACTCTTCTGCGTTTGCCACGACGGGCTGGGATTCAGGATCGTACTCGTCTGCCCCATCGCCGACAATGGTTGGTTGGTCTTCGTCGTAGTCAGTGCGCTCGTCCTGCCATAAATCCTTTTTCTTCGCTTGTTTTGCGACGGAATCGTCCCACGCATCTTCATCATCCACAACAAACATGCCGAACCCTCCATCCGTCTTCTTCTTTTTGCGTTTCTTCTTCAGCTTTTCCTCTAGAGCACTAACTGAGCACCTTTTGCACACCATCACTGGCTTACCAGGAGCTCCGCCGCCCATGTATCGCTTCAGTGCTTCCAGCTTGGATGCCATCGCTCAGCTTCACGGCCACACCTCGATGAAAGACTTGGAGGACTCCGGATATACAATCCCAGAAATCCGCATAATCAGCCAATGGGGGATTCGGAGTTTCGTACTCCCTCTGTTCCAAAATAAGTGCGCGAATTTGAAGGGGGTAGACATGACGTGTCATTGAATTTTGATGATATTTTGAATCTGTGGTGTTACCTGCCTTGAGTCGAAATACCTCGTTCAATTTGCCTCTTCAGAGAGGGGATGCCGAGAGCTCTCGGCTGATGTGTTAATGAGGGGGAGTTATCAATTGATATGGCCATTTCCAGCGTTCAAAACTTCCATAATAAAATTCATATAAAACATTCACTTCAAACAACAAACATTCAAAAATGCCAATCGAAAAGCGCAACCTGACCGACGTCGAGCGCGAAGCCATCCTCCGCAAGGTCTGGCTCCGCAGCAACGGTAGCTGCATGCGCAGGTGTGTATTGGAATTGTCGATGGTCCTTGAGCTCGTTAGGAGGGTTCTGGTGGTAAGCCCCCCTCCTGAAGCCATTTGATTGGTTGTGAGACGTGCGAATTCCATGATTTCATTGGGCAAAAGGAACGGTACAACTGTATAACTTCATATAAGAAAGTATTCGATCTTAGCGTTTTGTATTTCTATTCAAGGAGGCATACTTCAATTATTCTGATTCGCGCACTTATTTTGGAACGGAGGGAGTAGTTGGGGAGGGGAAGACACCCGAGCGGCAGTAATGTAAACTTGATTTGATAAAAACCAAGGCCCATTAAACGTGGAAATTTCCACTTTTCCCACTTTAGGATAAAAGGGAGAAGAATCTGGACCATAAAAGTGGAACTGACGAAATATAGCCCAAAAGTTCCCATTTCTGAGGCGGGTTTATCACAACGAGCCCTGCAGGTCGAATTGCTTCGCCTGGAAGATGCCCTCCAAGGAGAGGTCGAGGAGGTTCTCGCGATACGCGTCCTTTTCCCACTTGAGAATGGAAAAGTCGGACTCGATCGACGTCGTGTTGGGGAGCGCGGTAGCCAAGCCGACACAAAACCGACGCAAAAGCTCGAACGGTCCACCTGCGCAGATCTGGTCACAGGGGTCGTTGAGCTCGGTCGTATGGTCATTCTCGTCAATGCTCGACTGAAGGTTCGTTGCGGCAGACGGCGATGAGGGGGCGATGCTCCTCCACGATCGCGTAGATGTCGTCGGCGGTTCATATGTCGGCCGATGATCTCCTTGACGAACGTGGCAGGGCGCACCTTGACAAGCTCGGCCGGCACGACGGGCGACGCGTTTTCTTCAGCCTCATTTGCCGCCGTGCGCTCCGCCTGCATAACGACAAGGCCCATGATCGTCTGCAGGACGAAGTTGCCGATCTCGGCAATGACCTCTTCATGTCGGCGTGATCGAGCTTGCCGAGGTGCGAAATGGCGCGAGATCTTCAATATGACCGCTCAACGACTCGTTGAGGATGAAGCGCGCGTCCATGTGCAGTTAGTCCGACTCGTCCAAGTTGTTGAGGTCCACGTCGGCGACTTTCGACATGCTGCACGGTGTACATGATCAGCAGATCGGCAACGAGCTCGCTAACGATCGTGCGCTGCTGGCGGATGGACTTGCACTGCAGCTGGGCGAACGTGATATTGATGCGCTCGATGGCGGGCGCGATCGGTACGTGATCGTCCACCAAAGCTGGGTAAGGACAGGAGGACGGCTGCCAGCCGCTTGTGCTTATCGCTCGGCAAAGAAGTCCACGATCCGGTTCTCGTGTTTGATCAAGAACGCCAAGACGTGGGAGAGGTGCATGCACCGATTCGTCTTCTTCGGGCACGTTACGCCCATATCGGTGATGAGGATTTCCTTCCGGCGCAGAAAGACGGTAACGGCGAATGCTGTGTCGATCCACTGACAGCCGTCCAGGTGTCGCGTCGTTGACTTGACAACGAGATCCTTCTGATGCGGAACGCGCCATATCTGCAACACTTGCAACACACATAAGCACGGAGGCGTGGCCAACATGCCTAGTCTACAGACGTACGTCGTGCGTCGCAAGCCCGACGAGCTGCATTTGCACGCAGTTGATGCGACCCATGTTGGTCGGCTCACCGTGCGTGGAGACGGCGGGCGCTTGTCGAAGAAGCAGCTCTCTGCTGGGGTAGACAGCAGAGAGCTGCTTCTTCAACATCACAACCTGGTGGTTGGCCGTATGTCTGTCGAAGTGCGGCATGGCGATCAGATGGAGGTTGTGCAGCACGCCCTTGACGCCGAGACGGACACGCTAGTCGAAGAACCTCATCCTGCGGTGACTGCTGCCGTCAAACCCCATCGACATCGCCCAAAGATCGTCCGTGGCAAGCAGATCGCCGATCTTCTGGATGGAGACGCCGACGAGGACACGGACGAACAGGTCGACCATGTTGTCGTTGATGCCGGTCCGTTTGTTGAGGTTGAAGGTGGCGCGCACGGCCTCCGTGGTGTTGGCAGTCTGCCGGAACGACAGGCCGTGCGAGACGAGCTTGAACCGATAGACGTTTTTGATGGTGGTCTTGTACGACCCGTCGTTCCTGGACATTCGACAGGAGCAGAGCGTTGCGCTTCAACTGGGCAATGCCGGCGGGAGATGCTCGAGCGAAGGCGATCGTACTCTCGACAATGTCGTTGTCCAGAGCGGCAATCTCGTCTTCAGGCCGGAATATGAGCTCGGCGATCACGACCTCGACAGTCTCACTGCTCATGCTGAACTCCAACACGAAGCCAGTGAGATCCCAATAGTTGTGGAGCGTGTTGCTGAGTGCGATGCGGCCTTTGAAAAATGCCTTCTTGCCGTCGATGGACTCGTTCTGCTACGCTTCGCACAACTCGGCGTGCTGACTGGTGAGGTGTTTTAGGAAGAGGTCTGTGCGCCACGAGGTGTGGTGCTGCGGCCCTTTCCTGGTAGCGCGCTGGTGGCCCACCATGTCGAGTTGGCGGCCGTGGAACTTGCAGAACAGGCAGATCGTGGAGGTGACGGCGCCGCCTGAGCTTCTTTCGGTGACCTCCATAGCACATTTCAAGGACCACGACTGGTCATAGACGATACGAGCCTTCATCGGGCCCATGATGCCGTGTCAGTCGAAGTGATAGGGTGGCTTCGACGCGCGCTTGCTCCAGCACCAATGGGTTGGTCCGTGGAAGTCAGTAGAGGTCCGTATGGAGTCCGGATGAAGCAACGACGGACTCTGCTCGGTCACATGTGCCTCAAATCAGCCGAAGAGACCTGATTGCGAAAATTCCTTAAAAGTAGGAGCATTTCTGACCTTAAATGTGGTAAAAGTGGCTACTAGTAGTACTATTTATAGATTTCCACCTTTAATGAGGCCTGATAAAAACACGTGTACAGTGAACCCCGGAAAAAGCCGACACCCCCACAAGGGCCGACCACCTCCAAAACATGATATGTTTTAAATAATTTGCCACCTGTATACTTACTGGTAGACACCAAGTCAGATATGCCATTCCATTTGACCAATTGCAGTGCAGATACCATAAAACTGTGATTGAATGACTGAAATTTTTCTAGTTATAGCCAATCAAGTTGTACTAATTCACGTAATTTAAATATATTGATTCTATTCTGCCTCCATGCATTTTCAGGATGAAACCATGTCGGCTTTATCCGGGGTTCACTGCTGTGTAGGGCAGTAGAATCGCCCGATTGTTTGGCCCTCTGCAAACCACCGTGACTGTCTAGTATCATGACTCTAGTAAGGATTTCGACAACATCGATGGACTTGGTAGTGTTACCATTAAAGAAACGACGGATCACCACATGTAAACTATACAGTGCGCGCCAACCAATTAGGGCCACCAAGGTTTCGTGACCTATGGCACTTACTTCGAACTATTGCTGTGAGCGATTCAGAACTGGGGTGCATGAATGCACAACGGAACATTTCAGCAAGTATCAAAGTTTTTCCGATCCATTGTCATCGCAGAAAATGCAAAA